CAAATATAGAGCCCAAGAAAGAAACTGAAGGCTGTAAAGAGAGAAAAACAGATAACATACAAAGGTAAACCATCAAAATCACAGCAGACTTCTCAACAGAAACATTAAAAACAAGAGAGCTTGGGGAGAGGTCTTCCAGGCACTGAATGAAATAACTTCATCCCCAGGATACTCTACCCGCAAAACTATCATTCAAATAATGGGCAATAAAAGTCTAGCCATGATAAGCAGAAACAAAACAATATGGGACACAAAGCAGAAAGTGAAACCCAACATAATCATGAAAGGGCAGGCGACAAACTACAGGAAAAGAAAAAGCAAGAAAGTCGAGAGTAAACTCAACTTAGATACACAGATCAAACCTTCAAATAAGCAGAAACCTAAAACAATATGGGACCACAAAGCAGAAAGTGAAACCCAACATAATCATGAAAGGGCAGGCAGCACAACAAACTACAGGAAAAGAAAAAGCAAGAAAGTAGAGAGTAAACCTCAACTTAGATACACAGATCAAACCTTCAAACAACTAAGACAACTAAATGACAGGAAATCACCACATACTATCATACTAACACTTAATAACGGACTTAATTCACCCATCAAACAGGCAACCGTTAGAACCGAAATGGATTAAAGAAGGAAGATCCAACAATGTGTTTGCTTACAGGAGCCCCATTCTCACCGACAGAAATAAGCATAGGCTTATGGAATGAAAGCTGGAAGATTTTTACCAAGCCAATGGCCACCGAAAACAGGCAGGAGTAGCAAATACTTAATCTTACAAAGTAGACTTCAAACTACAATTGATTCAAACGAAATAAAGAAACACATTCCATACTAATAAAAGGTGGGGAATATAGACCAAAAGGAAATAATAATTATCAACCTATATGCACCCAATGTCCACGCACCCAATTTCATCAAACATACCCTGAAGGACTAAAAGCATATATTAATCTCAGCAGGCCCATAGAACCTTCTCCAAAAATAGATATTCCTAGGGCACAAAGCCAGCCCTCAGCAAATAGTAAGAAAATAGAAAATTATACCCATGCATTCTATCTGATCACATGCAATAAAACTAGAACTCAACAAAATAAGACAAAAACATGCAAACAGCTGGAAACTGAATAACTCATTGCTTAATGAACATGGGTCATTGATGAAATAAAAAGAGAAATAGAAAATTCCTGGAAGTCAATGAAAATGAAAACACAACCTACTGGAACCTAGGGACATAGCAAAGGCAGTCCTGAGAGGAAGTTTATAGCCATGAGTGCATATAATTAAAAAGACTGAAAGATCCAAATCAATGACCTAAAGATACATCTCAAACTCCTAGAAAAACAAGAACAAGCAATCCCAAAACAAATAGAAGGAGAGAAATAATAAACATAAGAGCTAAAATCAACAAAATCGAAATCAAAATAATCATATAAGAATTAATGAAACAAAAAGTTGGTTCTTTGAAAAATATAAACAAGATCGATAGACCCTTGGCAAACGTGACTAAAATGGGAGAGAAAAACCCAAATTAGTAAATCAGGAATGCAAAGGGGAGATAACAACAAACACCCATGAAGTCCAGGAAATACATCAGAACTACTTCAAAAAACCTATATTCAAATAAAATTAAAAAATCTTAAAGAAATGGACAGATTTCTACGATACTTATGATCATCCAAACTGAACCAAGAGGATATTAACAAACCTGATAGACTCTATACACAAAATGAAATTGACGCAGCAATCAAGAGTCTCCTCAAAAAGAAAAGTCCAGGAACCTTGATGGAATCTCTGCTGAATTTCTATTCAGACCCATTAAAGAAAAACTGACACCAACCCTCTTTAAACTGTTCCACGAATTAGAAAGGGAATAAAACGTGCTACATATTGAATGAAGCCAAGTATTCTACTTATACCAACACCAGGCAAAAGACACCTCCAAAAGGAAGAATATCCCAAAACCAGGCAAAGACACCTCCAAAAAGGAGAACTATAGGCCAATCTCCTTAATGAACATTGATGCAAAAATCCTCAAAAAATAATGGCAAACCGAAATTCAACAACACATCAAAAAGATTATTCACCACGACCAAGTAGGCTTCATCCCAGGATGCAGGGGTGGTTCAACATACGAAAATCAATAAACGTAATAAACCACATTAACAGAAGCAAAGACAAAAACCACTTGATCATCTCAATAGATGCAGAAAAAGCCTTTGATAAGATCCACACCATTTCATGATTAAAAGCTCTAAGAAAACTAGGAATAGAAGGAAAGTACCAACATTATAAAAGCTATATATGACAAACCTACAGCCAGCATTATACTTAATGGACGAAGAAACTGAAACCATTCCCTCTAAAATCAGGAACTAGACAAGGATAGCCCACTATCTCCACTCCTATTCAACACAGTACTGGAATTCCTAAGAGCAATTAGGCAAGAAGAAGGAATAAAAGGAATACAATAGGTAAAGAAACTGTCAAAATATCCCTATTTGCAGACGACATGAGATCCTATACCTTAAAGACCAAAAACTCTACTCAGAAGCTCTAGACATCAAATAGCTATAGCAAGGTAGCAGGATATAAATCAACATAGAAAAATCATTAGCATTTCTATACACTAATAATGAATAAACTGAGAAAGAATATATGAAAACAATTCCATTTACAATGCCTCAAAAAAAATCAAATACCTAGGTGTAAACCTAACAAAGGATGTTGAAGACCTCTAAAAAATAATGAAAAACTGAGAAAGAATATATGAAAACAATTCCATTTACAATAGCCTCAAAAAAATCAAATACCTAGGTGTAAACCTAACAAAGGATGTGAAAGACCTCTACAAGGAAAACTATAACTTCTGAAGAAAGAGATTGAGGAAGACTATAGAAAGTGGACAGATCTCCCATGCTCATGGATTGGTAGAATCAACATAGTAAAAATGTCATACTCCCAAAAGTAATCTACATGTTTAATGCAATTCCCATCAAAATTCCAATGACATTCATTAAAGAGATTGAAAATCTACCATTAAATTTATATGGAAAGACAAGAGGCCACGAATAGCCAAGGCAATGCTCAGTCAAAAGAACAGTGCTGAAGGTATCACGATACTTGACTTCAAACTATAATACAAAGCAATAACAATAAAAACAGCATGGTACTGGCACAAAAACAGACATGAAGACCAGTGGACAGAATAAGGGACAGGAATATGAGCCCCACAACTATAACAACTTGTCTTTGACAAAGGTGCTAAAAATATATGATGGAGAAAAGACAACCTCTTCAACAAAAACTTCTGGGAAAACTGGTTAGCAGTCTGCAAAAAACTGAAACTAGATCCATGTATATCACTCTATACCAATAATAACTCAAAATGGATCAAGGATCTTAATATCAAACCCCAAACTCTAAAGTTGGTACAGGAAAGAGTAGGAAATACTCTGGAATTAATAGGTATAGGTAGTAACTTTCTCAATGAAATCCCAGCAGCACAGCAACTAAGAGATAGCATAGATAAATGGGACTTCATAAAACTAAAAAGCTTCTGCTCAACAAAAGAAATGGTCTCTAAACTGAAGAGACCACCCACAGAGTGGGAGAAAATATTTGCCAGCTACACATCAGACAAAGGACTGATAACCAGAATATATAGGGAGGTTAAAAAACTAAATTCTCCCAAAATTAATAAACCAATAAAGAAATGGGCAAGTGAACTAAACAAAACTTTCTCAAAATAGGAAATTCAAATGGCCAAAAAGCACATGAAAAAATGCTCACCACCTCTAGCAATAAAGGAATTGCAAATTAAAACCACACTAAGATTCTACCTCACCCCTGTTAGAATAGCCATCATTAGCAACACCATCAACAACAGGTGTTGGTGAGGATGTGGGGGAAAAAGCAACCCTCTCACACTGCTGGTGGGAATGTAAACTAGTACAACCACTCTGGAAAAAAATTTGAGGCTACTTAAAAAGCTAAATATTGATCTACCATTTGATCCAGCAATATCACTCTTGGGGATATACCCAAAAGACTGTGACACAGGTTACTCCAGAGGCACCTGCACACCCATGTTTATTGCGGCACTATTCACAATAGCCAAGTTATGGAAACAGCCAAGATGCCCCACCACCGATGAATGGATTAAGAAAATGTGGTATCTATACACAATGGAAATCTATGCAGCCATGAAGAAGAACGAAATGTTATCATTTGCTGGTAAATGGATGGAATTGGAGAACATCATTCTGAGTGAGGTTAGCCTGGCCCAGAAGACCAAAAATTATATGTTCTCCCTCATATGTGGACATTAGATCAAGGGCAAACACAACAAGGGGATTGGACTTTGAGCACATGATAAAAGCGAGAGCACACAAGGGAGGGGTGAGGATAGGTAAGACACCTAAAAACTAGCTAGCATTTGTTGCCCTCAATGCAGAGAAACTAAAGCAGATACTTTAAAGCAACTGAACCCAATAGGAGAAGGGGACCAGGAACTAGAGGAAAGGTTAGATCAAGAAGAATTAACCTAGAAAGTAACACACAAGCACAGGAAATCAATGTGAGTCAATGCCCTGTATAGCTATCCTTATCTCAACCAGCAAAAACCCTTGGTCCTTCCTATTATTGCTTGTACTCTCTCTTCAACAAAATTAGAGATAAGGGCAAAATAGTTTCTGCTGGGTAGTGAGGGGGTGAGGAGGAGAGGGAGGGCATGGGGAGGGAGTAAAGGAGGGAGTGAGGCAAGGGGGGAGAAATGACCCAAACATTGTATGCAAATATGAATAATAAAAAAAAGAGATCAGAATGTAATGCCTTCTTTTAATTCCTAAAATTAATATTCATGATAAAAATCTGCAAATAGCAATGACTAGTCAATTTTCTGTTTCTAAAAATCTTTTGTTTTTATTAAATAATTATTAAATAAGATATTAACAAAGTAAATTGCATAGAACAAGGTAAAAATGTTTTTGCTACCAGAACTTTCTGTGTCATTCCCCATCATCTCTTGTCAGCTATTGCTTCTAGAGCTGTCAGGAATGGACAGTCAAGACGTCACCAATTCTGCTTTCACCAGTTCTGTCTCTCGTGGGCAAGAGTGTACATGGAGACTGCAGAGTTAACTGTCTTCAGGTAGCAGCTGCTGCACAAAGCCAGCCTAGGTTCATTCTCCTGTGGGTGGTGCTCAGCTTTGGGTAGAGCATCTCACGGCTTAGGAAGAGTTAAGCAGCTGCACGAGGTTTTCAAGACATTTCAAATAGTAGGCATTTAGAGGGTTTTCTTCTGAGTTTGAGAAAGCTGAGAGAGAAAAATACAAGTGAGCAGTACCACTTTACTAAACTTACTACATTTAAGCGTGGACATTCCTATTCAAATATATGGATAAGACATATATAAACTTCTATTTAAGTTCTTCATGTGCTAAAATTGTAAGAATATTTTACATTTAAAAACTAAGTAGTTATAGAACTTACACGTATTTTTATTAATGGTTTGCCCAAAGTATATTTAAAAAAATAAACAACTTCTTACAATGGATACAATTAACTATAATCCTAAATGAATGCCATTATTTTTTTATGTACCATCCTCCTAAAGCACAAACTTTAATGTAACCTATTTTTTAACTTCCTCCGGAAATTCAGTCACAGGTAGAAAGAAACCAAAACCTCTCCCTTTTCTTAAAAGAGAAAAAATCAACTATAAAAACACAGATTAGTAACCAACAGACCTATCAGAGTAGAGGAAAGCCCCATCAGTTCTCACGGTATAAAAAATGTTCAAAGGCAAATGCTCAGTGAAAACTGGTGTCACTTAAAACAAGTACCATGCTTTGAAAAGAAATCCTTCTCTCAAGTCATGCAGATCACAGGGGAACAAGGATACAGGGGCAATGGGATCTATTCTTGGAAGACTACAATTCAATTCCCTGGTGTTACATCAAAGTTTTCTGTTCAAGGTCAATTCTAATTGGACCCAGTTCTTATCACCCTAAGAGCACACTTTAGCACAGTGGCAGCCACTGGCAAAGAAAAAATTGATTTGGAGAAAGATCTCACACACACATTTTAAGAAACTATTACATCTCAAACATTCACGTAATGGAACATTTTATTATGTAAAAAATGTTCTGATGAAAAACGTGGAACAAACCTAGTAAAATAGTGTAGAAAACTGTCATTTTGCCAGGTCCTGTCCAACATTTCAATAACAAGAGAATGTGCTTACTAGTTTCCATATTTAATCACAATCTCTTCAATAATAACACTTACTTCTCTTTGCTGTGGAATATGCTTCATCCACTTTTCTTTTTATTGATGAATTTTTCAAAGCTGTTTTTGCCTAGAGACAATAAAGGAAATCCACAAGTTAAGGGTCAGGATAACAGTACTAATTCCGCCTGTTGCTAACTACAGTGTTGAACAAGGCATTACAAAACACGTAATGCAACTACAGAGGTATACACTACACACTAGCACATCCTACTGTGCCAGCTCCCAGCACCTTCTGAAACTTCACACCACCCTTCTTTAACTTGACTCTTGTACTATTATCTGTCTTCCTTCCCTTCTCTTTTACTCCTTCCCCAGTCTCAATTTGCTACTTTAAACTAGTTAACCTTAGGGAATTTCATATTCCTTCAAATTATCACATTTCAGACCAAGTATTACCAATTGGTCAACAAATATTTATTAAGTGACTATAAAATGCCAAATCCTGTGGGTCTCCCAGGTGAGAGGGAGAGCAGCAGATACTGATCTTGTGTTGTACATGCCTCTGGCCAGGGGAAAATGACTGGCACAGACAGGGAAGGAACCCCATCCCAGAAAGCTGTTTGTCCTAACATTGCCATCTGGTTATGATATCACCACTAGCTACTTATGGGCGTTTCTCTTAGGAGTGTGATGTCTACAACAGAAGAGAAGACCAAAGGCCAGAGTAAGAGGAGACACAAGAGCCAGCTGTGCTGTCTTCCCTAGGCAGGCCTGTCCTGAACTGATTTCAAATCTCAGTGACAATATGTACGAGAGAAAGGCAAATCATATGAGTGGATATCAGGTCTTATGTCAAGATGCATTTTTTCCTTAATGCATCTTTTAGAAGAAATAATCTATACTAAAATTGCAACAAAATGGCGAATCCATTTAAATTACTTAAATCACTTAAAAAAATCACAGAGATACTCTTATGAACTGGGACATCCTACTGAAATAAAAAAGAATTTAACTAATGGGTTACTAATTGTATGAATGAACAAAGGGAACACAGTTTTGACTTCAACCTTTTTTCCTTTAGTAGATACTCCTCTGGCATTCTTGTATGCATCCTAAAAAGCCTACCCCGCCTATAATACAATGACTTTAAAATCTGACCTTCTGATAATTGTAAGTCAGAGCCCAAAGTGCAGCTGCTCCAATCCTTTGAGCATTTTGATTCTCATTTTCCAGACAGGCAGCAAGCACAGTAATGATTTTTTCTAAAAATAAACACATTTTTTAAAAAGTTCAGTTCCAGACATCACACTGTATTCTTACTTTGGACTGATTATATTATCCCTTCTTCCCATAAGAACATATACATAAAGCTGGTATCACTAAACAACTTTGGTAAACACAGCCTTTCATAACTTGCAGTAAGTGGAAAGACAACCTCAAACAAATTATTTTCATGACAGGCACAGAATGGTCAAAAACATTAAGGTTGCCTAAATTTTTTAGCTCAAGTTTGACAATGACACATTCATTGTAAAATAATAGTACATAATGAGTTATACTTATGAGTTATTCAATTACAGCTCACATTTTAGTATGTGGGAAAACAGATCTGCTGTCATGAAAAAACAGATTATTATACAACTATCAGAGCTTCTACACAAAACAATAATCAAGCAATATTATACGGCCAATCCTTTCCAAAAAGAACTAAGTATTTTAGAGAAATTCTGTGTGTATGTGTCAGAGGAAAAATTGATTTAATGGCATATCAACACACAAGAAATGCCCCTTTTGTAAAGCTAGCCAGAATAGAAATCAGATGTAGCTTATCATATGAGGTTATGGGTGGCAGCCAGGACTCAGTTAGGGATATCACAGAATGTGATTCAGTATTTTTTGTTATTGTTCAGTTGAGTATCATCAGTGATTTTTTATATGTTATATCAAACATTCCTAATAATCCTTATTATGGAAGTAAATTTACATCATAACTCCTTCAACTAGTTACTATCAAAATTTTTAAATAAAGTACCCACACCGGTCAATGTGGTGGACCTCTATGATACATATAAGTGGATCAATCTTTTTTAAAAACTGCATTTCACTGTGAAATATAACATGCATACAAAAACATTTTATAGTTTAATCAATCAGTATGAATATCACTTTAAATACATAAGTAAATTTGGGAGAATATACAGTAGCAAAATACAAATAATTATGAAGTGATGCCATTTTTACTACAATTAATTTAACAAGTATAAGCTTAGAGACAGGATGTTCTGTTCGTGGTTTGTAATCAGCACAGTGAGATGTTTACACCATGACAATCAAGAATTGCTGTACCTCAAAGCTGACTGAATAATAAAGCTGAAAAATGTTCAATTTTATGAATATATTCTGCACAGGGTGAGAAACAGTGTATTACTATCAGACTAAATGACAGTAAATTTTTGGGGAAAGAGAGATTGGGATGCAATTCCATTTGTCAAATCATGACTGAATGGAAACTGTAAATTAGTTACGGATACAAAAGTTGAGGAAAAATCAGTAAAAATATTCCGTGAGAATCAACTGTCTATACAGAATTTATATTAAAGAGTCTTACTTATTGGGCTATTATCTGTGTGTGCTATACATCCTTTCTATCAGCAAAATTTATATTTTTTTATATAAATACAAATTTTTTATATAAATATGTATTACTTATACATATTTATATGTATTTATATACATACATTAAAAATTTCCATATATTCAGTGAGTGAATTCACCCCTCTGAGACCTAGCAGCTAAATATCTTTGCCCTTGTCAGGTTTTACTAACATGGTTATCTGAGCTTCATAAAATGAGCAATTATTTCCTTTCTCTACTCTCTGGAAAAGTAATTGTATGTTTGTAATTACTTTGTGTTTCAATGTTTAATAGAATTCACAGGTGCTTCACTGAGTCCAGACAGGTAGGAAGTATTTTTTTCTGTGACTAGATTTCTGGTTGAGTCTTTCATAGATATTGGACTTTGGGGTTTTCCGTTTCTTATTAAATAAATTTTTCTAAGTTACTTTTGCCAAGACAAATGTCCAGTCCATCTTTTTTCCTTTGGTTTTTTGCAGATTCACTATGATGTGTCTAGGAATGAATTATTTATTTTTGTCTGCTTAGAATTATCTAAGCCTCTTGAATCTCTGTATTAGTGTCTTAGAACAATTTTTAAAATTTGTAGCCATCATCTTATTAAATATTTCCTCACCCATTCTCTTTCTCCTCTCCTTCTAGGACTTTATTAAACACAGACTATCTAAATGTATTTACAATGTCATTTACCTTTACCTGACTGCTGTATTCTAAATAATATATTATTGATCTATTGTGTAAATTTCTAAATTCTGTCGTCTACATTATCAATACCAGACATGCATATTAATGTTTAAGTTTTGGCCAAAACGGTTCTAAATAATGCTGGCCAAGAGAACTTCCTGCAATGACAGAAATATTTATAATAATCGGTTTTATCTAATAAGATAGTCACTAGCCCTCATGGAACTAGTATGACTGACAAACTAAACAGTTAACAAATGTAAACAGCTACATGTGGCTGATTGATAATCAGACTCCTCAGTAAAGATCTAGAAGTTCTGTTTGGTTCTTATTTCCAATCTACCAAGTATTCAGTTTCCAAGTCCCTGAAAATATTTTTGAGCTTGTTATTTATCTAAGTAAAGCATAATTAAAGTTATTTTTAGTGTATATTTTATAACCCTAATATTTGGAGTATGGCCAAAGACAGTGGTGTTTTTTTCCTCTGCTGATTCTTTTATTGCCAAATTTCCTAACAAACTTGATTAACTCTGTACTGGCTAATGCTTTGAAAAACTACTTGATTTTTTTTCTTTCTTTATTTTCTTGATAGTCATCTGAATGAGGGTTGGAAGACAATTTTGATTCTGATTCATCCTTCTCCTAAGAGAGTGGTTCTTTGGAGTTCTAGCTGCATTCAGGCAGGATGGCCAGTAAAAATCCCCACCAAGGGTCTTGACTTCTGGTCTCTTGCTCCTTGATACTCATGAACAAAAGTTAAGAGATAATATCAGTAAATTTCCTTAGGGCATCACAGCTTTCTATATATTTCCTACTTGTCTGGGCACAGGCTTTTAATCAAAATTGGCCTAGAAGTTTCCCACTATCTTTCCAGTTATTTGATTATTTTGAGGTGAACTTTATGCAGCTTATCCAGCATGTTTTTATTGTTTTCAGAAGATACTGAGCCTGGCATTACCAGAAACAAGGAGTGCTGTGGATCTATTTTTACCAGCAAGGTCAAGCACCAGTGCACACTTCCTAACTATCCACACCAGATGTCTGGGCGCTACTGATCAGAGAGGCATGCACCCTTCCCCATGTGGAAAAGGGAGTCAAACTCTGTGACATCCCTTTAAGAGTTCTACAGAACCTGTGCAGGTGCTGTTTCTCAAGTGATCCCCACCTTGAGAGCCCACTAAGCTCAAGTCTGAGGGAGTTGGGGGGCTCCTTCTCACTTTAAGTGTCCATGTGCTTTAAGCTAGTTGAGGAGAAAAAACCTTGCTAATAAGGAAATGTTAAAAATAAATCCAGAGGGATCCGGAAGTGGAAAGTGCACACTTTTCCTTCAGTTCCATAAAAGATTTTTCTTCTCCGAATTCTCTCAATAATAGGATTGCAGGGTAGTACCCAAAGAAAGAAAAAAATTATTCTCAGAAAGTTGAACAAATAATGCGAGATACTAGCGAGAAGTTCCTGCATATCAGGACTGGCAGCAGATGTTTCATTGCTTGGAGGTAGGATTTATTATTATCCTCATTTTACAAAAGTGAGGAGTGGAGCAGATACAGTGGAAAAGGATGAAAATGAAAGCACTAATGTAGATCCCCAAGCAGTAGAGAGCATAGCATCAGGGGAGGAGCAATGGGAAGGCAGAGTACAAATCTAGCATCAATTTAGGGAAGTTAATATCCAGCTGAACTTAAACAAAATTTCTACATATTTTCAGCACTTTAAAAATTATCAGAAAAACAGATTCATTAACATCCACATAGCAGAACATAAGCAGAATCATTTCTATTCACTTGGAAAACTGTGCTTCGTGAGAAAAAATTATCTTGAGAAAAGAGCAGGTGAAAAACATGAAGAGGATTAATGCATCTTAAACATGTACTGAGTACTAGAAATGGTGCTAGCCACTTTGTTTTTTTAATTCTTGCCTTATAGATGGAGAAATTTGACATAAAAAAACTGCCCCAGGTGATGGTGGCATTCAGGACCAGGTGGATAGGGGTCTAGAGCCCACCTTTGTTGTTTTTTTTTTTAACTTCACCATAATGAGATGTCTCCTAGAAAACTTTCCAGATGGTAGCATTTGCACAAAGACAGAGAAGAGATGAGAAGGAGTTAGAGCAAGAGCAAGGAGAAAAGGGAGGGAAGTAGGTCAGCTCAGACACCATCCCTGCTCTCTGTTGCTCCCTATTTACCTCCTATATCCAATTTTCCCTTTTAAATGACATGATTTATTAACCTCAAGAGACTCCAGGCACCTGATGGAAGCTGGAGCCATGCCAGAATCTTTCCCACAGTCCCTGACTTCTAAAGGGCCTTGAGCAGAGGGGTGCTTAGTAAATACATAGGAAATTATAAAATGTTTATTGTGTTGTAATCTGAGAAGAAGAGTCTGTGGATAATTACATGTAGGGGAGGGAGAAGAATGTGTGTCAATGTCGTATAGTATGAGTATTTACCATTAGCCAGGATTTTGGGCTTATTCGTAGGGCTGAAGCAAATATTATGGAAAATCAGAAGTGGTATATAAGGGCTGCTCTTATGCCTGCATGTGCTCATTTCTGTGAGTAAGTCTAAACAGCCATCCAGTCTCAGGATCATTTGCTGCCCGTCTTCTCCAAATGACATATTCAGTAGCAACTTCAACCAGAGAACGGTCAGATTACTAAGATGTTTATTTCCTCCTCTTGGCAATGTCAGAGACAGAAAGTTCTGTAAGAAGTTACTCTGTGGATAAACAAACAGAATATTATTTTCTTCATAGTTCTTTTTCATTATTTTCTTAGTCCCTTGGTGACCAATTGACTAGCATTTTGATATTTTCTAAATACTCCATCTATATTATTTCCAAGTACAAGTGAAAGAGGTAAGGAGAACAAAATAGTGCTCAGATTTTAATTCCTGCTATTTTTTACTGGTGGATAAAGTAAACTACAGTCAACTCAATTATTTAGGATTGATAGTTCAGTTTGGGAATGATTTCTGCCTCTTGAGTTTTCTCTTTTTTTCTACCTTCTGGCAATTTTGCTACTCATTAAAACACATCCTATGGGGAGGAAAAAGGAAACTCAAATCAGTCTTGGATAGTAGTTATCAATTTGGGTAGTAGTGACGGTATTTAGTAATGTTACAGTTACTTATCTTCTTTACTTTATGAATACATTTTATATGCATCATTGCATATCACTGCAACTTGCTTATCGCTACATGTAATCATTTCTCATGGCTACATGTCATTATATTAAACTTATAGATGACAAACCTCTATTACTTGAACTGTAAGTTATTTCAACCTTAAATAAAGTCCCTTCCACAAACCACCACCAAACACTTAACTACATGAAAGACAATAACTTACTTTCTAGAAAAATTTATATGAACACAAAATATAAATATTCTGTATCAATATCCTATATCAAGGATGATAGTATGGAAACCATAATCATTTGGACATTTTAGAAATGAAAGGCAATCACTTAATTTTGTAACTGTACAGAATTATTCATCTGTGTTTAATAATCTACTCTAGTTCATCTTTTGCGTTCTCCTAGACCTAAATCAAGATGTTGGCTTTAATCTATACAATTAATTTTAACACTTTCACATAAAAGGACTCTAAGAATGAAATGGGCTTCAGAAATATTAGCAATATGATACTGGAAATTCTGGACTGACAACAGAGAAAATACCTATCAGTAATTTAAAATATAAAGGTGCTTGATGCATCCCTTCTTTTTGCCAAAGATACCTTTAAGCAATTTTACACACTAGTTATAAGGTGTATAAATGTAACATGGGAGAAAGAAATGAGACATTTAGATCCTGAGTTGTACAACAGCACTAGCTGCATTTTCTAATAAATACTGATGAATATTGGAAAGGTAGAACTATATGTGTCCACGCTCACAGCAGCAGAAGTCTCAGGGATTCCTTAAATAGAACAGAGGATTTATCTACCATAAAAACAGAGTCAGATCACACTTATATGAAAACATTCTTAAGTATAGCACCAGGATCATAGACTTAAAGATATGTCAGAGATCATTTTAACTTAATTATTATAAAACTGAACAAAGTTTAAAAAAAAATTCAGAAGTTTAAAGAGAATAAGTCTTCAGTTTAAAACCACATGCCACACTTGAGGTTAGCACTGACATTTCATCTGGAGATTCCCATTTTGCTTCCTGACAATATACTCTACAGGTCAGTGGTGGAAAGCATGGCCCACCAGCTATGTGCTCCCACATGGATGCACCTCTCATTTTGAAGGAAGGCGATCACATATGTCCCGTTCAAGATGGCAATATGAATACATTATATGAAGAAAATATCAAGCACCACAAATACATGACATATAAATGGTTTGCATATGAACACATATATGAAGAAACTATCTAGTTGTGTGCTGGTAACCCAATAAACAACCGGCTGCATGCAGTAAGGATAACAGTATCCCCGATTTGTAGTGTTGGCTAAATTGCATGGTGGGATTATTCCTACCATGGTAATGTGACATGTCCTGGCTTGCAAAATCTCTCAAAGTGTAATGAAGGCACTCAGCCAATGGGAGTTGGCTCCAGCATTATCAATGGAAATGTTTCCATAGTTAAGATTTATCATTACATCTCCTTAGCAAGACTGATGTTTCTATTTATTTGGTGATTATGCTTCAAAGTATCTTTTGGGCAGTTCAGAGAGATGATGAAGTAGAGGAAAAGGAGACTTGATGCAACTCTTACGAATGCTGCCAGTTTTTCCATTTATCCTGGTCTTCAAACAAGGAAACAGAGGCACTAGAATCATTTATTAGTAAATAATAATCTGATCACTTTCACATTTTAAGAGATTTTTCTCAATTAGGGTTTCTGTTCATGTACATCTAAATACAGGCCCTAACTGCACGTGTGTATTAGAATTTAACTTGCTCTCTCCTACAGTACCCTAAGTTAAAGGGTCAAGTACTGGGGGCCATTGGACCTATTTTGTCATAAAGCAGTAAAAGACTAACTTGTTGGAAAGGGACTCTGATTCATAAGCTATTTTGTCAATGTAAATTGAACTGGAATTGTTATTGTTGGTCTGCTTAAAGACCAAGTATCTTACTTTTATGATCTCCAACAAAGGTAAGGCATAGTTGTCTTTCTAAAACCATCTATGAGACAGATAAAGCATAATCTACAAGCTAAGATAAAGTAAAAGGAAAGGACATCATCATGGTCGAGTTGCTGCCATGTGCCCTCTGTCACTATCACCTATCAACTGGCTTTCATACTTTTACAACCTTTAAAATAAAATGTCTTGAAAACATAATAAAATAATCCTAGAAACTGAGCTTTCAACTTTTGATTGGAAGGGTTCTTTTCCTGAGTATCCCCTTTATGATATGCAGAAGATTATAAGTACGTACCTTTTGAATTATTCCCTTACAGTCATGAGACAAGGCCAGGTTTGAAAGAAACAAGAAGACCATCTGCTGAATGGCAGTATTCTCGAGAGGCATCTGGGAAGCCAACTTCAGGATACACAGCATCAGGGAGTTGCCGGGGGCTCCTCTGTGTGCAGCTTGAGCGTACTGTCCGTAACTTGACCAACACAGAGAGCTGCAACCTTCAAAGATAACAGCTATCACAATGCTTTTATAGGCATTAGCTTAACTTTTAAAAACATGAAGTGGTAAAGCACATCTGTCTATCAAAATGACTTGGCCATTAACCTGTGAACTGTACTTTAGCACCAAAGGCTAATGTTGATGTGTACATCAACCTAACAGATTCACTGCTCTCACTGAGGGCCTAATTACCTCAAGAGTATTTAGAACATCAAGTTTATTTTAAAAATAAAATAAGCATAAAAGGTCTTTTTAATAGTTCCTGAAGAAGACATCTAAATAAAAGCCTGGGCAGAAGCACAGAATTATAGAAATTTTAGAACTTGATCTTAATGCCTTCATTTTATGCAAGACACATGAAGTATGTATCTTCGTGTCCCTGGGGTGGGGGACACGAAGATACATGCTCTAGCTGCACAGGCCCATTACCTCCATTGGAAGGAGGTAAAGAAAGAAAGGAGTTCAGAAGTACCCATGGATTGCTGGAGGTCACACAGCTCACAGGCAGCAGGAGCCAGAAGGATGTCTTCTGGCTTTCAAGAGTCCAATGTTCTCTCAGCAAATTAAGGAACCACATGAGATTTATTGAGGGAGGAAAATAATCATAAAAGAACTGGAAATTCATTATAATGTTTAATCAATAACACTATAATAACTAAACATAAGGTAGAATTAACTTGTGCAAGCTCCTGCAAGGAGGCTAGCTTTCATACAGTCACACCAAAGCCAAATTTATTTTGTAAAATAGACTCATAAAACCTGGATAAATATAAAAAAATATGGTGATCTCTCCTGTATTTTTGGGAGTCGGGGGTGGGGGGAGTACTGGGGTTTGAACTCAAGGCCTCACACTTCCCAGATATTCTGTCACTTGAGCCACGCCCCCAGTCCTTATTTGCTTTAGCTTTTTTTTTTTTTTAAATGGGGTCTTGAGTTTTTGCTTGGGACAGGCCTTAAGACTATAATCCTCCTACCTATACTTCCTATGTAGCCAGGACTATAGATATGTCCCAGCATGCCTGGCTTATTTGTTGAGATGGGGGAGAGGGGGTCTCACTAACTTTTTGCCTAGGCTGAACTAGAGCCATGAACCTCCTAATCTCCACCTCCTGAGTAGCTAAGATTACAGTTGTGAGAGTCACCACACCTGACTACCTCTCCTCGTTTCTCTTGTCTGCCTATCACACTGGAATAAAACTCCAAACCCCTAATTCTGGCCCCTGAGGTCCTACATAATCCATTCTGCTCTTTCAATAATCAGTTCTCACTAGAACTCACAATGCATAGCTTATAGGGAGTTCTCAATAAAATGTCTGGCAAGTGAATGAATAAAAGGAAGTCCTGGTGATATCAACTACTCCAAGACCAACTGCTCCTTGAACTAACTTTCATCATGCCAGTCTCCTGTTGTAGAATCTATGAAAGTTTTAACCTCCCCTTGGATTTTACACTATAATTTTCACCCTCTCAATTTACCTAATAAATTCAGGTTTCCCCCACCAGTCTATTCCCTGAACTGCCTGGTGTCTCTCTGATGTCAACAAACGCATTCTTAAAAATATCTGTCTGCTCCTATAATAGCCACAAGAAACTATGGCTTTGACAGATACATTCTCAGGTAACTAGAAGACACTTTAGACCATGTGTTCATTTTCCCAGTCATCTCAACAACATTTTATCAAACTAGAGTTCAGTTTATTACTGAAAAGTAACATTGGATTCTATTTACCATTTGGAAAATTCGCAGTGTAGACACAAAGTAGTTGCAAGGCAATTTGCATCAATGAATCATCCATCAAAAGCCAAGGCCAGAGAGAGTGCAAGACAGGGACAAGGTGAGCTCCAAGAGCTGCTTCCTGTTGTGGAAAGGAAATAGGGCAGCCTTTAGTTTGAATACAAGAATAAAAATTAAATTCAAACCCAAAAACACTGTCACCAGCTAAGGCAAAATTAAATTTTTAAGTGTGGGCCACCAGAATCCTGTGGCAGATTCTTGTTCGGGTCCCACAGGCATGGGGCTCCATATGCGGGTTCCATGATGGTGAGCGTGACCAGTCTCAACAGCCCCTTCCACAGCAGGCGCAGGATATGCCAGTCAGAGAAGGGCTGTGGAGAACAGTCTCTACACCATACAATTATGCAGCAAAGCAATGCCTCTCAACAATGAATCAGCTCTTGTAAAGGGTCTGAGAAGGTCAAGAAGTGGAAAATTCTGGTTAAGTAAACATTCTGATCTCTTCTTCCTTCTTAGTGTAGGTGTGTATGTGCACATGCATATACCAGAAGTAAATCACTACTTCTGAGTAATTTGAATACAGTGAAATTTAGTCTAAATGTCACACTGAATGAATAAATTCTTAAGTAACTAAATCAATTTCTCGGACAACATGATAGATAAAATGTGGCTACTTGCAGTAAGTCACCAGTATCTTTTTTAACAGGAATGAGTAATTTCTGTACCGCTGCATACATATGTGTGCATATACATGTCATTATACACACCCATACGCCACGCAACATCAGATAATAGAACAGAATGGGAAGTTATCCCCAGGTTCATCACTCTCCACAAGCTTTGATATTACTCCAATGTTCTTTCCCATATTCACCACTCTGTAAGCTGCACACCCAGACCTATACTGGCAGCGGATGACAGAAATGATTAGCCATGAACTCTTTTATCTATTCTGCCATTCTGTCCACATGGTTGGTCACCCGTCCACCCTTTTTATCTGCCTGGCAGTGGGAATAGGTGTTTTCTTGTTGGTAGAGATTGACAGTCCATCTGTGCTCTGAATCACAGTCCTTCCTGCCTCCTCAGGGATCTCAGTTCTTTCCTTCTGTCTCTTTAAAAGCTAGTCCCACATTTGCTCATGTTCTGCATATATTCAAGTAGTTTACACGTCAGTAGAACCAAACATACCGTACTGATGGAGCTTGTAGAAAGGGCACTCATCGCTGTCATTTACCCATCTGACATTTCATCTCCAGCTCATTTCAATTTGATTTTCTGCTATGATGATTCCACTGAGACCACTCCCAGTTTTACAGGTATCAATCTCCCTGGTACTCAGGCATTTCCTACTGGTCTCTTGCTTCATTTCCATGATAGGTAGATCATCTACAAATTCCTCCTCCAGTATATCCTTCTTGTTGTTTTCTGCCTTCTTGTACATGTTTATATTTTCTAAAGATATGATCTAGGATTTCACTTTATAAGAGTATCTTGGGAAATTTTAACTAGTCATGGCTATAGAGACTATATACACACTCCTGATATTCCCAACTGGTACTCCTCAGGGCCACAGACCTATATGATCTACTGACTACAGGTGGCTCTCCACCTTAATACCCCAAAGACACTTTATAACACATGCAAAATGTGAGCATCAGGGATCACAGCTATACTCTCTGATCCACTGTGCAGCTTACACTGGAGTCAATCTACATTTTTCCTCTTTCTCCTAAATTCTTCAGTTTTTCTCCCTACTGTCCTCCTTTTCTATCTGCCCAAGTTAGGGTCTTGTCATCATTTGCCTACACCATTAGTGGAGGGGTAACTTGGTGAATTACCTCAATAGTGACTAACAATTGGTAATGACAGTACTTCGCATATCTCAGGTAAGCTGGAACAGGAAAGAAATTAAGAATCTCTGCCCTATTTAAACTCTTTGACTTACTGAAAAAAAACACACTTTTATAGGTGACTAGTATGATCCAAACATTAGCCTGGTTACTCATCTCATAAATCCTTTTTTATGAGTGGCTGGAGTGGGGAGAGGAACTGGGGATTGAAATCAGGGCCTCATACATGCTAGGTAAGTGCTCTATCATTTGTGCTACACCCCCAGTCCTTTTCATTTTAACTTTGTTTTTGAGACAGTGTCTGGCTACCTTTTTGCCTGGGCTGACCTTGAACTTGCGATTCTCCTGCCTCCGCCTCCCGAGTACCTGGGATTATAAGCATGCTTCACCATCCCGACTCATCATAAATCTTTACAGATAGATCCTACTTGTCAAGTGCTCCAGAGTATTCCCCAAGTAAGGTGTCATGGTTGAATAGTAACTGTACCAGACACAAGGATAGTATTTAGCATGAAGGAATCATAAATTAAGTAAGTATCTGTTTTGAGAAAAAGTTCATAAAAACTCATAATGGGAATTTTAATAAAATATATAAATAAATAATTCCTGTAAAATTGTTTTGAAATGTAAATTGTCAATCATGTCTTATTCAACACAGTTTAAGGAATAGACATTCAACATTTTCTTTTCCCAATACAGTATGTTTATCCAGCTTTACCACAAGCAAGAGCACAAAAGTAAGAAATTTAAAGACAAAGGAAGTTTCTACAATTCTCTGCCTTACTCATTTTCTATACTAAAGCATTGATTCAGTGCTTCAAAAGTGTTGTGTCTCTGTAGATGAAGCAACTTAAAGTAACAGCATCAATGCTTAAAGACAAAGCCCCTCAGTGGATTAAGACAGAGGGGTTGTGTATTGATCACAGGAATGAGCCAAACTGGGAGTAAAGAACTTCCTCTAGGTGTATATGACCACACTGAACACAGCAGTAAGTATTTCCTACTCAAAGCAGGAAACACACTCATCTTCCCTTCTTATACACAGAGATATCCTCTCAAACACACTTACTCTCTTTGAGGTAGTTGCCTCTGAAAACCACCTTTGAAAACATCCACCTTATATACATATACAGCCATTCATTCCATCCTAGTAAAGAAATACTCACAGTGAATGACAGTATAGAATGAGGCTGACGTTTGTGAAGTTAAAGTTTCAGTGATAGAGTCAAAACACTGACATAAACCAGAAATATAATCAGTGTTGAGGAATAACAATGAGATTGGGCACATCCATTTCTGAGAATTAACTCTGAGTTTAAGGACCAATCAACAGTGTACCATTTAAAATTCCAAGAGTTTCCCATTTTTTGTCCTATGTTATCTCTTATAAAAATTTAAGCTGTTTAATACAGTTTTTTTGAGGAGGAGCTCTACTTACTTTACATTCTTCATTTTGATAAAGACAGTTTCTTAGAAGTTGCATGGTAATGCTTAACTCTTTAACAAAACCATCCTCCTGTTTAAACAAAAAGAAGTTGAAAATGTGAATGAAGCAGCATACTCCTTTTTATATACAGTAATCTCCTCCCCCTTCGATCACAGTACACTGCAGCTGTGCTCTAATCATGCCTGACCACTGTAACTTTCAGGGGACTGACAAGCTAACAATCTCTGAAAGATGACCGTACCTCAAGAAGTGCATCCACCACAAAAAAGCTATTTCTGATCTATCAACTGTGGAGGAACTCAAATATATAACAGCCTCCATGTTTCACCTCAATAAAGTGAAGCAGCTACTGACTAGGTTTCAGTCACACCAGGTATTGGCTGGCTTTCTCACTGATGAAGGACTTTTGGATAGAGAGGAAAAAGGAAAAAAGAAAAAGAAAAGAAACTAACAAGCCTGAATCAAACCTATTTACCAACTGAATTATTATTATTATTTTGGTGGCACTGGGGTTTGAATTCAGGGCCTCATGCTTAGTAGGAGGTGCTCTTATGACTTAAGCCACTCCAACAGCCCAACTAAATTAAATAAGGTTTCATCTTGTTTAACTACTAGTTATTACACAAGTGTGGCTCTACCGTCCTTACCTTCCACCACACGTGCACTTGTGTGTTTATACACTCACGAACATACACATGCATTTTCTGAATGTGTCTGTGGGGCAAATGTTACTGATCATAGTCATCACTAATCAGAGGCACTATATAAAAACTACGATTCTGAATGTGCATGAACATGGAGTTTAAACAAGTCAAGCAGACTCAGTGCTAGAGGAGATATTCAGTGCCATGGAATGAGATAAACAGAAATTAACAATACCAGCTCTGCTAGATCCCTGTCTGTCACCTGTGCTAGTATCAGCTCAAAGTGGATTAAGGTCCTTAATATCAGACCAAAAACCTTGCAGTTAGTACATGACAGAGCAGGTAATACTCTGGAAGCAAAAGGCATAGGCAAGGACTTCCTCAGTAGGACTCTAGCAGCCCAGCAACTAAGAGAAAGGATGGACAAATAGGACTACATGAAATGAAAAAGCTTCTGCACAAAAGAAATGGTCTCTAAACTGAAGAGACCACCTACAGAGTGGGAGAAAATATTTGCCAGCTATACATCAGTCAAAGGACTGATAACCAGAATATACAGAGAGCTCAAAAAACTAAACTCCCCAAAAATTAATGAAGTGGGCAACTGAACTAAACAGAACTTTTTCAAAGGAAGAAGTCCAAATGGCCAAAAAAACACATTTAAAAAAGCTCAACATCCCTGGCCATAAAGGAAATGCAAATCAAAAGCATATTAAGATTCCACTTTGAACCCTCGCACACTGCTGGTGGGAATGCAAACTAGTGCAACCACTCTGGAAAAAAATTTGGAGGCTTCTTAAAAATCTAAATATTGATCTACCATATGATCCAGCAATCCCACTCTTGGGGATATACCCAAAAGACTGTGACACAGGTTACTCCAGAGGCACCTGCACACCCATGTTTATTGCAGCGCTATTCACAATAGCCAAGTTATGGAAACAGTCAAGATGCCCCACTACTGACGAATGGATTAAAAAATGTGGTATTTATACACAATGGAATTCTACTCAGCCATGACGAAGAATGAAATCTTATCATTCGCAAGTAAATGGATGGAACTGGAGAACATCATTCTGAGCGAGGTTAGCTAGGCTCAGAAGACTAATAATCGTATGTTCTCTCTCATATGTGGACTTTAGATCTAGGGCAAATACAGCAATGTGATTGGACTTTAGTCACATAATAAGGTGAAAGCATACATGGGAGGTATAAGGACAGGTAAGAAACCCCCCAAAAACATGATACTATTTGATGCCCTCAATGCAAAGGAACTAATGCAGAAACGTTAAAGTGACCAAGGTCAATAGAAGGGGATCAGGAACTAGAGAAAAGGTCAGTTCGAGAAGAATCAACTTAGAATGTAACACATTTGTTCATGGAAGCAATGCTAGGAATCTCCCTTTATAGCTATCCTTATCTCAGCTAGCAAAAATGCTCTGTCTTTCTTATTATTGTTTATACTCTCTCTTCCACAAAATTAGAGATAAGGGCAGAACAGTTTCTGCCCGGAAGCGAGGAGGTAGGAGAGGAGAGGAAGGGGGCGAGGGGTAGGGGGAAGAAATGACCCAAACATTGTATGCACATATGAAAAAAAAAAGATTCTACCTCATTCCTGTTAGAATAGCTACCATCAAGAAGAACACCACAAACAAGGATGTGGGGAAAAAGAACCCTCATACGCTGCTGATGGGAATGTAAGCTAGTACAACCACTTTAGAAAACAATATGGAGGTTTCTTAAAAAACTGAACATAGATCTGCCATATGATCCGGCAATCCCACTCCTGGGGATATACCCAAAGGAATGCGACTCAGGTTATTACAAAGGCTCCTGTATACCCATGTTTATTACAGCACTACTTATAATAGCCAAGCTATGGAAACAGCCAAGATGCCCCACTACCGCAAATGGATCAAGAAAATGTGCTACTTATACACAGTGGAATTTTACTCAGCCACAAAGCAGAATGAAATTTTGTCATTTGCAAGTAATGCAAGTAAATGGATACAACTGGGGAACATCACCTTAAGTGAAGTTAGTTAGGCTCAGAAGGCCAAAAATCGTATGTCTTCCCTCATATGAAGATTATAGACCCCAAACAAATGCAGTAATATTACTGGGCATGGGTCACACACTATGTGCATGGGAGGAATAGGGAAAGTGAAGGAAACCTAAAACTTTAATGTAGTTGATGTGCTCACTGTAGAGGAGCAAATATAGTAACCTTAAACTGGCAGAGGCCACTAGGGGAAGGAGATTAGGAAGCAGCAAAGAGGTGAACCAATGTGTGTTGCAATACACAAGTGCGTGAAAGCAACACTAGGAATTTTTCCGTATAGCTATCTTTACCTCAACCCAGCAAAAACGCTATGTCTTTCTTATTATCGCTTATGTTTTCTCTTCAACAAAATCGGAGAATAAGAGGGTGGAACAGGTTTTGCCTGGGGTGGGGGAAACGATGTGCCCAAACAATGTATAAACATAAGTAAATGTAAAAATGATAAAAGAAAGAAAGAAAAAGAAAAAAAAAGAACACGATACATTACTCAAAAAAAAAAACAAACAAAAAAAAACAGCTCTGCAACTTCCCAGATGTGGGGCAAATTCTTGCCTTATCAGTTGCCAGCTGTGTGACTATGCTGTTACAAGTGTTTATGGTATAATAAATACGAATGTTGGACTAGAGCCAAACATAGGGCATGTTTAATAAATTCTAGTTACAGATCTTACTTCCTCAGGAACTTATGTTTGCTTTGAGTTTTTTCTACTATCTTTTTTTGGTGGTACTGGAGTTTGAACTCAGGGCCTCATGCTTACTAAGCAGGCACTTAGTAAGAGCCTCCAGCTCTTGCTTTAACTTTCCTTTTGTTGTATAAGGATGGCACAGTGTCTGCTTAGCAAATGTGAGACCCTGAGTTCAAACCCCACTGTGGGAAACAAAAGGCCTACCTCTTTTTGTTGTATAAAAGCTTATCTGATTTAGTATCATGCACAAGTGGATATTACCAAATGTGTATAATAACAAAAATACACAATATATAAATCTCATCTAAAGATTTTCAAGTGAGAATTAATGGGGAAAAAAAGCCAACAGCCTGCTAACACAGAAGTCCATTAGTTTATCTGATTGCTCCTTTCTTCTGACTTAGATGCTCTTCCAATCTTGTGCTCATATACAGGCATAAGAGCGCTGGGGGCATGGTCACTGTGTGCATTCATTCCTTCACGTGGTATTTCAGAATTCAGTTACCTTCTTTTTCAGCACTGCCTTCCCAGGCCTCAAAGAATCCAGGTTCAGTTGTGCATTAATGTGCTTCATCTGTTGCATGCAGCTGTCTATGAGATCAGCTGAAAAACAAAATCTGCAACAGTCAAAAGGATATTCCATTTTCTAGTTAGTTAAAACCACACATGAGTCTCAAAAAAACAAAACTTATTTCTGACCTAATTCATTTTAGTATTATCAGTGAAAGACTAATGAATCAGGAGGAAAAAAAGAATTAAAATGCTGAAGTCCACTTATTTTCAGTTCTTAGTAAGGTATTCCCCAAATTTAATTTACATTTTGGGGCTTGCATAATTTGTTTTAGGAGAAATGTTAATTGAAATTAATGGACTTTATGTTGCTATTATTCTGTTTCAGGCCTACGTTCCTTAATGTCCAGATGAGAAACTGTAATACATTAGAGAGGATATTTATATGAAAATACAGGACCTCATGATATGGTTGTTATTACTATCTAAATTCTGGTGTGTGTATGTGCATACATGTGTGTTAGGTATGTAAAATAACTATGGATAATAATAGGCAATTATTACAAAGTTGAGTAATATGTTGCTTTAGCTTTTCTATTATTTACATATAGATTGTCTAGAGTAAGAATCATTACATGTTAAAAAATAATCTTCACGAATACTATTTTTATTTTATTTATTCTTTATGGTGTTAGGTATCAATCTCAGGGCTCTGTGCATGCGAGGCATGTGGCCTACCACTGAGTTACATGCCCAATCTTTTTATTTTAAAAGTAATGAGTGCTCACTATGTTTCTGTATGAAAAACTGTATTTTGTTAGAGTTTATACTGTAAGTATTGAGGTTATACTGTAAGTTCTTTACATTTTGAGTCCAAATATTACAATGACCAAGAGCAAAATTTGACAACAGCACCACATAAGCAGTTAACTGTTATGAGATCACCTTTCAAAGCATGTTTCTGGGCTCTTCTGCTGACAGCCAGGAGTGACATTAATGCATTTGCAGCAACTCTTTTCAGGATATCTTTGGGAGATGTTCCATCATAGCACTGCAGAAAATACAGACCAAACTGCCTTGAAGAAAAATGTAATCTGGAGTAAAACTGTTGTGAATAAAAGATGTGCTCAAACTAAAAAGCTTTGTTAATTTCCAACTATTGTGTGAAATTCACTGAAATTTGCTAAATCATCAGTATCTGAGAACGGTCTGGGTGGTTAAGACTGTATAAGACATTTGTAATCTAGAAAAGACCAACAATCACGCTACAAGACTCTTCATCTCCAGAAAAAAAGGCAAGTTCATGCACTTAAAATTGTTGAAACTATTCAGGAATGGGGGGAGAGAGGATAAAGGAGAATGATGGAGGGGGTGAGATCAACTATGAGGTATTTAAGAACTTTTGTAAATGTCCCAATGTACCCCCAGTACAACAATAATTAAAAAGGCAAAAAAAAAAAAAAAGTGCCCAGGGCACATATATTAAAACGGTTCCTTGGAAAGCTATGAAACTGTATGGCTGCCACCAAATCCCTCTCTCCTGGGGACACATCCCCTCCTCCATTTCTAGTGTGCCTTGGGTGATTTAGTTCTTAAATAACATGTACCTGTTACATAATGAATTTTCTAAATATTTCTCACTTTTTTGCTCCTATTGAAATGGAAAATCACTTGTTATTTTGAAAATTACAAGATTTCCTTTATATATTTAGGAATTTGTGAATCAGAAATTTTATTAAAAAATGTCTAACCTTTACACAAATTAGGAAGAGAGTAACAAACTCCCATACTCTCTTTTTAAAAAATTCTAGCTGAACACTGTAAAGTAAATTCCAGATAGAGGATATCATCCAATATGCATAACCAAAAAGTGATTTTCGTACTTAGCATAATTAACAATAATTTCTTGGCACCAACTAATACCTAATTCAAGTTCAGATTTTTGTCTCCAAGGTGTCTCCTTGCGGTTGGTTTACTGGAACGGAGGACCCAAGTAATGCTGACATCCTATCTACTAAACGGAAAGCACCACGGCCTGCCACACTACCACTGCGGTTACTGTGTTGCTGTTGTTCCCCGCATAGTATTGGACTCAAGACTAAAGCTGATGAGCCCTCCTACCAAATGCCCCGCATTCTAGATTTGTCTGCTTGCATCCTCATGGTGATGTTTAACTTCTCTTCTGCCCTGTGTTTCCTGTTTTCGGGACCTGTTAGCTTTCAAGGCTTATCTAGATTTACATTCAGCTTCTAGCAGTAAGATCTTACATGGATATACGCATAACTTTTTATTATAGGGCTAGAGGAGGGGCTTAAGTGGTAGAGCTCATGCTGAGAAAGCACCAAGTCCTGAGTTCAAACCCAAGTACCACCAAAAAACAAAAAAAGATTACTTGTTATTAGTTTCAAGGGTTTATAAATTCCCATTCAAAAGTCCATTATTTGCTTTGTCGATATTATAAATAGTCCAAATCGATAACTTTCCATTTTATTAGTAATTTTCAAAATGATTCAGCTTTAAAATAGTACAAAAATTAAGCTTAAAATTGTATAATTTCACACAAAAATATAGGACAACATAATTATCTAGATGTAGCTGTATTTATGATTCCTTTCTGGCCTATGTTTGGAAATGTGACACTGAAGGAGTCTGACAATGGGCCTCCCAGCAAGGAATCATCCTAATGTTGCATGTAGGTGGCTGCCTCCAACTGGGCAGAGACCTATTGGCCAGGCACTTACATTTTAAATGCGTAGACCCAGGGATACTTGGTAAAGATCATACTGAGTGTAACCATGAAGATAAGAGGTTAAAAAAATAGTATGTGGACTACAATCAATACAATTACCTATCAGAGTCTTAATTTTTCTTTAAAGGTAATCTTCACCATTAATAGAAAAATGGCTCTGTTGTATTGATCCTTATTGAACCTATATGCATTAGTATATGAGAAAAACCAAACTGATCCCATTGAGAAGTAGTAACCACCTACTATACATAGTAATTAGGGGAGGGAAAAAAAAAGAGGTAAGACTCCTTTCCCATTGAGAAGTAGTAACCACCTACTATACATAGTAATTAGGGGAGGGAAAAAAAAAGAGGTAAGACTCCTTTATGTCTGTGTTTTCCTCTTGAAATCCCATTAGGATGACAAAAATGGGACTATATGTGTGCACACACACTCGCTCACATTTACACATGACAAAAGTCTAGAAACTAGAAAGCAGCTGGGTGAATGGCAAACAGGTGAGGCAGGAGAACCCTGAAGTCTATGTGGTGAGTGGGAAAAACAAACTACTCCAGTTATGCACTGAGTAGCTGAAGGCTGTGGAAGTGAGGGTTGAGGGTAGAGAGGGCTGTTTGAAAAATCTCCACGAAGCAGTTACATTCCCAGATCTGCCTACTGACAACCAATTTCTGTGTAGCCAAACTACTCCTCTTTCCCAGCTCTTGCAAACTCCTGGAGTTCAGTCACTGGAGCTGATAAATTAGGATTTTGAGCTGGTAGAGCAGGCACATTTGTAGTGAAGGGTACTTCCTGAAAACAGGAAGATTGCATGAAACTGTGCAAACAACCTTTGCAGTTCGCCTGCACTGTGATGCCGACAAGTTACACTCACAGGCTCAGGGTGGTCAAATCTACGTTAAGTCTCCCGGTCTCAAATAGAACAGGTAACCAAGATTATCAGACAAGTCTGAAAAGTCCCTAACCTGAAAATAGAGACAAAATGCAGAAGAAGACAGAAAAGAGGGATTACGCAGGAAGCAGAAAACTTAATAGGCGTTCCAAACATACAGAGCACATAAAGCAGGAATGCCAGTGAAAAGACAGAAAGAGCCCATTAGAGAGCCCAGCACAATGGATAAAACAACCATGACTACATACTTCATCAGAAAACTGAAGAATACCAGAAATGGATGATTCTTAAAAACTTCCAGGGAGAGAGAAACCAAGAATCATAATGGGTTCACAATTTTCCACAATAACACTAGGGTGTTAGTAGAGCCATTTTTCTATTAATGCCCAATCAAAATTCTCATTAACCAAATTATAAATTAGATGTAAGGCTAGACTAAAGGCTTTCACATGTCCAGATCTTAGAAAAACCTCCTGTGTACCATTTCCCTGGCAGCTACAGAACAGACTCTATACCAAAAGGAGGGCACCAACCAGGAGGGAAGGACATGGGGGAACAGTACACTACATGGAGCAGAGAGGCCAAAAATGCCACAGAACAAGGTGAATGGACACCAGGCAGAGAAGGTCAAAGGAAACAGGAGAGATTTATTCTGGTAGATGAAACAATGTTAAGTTTAGATAAATCTGAACACACTGAAAGAACATTTGACTGCTGGCAAGTAACATGAAGCTTATAAAGATAACAGAAAATTCAGCAAATTAAAAAAATATAATTATTATCTCCAGGGAAACAAAAGCTGTGTAGGAAAAGAAACATTGTCTGCAACATGGTTCACCTGTGAAAAATCTGTAATTTTTCATGGTTTAATACTTTATACACTACCTATTCTTTAAGCATTGCAGTGAATACCATTATTGAGAGCACAAAATGGGAACTCATTTTGGACAGGTAGGTGAGTAGGATACAGAAAAAGCTGAAGTCTCATTTTCCATGGTAGAAATTCAACAGATAATGTCTAAAACTGAATGATCAAGATAAATAAAAATAAGCATACTATTTAGAGTGACCAAAGGGAAATTATTTTTAAAAAATTAGCTAAATGAGGTGTAAGTGATCACCTCTCAGAAGAAAACTGGGGGAGAAAGGTAGTTAGAAGTCCCTTGCTTTAGGTAACAACTTGTAGAACTGTTTGATGCTCTAAAATGTCTACATGGTCAAACTAATATGAATGACAAAAACCTAAACTGAGCAAACAAAAATAAATAGGACATACCAACAGTAAATTCACATACTTTTCAACATATATTGAGAAAGGTAAGGTTTTGATTTCCATTGCTTTTCACATGAACTTTGCAGACTGAACAGAGGTCTGAGGATCAGGTGGGCATGGATGGAAGGGTCAGAAGCCCCAACATAGGAAAAATTCAGGAACAAACTCAAGTGACAAACAACTAGCTGCTGAATGTCACAAACACAAACGAGGAGGACAGATAAATCAAGAGAATTAAGAACAGGAAATATTTTGTCTTCTTATCAACAAGTGGTATCAAGAAAATAAAGGACTCAATGGAATTTATTTAAATTTTATGTACTTTTTAGATAAGTCTATTGTGTACATTAAGTGATACTGGGTATTCCACATCAAGGTTTTTTTTTTCTTTTTTTTTTTTGGTGGTTCTGGGGTTTGAACTCAGGGCCTTGCACTGAGCACACTGTACCATTTGAGCCACTCTGCCAGCCCTTTTTTGTGTTGGGTATTTTCAAGATAGGGTATTTCTATTTGTCCAGGCTTCCCTCAAACCTCAACCTTCCTAATCTCTGCCTCCAGAGTAGCTAGGATTGCATACATCAAGGTATCTGTTATTGTTACTTTGTTCTGTTTTTCCTCCTAAAAGGTACTTAACATAAAAACTGGCTCTTTAATTACCCTGAGCATTCATTAAACATACAGGTATATCAAACATGTAAGATGTTGCTTCAATAGATTTACTCTTGAATTTTACTATTAACTAAACATAAGTATAAAATATATTTCCTAAAATGTAACGTAAGTTTATTGTTTCCCTACATTACTACTCTTAGATATCAAAGGAATAAAATTAATTCGATATATCCATAACAGAGAAAATCTATAATATACAGATATTTTAATCTTATTATCTGCATGTACTTACACATGAAATATATTGAAAATTCCTATAAAGGAAGGTAAAACTCCATTAAGTCATATATTTTATAGAACAAAGCTAGTAATTTCATAGAGAATATTCAAATTCTGAAACCATCTTGAAACAGATTTATGAAAAAATATCTTATACATATTTATGATCTAAAAACATATGATTTCAGTGTTTTCCCTATGCTACAGTGCTATAAAGCAGTCACTCAAAAGATACTCTGCCAAGACATTTTAATCGAACTTCCTATCTAATAACTTATAAAGAAATGGAGAATTTTAGAGGCAGCTGAAACTTAGCAATAATGTAATACAATCCTCTCATTTTACATTTGAAGACCTGAATCACAACAGGTTAAGTGATTTGCCTAAGGTCTCATATCTAATATTCTTTGAGATTCTTTGAGTATAGTTTTACAGACTTTAAATCCCTTTAGAGGATATCAATTTTAGAATACTGTACTATTTCTCCTGATAAACTAAAGACTACAGCTTACTTTGCTACTTCTAGTTCATGGCACAACCCACTGCCCACATAAACATGTAGTAAGGAGTATATAATATTTACGATAATGTGTTGTTGTTTAATATAGTCTAACAATGCTTTAATTCACGTATCTTCTTTCTGTACGACAGATAACATATAGTATTGGTAGCTCAAAAGGGCCACTGATAACTCCCACCTTACATGAGACACACACTTTCTAAAAAGTGTACACGGGTACAACTCTCTCTTCACTCTCACTTACACTTATCCATGTTCTTCCATCTAGCAGTCCACATTCTACTGTTATATGAACAAGGAGATTATGATTCATAGGACACGTGTTTTAATAATAGGTTACTGTATCCATATCTACACAGAATGCTTTGTATCTTTTGTAATTTGGAAGAAATTGAAAAGAAAAATTAGGGCTGGCAAAGTGGCTCAACCAGTAAGAGCACCTGCCTAGAGAGGAAAATCAGATAGTCACTAGGAAACTTGAGGTATCCTATAGCTGTAGAATTCCACATATTCTTTGGCCAAAAAGGTTAACACCAAAAGATTATAAATAATAACTTTTATAATAAATAACATTACAAAGTAGTAGGGAAGCATGCACTATGAGCAACAGAAAACAGGGGGAATAAATATCCCTGGCCTGGCCTGGCTGGGAGTCTTTACATTTCAAAGGTCCAGGGGCCACTAGGAGCCAGGCTCCTAGAGCTGTTTGGCACTTTGGTCTAGGGAAGGCAGAAGCCAAGTATGCTGTTCCCTCTTCTCTGTGGGAAGTCATTTAAATTCCTTAGAGGAAAGCATGCCAACAAAAGCAAGGGCCTTTCTATAAGAAAAAGGGTACTCTGACAAAGCCAAAGATAAAAAACTAATTATACTGGATGGAGGCAGTGTTTTAAAAAGGTGTGAATTTGAGTTTTCTTTGTAATACTCTTTTGGGGAAAGGGTGGTATGAACTCACAGTGCTCTACCACTTGAATCACATCCTTAGCCCCTTTTTTGCTTTAGTTATTTTCCAGATAGGATCCCACACTTTTTGCTCAGGGCCATCCTCTGAATATGATCCTTTATTTCTGCCTCTCTTATAGCTGGAATTACAGGCACAATCCACCACACTTGCTTATTTGTTGAGATAGGGTCTCTGAAATTTTTTGCCTGGTCTGACTTCAAAACTACAATCCTCCTGATTTTCGCCTCTGCAATAGCTGGAATTCTAGGTGTGCACCACCACATGCAGTGTAAAATAATCTTCAAAATGCAAAATCCAACTCAGCTGACCACTGGAGAAATAAAGCTATTGTTCTGAAAGAGAATGAGACAACTGGGGCATCCTGCAGGTTTTGTTTTTAGCTATGAAAATTTGAGTGGGCTATTTAAGCAACACAAAAGTATAAATGACTTAAAGTTAATTCATTTAAACACTAAAGTTTAGAAAAACCAAGAAATCACATACCTGGAGAATCACTTTATTAAGTCGTTCTGAAGATTTCTGATTTTCCTGAGTTTCATCAAGAAGTGAAGCCATTGTTTGAGGGCAGCATAAGCTTATTTTGTCCTTATCCTGAAGACGCCATTTTACTTCCTCAGTCAAGAGAACAGACAGGAACTGCAGGCTGGCAGCACACAGGGCAGGGCACCTGACCGACAAGTCCACACATCTACAGAGTACATCTAAAAAGAAGAAGGATTTCAGATGCAAATCAAACATTTAAAAATTTCTTCTTCAAGATTATGGAGGAAATGAATCCAACTGAGCTGAGTAATTAAGCTTATAGCTTTCCTATTTTTAATGATATAAAGTTATCAATAGCTCAAAGAAAGACTCTACTGCTTAAAATTAAATAACATTAGTGTAACATACTGAATCAAGTCTGTTTGATTTTTATTATGTTTTATCATTTATATTCGAAAGCAAGTCTGTCTACAAATGCACATATAAACACTATTTGCTAAGATCGAAAGTAAGAGGACAATAGGTAGATGAGCTTTACCGTGATACACAAAATCTTAAGAATTTTTAACTTTTAATCTGGATTTCATGTTATCATTCGCTGGTAAATGGATGGAATTGGAGAACATCATTCTGAGTGAGGTTAGCCTGGCCCAAAAGACCAAAAATCGTATGTTCTCCCTCATATGTGGGCATTAGATCAAGGGCAAACACAACAATGGGATTGGACTTTGAGCACATGATAAAAGCGAGAGCACACAAGGGAGGGGTGAGGATAGGTAAGACACCTAAAAAATTAGCAGCATTTGTTGCCCTTAACGCAGAGAAACTAAAGCAGATACCTTAAAAGCAATTGAGGCCAATAGGAAAAGGGGAACAGGAACTAGAGAAAAGGTTAGATCAAAAAGAATTAACCTAGATGGTAACACCCACGCACAGGAAATCAATGTGAGTCAATGCCCTGTATAGCTATCCTTATCTCAACTAGCAAAAACCCTTGTTCCTTCCTATTATGGCTTATACTCTCTCTACAACAAAATTAGAAATAAGGGCAAAATAGTTTCTGCTGGGTATTGAGGGGCTGGGGGGGAGAGGGAGGGGGTGGAGTGGGTGGTAAGGGAGCGGGTGGGGGCAGGGGGGAGAAATGACCCAAGCCTTGTATGCACATATGAATAATAAAAGAAAATAAAAATCTGGATTTCAGTAGTAAGGTTAAGAAAATGTTAGCCTATGGCTGGGGATATGGTTCAGTTGTTGAGTGCTTGTCTAGCATGCATGTTCAATATCCAGCACAAAAAAAAAAAAAAAGAGTAAGACGAAAAGAAAAAAAAGGTTTAATATACTCTGGATGAATATGAAATGTATGAATGCATTTCTGTTTTCAAACAAGTTGGTGTCAAGTGATGCTCAAAAGTCAAGTAGTTGTGCATGCCTGTAATCCCATAACTCTAAAGGGAGAGACAGGAGAATCAAGAGTTCAAGTCGGTCTAACTACAAGTAGTTTCAAGGTCAGCCTGAGATAAATAGAGAGACCCTATCCCAGAAGACCCAGTCCTGGGGCTGTAGCTCAGTATGAGAACACTTGTCCAGTATGTGCATGGTCCCCGCACTGCAAAACAAATGGAAAGCTACTTAAAAGAAAGACAGTCTGCAGTGCTGGGATGATGCAGAAATGTTTCATAGTAATTTACAAAAAGTATAAATGCTTATGAACTGATTTGTAAATATATTACAGGATGGAAAGAATGGCAAGCTGACAGAATCCACTTCAAGTCAGTCATTTCTAGTTTCTTGTGAGTCTCATTTAGTTTAATCAAAATAACGTTTGATAGGCCAGGCATGTGATGCATGCCTGCAATGCAATCTATGCAGGAGGCAGAGACAGGAGGATCGATGTTCAAGGCCAGTCATGACAAAGGTAGCTTGAATCCCTATCTGAAAAACAAACTAAAAGCAAAAGGACTGGGGTGTGGGTTCATGTGGTGGAACACCAGCCTAGCAAGTGGGAGGCCCTGAGTTTAATCTGCACCCCTCCCAAAAAAACTATTAAAGCAACTGAATTTTATAAATTTATTACATTTAACTTTATTAATTTGAAAAGTACCAGGTCAAATTTTATTTATTGATTGACTGATTGATTGCAGTACCAGGGCTTGAACTCAGGGCTTACAACTTGTGCCACTCCATCAGCCCTTTTTTTCTGAAGCATTTTTCGAGATAGGGTCTTGTGAAGCCCAGGTTGGCTTCAAGCCACAACCCTCCTGATTTCTGCCTCCTGAGAAACCAGGATTATAGGTGTGAGCCACCGATGCCCAGCTATGCTTCATTTTTATACTATTTTGTACTTATTCTTATGTGAAAATTATAACTTCAAGAAATTCCACTTAGATTTAGGCATATACAAATTTATTAACGTAAATATCATGTAACTAGCAAAACGGTTTTATGAAAATTATATTCATTTAAGTACTGTACAACTAATCACATTTGAGAAAAGACTGTTACCATAAGATGAATTAAATGTACATTTAATTCATAGTAGGCACACATAGGAAGGACACTGACTTAAAAATAAACATACATCAAAAACCCTACCATGGCAAGGAACATCAAATGTAATTTTTATTTGTTATCTCTTCATTAACTTCATCATTATCAAAACTGTTTATGTAGAGAGATCCAAGATGGCGGATATGAGAAGGAATCAGAATTCCTGAGTTTTACAAGTTCAGAAACCACTTGGAACTGTGGTAGCTATGTTTGGGTAATTCTGATTCTTTTTAGCCAACTAAATAACCACCAACACATAGGGTGCACAAAATTCATGGACTGAGCCTTAAAGCAGCTTTTAATCGCACTTAACAGTGGGGAAATCCAGGTGTGGCAAAGCCACTAGGACCATCTGCCTCGGGAAAAGCCCCTGGCTATTCTCCTTTTTTTCTTTTTTGCAAAAAGTAGAAGACAGAGGATCAAACAGAACTGAACCCTGCGACCTACTGTACCCTTAACCTGTGGAAAGCCTGCATACATCCTGCCAACCTGGGCCAGTTCCTGTAAGCCTCTGCCTTGGGAAAAGCTGCCCACCATTTCTCCCCACAGGCCCGGTTCCAAAGCTGCCTGAGTAAATCTGCAAACCTAACAGCCCCGCACCAAATGTCCTCCCAGGCACACAAACCAGCACAACTTGTGGGCAGATTGCGCCCCCCACCCCCAACAAAACTGAACGACACACACAGTGAATAGAATCTACCGCTGACAGCAGGTACAGGGTGAGACACTGAACCAACCTTGCGGGGGGGGGGGGGGGGGATGAGGAACAACTGCTGAGAGCAGCGGTGGGGGTGGGGCGACAAGGCAACCTCCCAGGGCAGGGGCATGGTGGATGGCTGACCTTATCACCTGGGCAATGCACAAAACTGAATTGCCCCACCTTGTTGGGGAGGAGCTGACCAGCCAGAGTTGCAGCTGTGGAGGGACTCAGCTGCTGCCTGGTGAAAACAACAACCTGACTACTTGCACAAACTGGTAGTGAGCAATTACAGACATTAACTGCAACCTGCCTTGTGGGCAGAAGGAATGAACTAGGCTCACAAGCAGCCTTCTGGTGAGACCACTTCAGAGCTCCCACCTGCAACAGACTGACCATCAGACCAAGGAAAACAGGATTAAAATAACTCCAACTGACTCCCCGCTAAGCTGTCCAACAAAAAAGGCAGCACCCTTCCCTACACGGACCAGAATACCAACCTTGAGAAGAGACAGGGTGGTAAATTGCAAAAGAAAAATCTCAATCTCTCAATAAGGCAAGCTCTTTCAATTTCCACCTCTTTTAACTAAATAATGTTTATTTCAGGGGAAATACAAGTTATATGGAAAACAAAAATTTTTCTGTACTTTTGCATTTCTATACTATACAAAATCCTGATATCTTCAGCAATGTTGATATTTTGATAACTCCCATGTTATGTGTATAGGATTCTATGTAGGCAGACTTACCAACACACAGTGCACCTATGTCAGAAGAGACTGTTCTACACCAACAAAAGAAAATGTATCTCAGTCAGACGCTGGTGGCTCACACCTGTAATCCTACTTATTCAAGAGGCAGAGATAAGGCAGATCTCTCAGTTCAAGGCCTATCTTGGAAATAGCCAACACATAAAAAAGCTGGCAGAGTGGCTCAAGTGGTAGATCACCTGCTTAGCAAGCGTGAAACCCTGAGTTCAAACCCCAGTACTGCCAAAAAATATCTATCTCATTGTTTTATAATCTTATCATACGTAGCTTCATAAAACCAAACTTTTCTTGTTTTTATCGCATCTTTAATGTTTTTGTTTTTCAAAAATGCATTTTGAGGGTTCTTTAAGAATACTGTAATTGCCTAAAAGCAAATATCCTGGTAACTCCTTCATATACCAGTCATAAGTACTAATCTTGGAGAACTGATGCATCTAATTGGGAATAAAGGCTATCCTAATTTCTATTATCAAAAGACCTAAGTGAGTGTCTTCTTACCGATCACTGCTTCCCAGTGCTTGGCCAGAACTGAGGTAATAGCAGGCAGGGAAACAGCACTGGCTTTCCTCAGGAGTGTGGCCAGAAGCTCAAATAAGTGTGTCCATGTGTGATAAAAAACTGGTACTAATTCTCCATCTATGAAATTAAACAAAATATTTCAAGTTAAATACACAATAAAAGACTTCCAAATATAAAGCTCACCACAGATACTCTATTATCCTAAAATAAGAAGTATACACTTGTCAAATAAATACAAATATTATTCATTTCTATCCAAAATTCATTTCAATGAACTCTGTCTTTTCTGTTGTTTCTTAAAGATATCTCCCCCCACCTTCCTATACACAAATATTCCTCTTATTAAAATACATTTAACAATAGTCAGAAAGTATTACAAATAGAACATAACCTACAACTACCTATAGGAGTATTATATTGTGCTAGTTCTATAAAAGAAAGTTTTTCTAATTTCCTTTATTCTCCTGGTAGCTTTGTGAAGGGTACAAAGGAAATTATAATATGCCAAGGTCAAGGCAGAAAAAAAGAATTTCCTTGAAGAAGCAAGAAGAATATTATCCAACAGAGAAAACCATGATACAAAAGAGGATCATGTAGCTTTGCCTAGGTCAACAATATACAATCAGCCTAGAGGGTAAACACAGTTTCCCAACTCTGCATTCAAGTCAATGGGAGCTAGAGAGCAGCAGAGGCCTTAGGACTCTCTCTGACCATGCCATCAAGCAGCATTTACCATATTTCATCAAACTGCACTATAAAGTAACCTGAAGACTTCATTAGGTGTGCCTTGGTACCATGAGATACTTAGATACAGCACCTTCCAGGGAGCTTGTATTATACCATCCTTGGTGTTTCTGAGCAGTTTTATCATTATTGGCTCTCTAAGGAGTTTACTTAGACATATGTTTCCTCATTGCCATCCCAAAAGAACTTTAATTCCACAGATACACTATGTATCTGTTTATGTACTATATGTATATTTGTACTTATATCTAAAAAAAGACTAAATATAAAGTTCACTCTTTTTATTCAACAAAAAGTTAAGAATGGGGGCTGTGGAGTGGCTCACATGGTAGAGTGCCTGCCTAGCAAATGCAAGGCCTTGAGTTCAAGCCCCAGTGCTACCAAAAAGAAAACAAAATAAAGCTTAAGAATGGCATATTTTAAATTAAAAAGTAAATTAACATTTAACTTTATTACTCTACTTGTTGAATAACTTTTATTGTAATTTATTTGCTTATAATGTATTTAGTTATATATACAAATTACAATTCACATAAATACATAGTAGCAGTATAACCAATTTCAATAAAATCATTCAAAACTGTTCTCTCAGAAAATAAAATTTTAAACTGTATTTCTAAAAATTATTTCTAGTGAATGAGTTTACCTTTTGCTACATATTAGAAAATAAATTTTATATTAACTAGCTGCCAAATGTACATTCAGATATTGCTATTTCCTTTTCAGCATTTGATATAACTAATACTAAATATTCTAATATAATAAAGTATATACTACTGTTATTTAATTTCCAAAGACCAAGTCCCAAAAGCAAGAGGAACAATATATAGCATGCAGAGGCAGCCAACAGCAGCCATAATGCTCAAACTACCTCTTGCCACATGACTCTGGGATCAAGCAACTGATCACCAGTCCTTCGATCGCAGCCTTCAGTTCATCACTAGTGCTGCAAACATCCTGGATGTCTTCCATGCACTCAATGTCAGTACTGCTCAAGGGATAGGGAAATCCAATATGAGAAATCAAATACTAAATAACAAGATTTTATCAGGTAGAAGGAAGCTTTGGAGGCCCACACACCATTGTAATAGCTAAGGTTTATTATTATTTTTATTTTGCCTCAGCCCCTTTTCCTAAGAATCAAGTCGCATTCCTTGGAGAGTAACTGTGAGGTCATCTTGTTGAGACTACAGTCTAACCTAATAAGCTCAGTTAGGCAGACACTGTCACTTGCAGAATTTCAAACTATGGAATTACTTGTCCTCAAGCACTGGGATAATTTTAACATGGATGAGATGCTAAGGACTTTTCTGGGTCTCATAACACATTTCACTCTTCAGACCTAAAGCCAAGCAAATCCACACAATTCAAAACACTAAACAAGAATGAACTAAAAGGCAAGAATAATTACCAAATGATCCATCATTTTACCAGGATCTCAAACTTGCAAGGCAAGTGCTCTACCACTGGGCTATACCTGAAGTTTACATTTGATTTGTTTCAATTTTGTCTACTAACAAGCATTACATTCAACACTTTTTCATAGACTATTTGCCAATAATCTAAGACCTGAGGAAATATTTGCTATTATACGCTAGACTGGCTTATATTTGTCATTTGACTGAGGTCACTTGGCCTCAGTCAGAGTTTATAAGAATAATTAATACCCCAAATCTACTGTACTTTCTAACATGACATGGAGAGTCTTGTCCTTATTTCAACTGGCAGGGTCAGTCCTTTATTATACTACACACTTGCCTTAAGTGGTCTCCTGGAACCAATTAAAACCATCCAAACTACAAAGGACATCATCAAAGCCTTCCAAAATACTGGCAAAAAACTAACCTTGAAGTGACTAGCTGGAGCAAAGTGAGATTTTTTTTTTCCTAAGTATTTTTTCCTAAATATTATTCACTTTTAACCTAAACTAAGAAAAATAAAGCTTACCAAGAAGGTCTTTGGTACATATGGTGAGAACTCCAATGACATTAGTGATAAGAGACTTCAGAACTTCGTCCTGCATCATAAGATTAGGATCTACCAATAAACAGGACTGCAGAAGCCTGGACAGAGAGGATAGGTATTCTAGGAGAAAGGAAACCTATTTGGAAAACAAGATAAAATATAATAAAATATATATGAAATGCCCATCTGAGTGACACAGTATTTTACTTTCCTATGCATTATAATAAATCACTTCATTATAAGACAACAAAACAGTAAAAAATATTAATCACAATTTTGTAGTTTAGAAAATTAATATAAAGCTGGCAAAGCATTTTTCACATGCTATAATCAAGTCATTACTGGCCAGATTAGCACTATGATTTACACTACCACCAAACAGAGAATCATTTCAAAGTCAAATTTTGTATTTCATTTTAAAAAAGGAAACTTGTCATATTTTTAAAGTAGATAAGCTGTGGAACCAGTATTCTGGAAGAAGCACAAAAGGGTATTCCAAAAACATAAAGTACACAATTTTGTAAAGAAAGAAAGATTTTTAAGATATCCTCAAAGTACTAAGGGGAAAAAAAGCATAATAGTCTAGTTATTGCTACAAATAAAATGCAAATATGTTCTCTATTTTTGTTCTTAACTATCTATCCTTTAGCATAAAAGTTCTAGTCTTAGGAATTACAGAAAAAATAATACTTCCAATATTATCAACAAAACCATCTCAGGAATTTCCTAATGCTAATATTATAACTACATACTGACAAATGTACTTTAAAAAATCCTCTGGATGTGTAAAATTGAGTTATACATGCAAATGAACTTTACAGAGATGTCCTGAGGCACTTTTTTTTCTCTCTCTCTGCATGCAAGCGCGTGCACGTGCGCGCACACACAGCCACCCACCCAATTTTCTCTCATCTTATTCTGATGCAAGAGTGCAATTAACAGTCAGGAGGATTGCAGTGGGGAGCAGCTCAAGAGGCATGGTGCCTGCCTAGGAAGCCCAAGGCTCTGAATCCAAACCCCAACACCACAAAAAAAAAAAAAGAAGAAGAAGAAAAGAAAAAGAACTGGGGACTGTTATACATTTGGGGAGGCACTATGTGATATAGAAATAAAGCAATTCAAAATAATTCAACTCTACTTCTGCTGATAAGTATAATCTAATTTGCTGACTTATTTTATATAAAAGCATAGGTGGCTCTATGCTTCATAAAATCCTGAGACAGTCTGTAAAATTTAATTTGCTTATAGTTGTGAAATCATTTTTCATTCCTTAATGTTATACCCTATTATATACGATGCCTGATCTCTGGATACATGAAGTGATACCATAAATACATACACTATGCAAGTAAGAGCCAGTAAGAAGTGTTAGACCATGAGTGAAAGAGACAAAGAGAGAGAAAAGCTGAATTATTAGTCTTTTTAAATTAACATACTTTATACTTAAGGTTAAATAAAAATTGGTAGAGTAGTAGATACATAAAAACAAACAAAAAACTCCTGGCAAGCACAGATTTACACACCTATACATGTAGCAGATAATAAGCCCACACACCTGTGGCCCATTTTCTCATCAGCTCAGGTCTCTGCTCAAATGTCACCTTTGTGAGGTCTTTTCTGACCCTATCTAAAAATAGAAGGTGCTTCCCCAGCTTACACACCCTTTACCCATCCCTCATTTGTCTTTTTTTCCCCGTATCATTTGTCACCATCTGATAGGCTACTTCACATTTTATTTATATTTACTGTCTCCTGCACATAGGACAGACTCACTGTGGACAGAGATGTTAGTTTGCTTTATTCACTTATGTACCAACAGCAAGCAGAACAGAATCTGACAGAGTAGAGGCTAAAGAATTTTCTACAATAAGTGAAAGGCCTTGTATGAGCATCAACAGCCAAGAAGCATTTAATCTACATAAGGCAGGTGGTTCAGAGTGTGGGCTCTGGAACCAACACACAAAGGCAAGAGTCCTTGCTCTACCCTACTGGTGAGATTCCTCTACCTTAGTCATTTTCTTTGCATATGATTGCACTAAAGATACTTTTTATGATTATTGTGAGGATTATATAAATTAACCCATGCAAACACCCACAAATGTTTGTTATAATTACTATTTATGCATTGCCTATGTCTTAAATGAGCACCTGCCATGGGACAGGCACTATGCTAGATTTTCAGGAAACAACAGCATGCAACAGCAGGCAAGGCCCCACCTTCACCTTTCTCACTGTGACCCTTTGAACTCATTTCCTCCTCACAGACTCTGCTCCAGCCCACTCTGGCTTCCTTGATGTTTCTTGGATAAGTCAAACATGCTGGATCCCAGAACCCTTGCTTTATCTATGGGACTAGATAAAGCTTACTTACTTTAGGTCATACTTCACTGTCTAAAAGGTTCTTCTTGGACACTCTAAGTAGAACAGACTTCCCTCTCCCAACTGTGACATCACTTCCTGTCCTCTGCTTTAGTTTTTCTTTTAAAATGTTTATCAGCATCAGATATATATGGATTTGTTCTTATCTATGCTCCCAACAAGAGGGGAAATTTTTTTTTAACTAGGGAAGATTCTGGTACACAGAAGGCACTCAATAATTATTTGTTGAATGGACAAACAAAAAATGCAAATAAGCATATTCAAATAAAAACACTGCATAGAGCATGTGCCTTCCAAGATGATGTGCAGCATTCCCAGGCCTTGTGATTGAGGGTCTTTGCATTTAGAAAGCTGAAAGGACACATCTTAGAGGATAGGACAGTGATGTAGTTCACCTTTAATTTATCACCCCCCAAAACCACACAGCCCATATTAAATTTTGATTTTGAAATAAAATTTCTAGTACCAACTAATACACAAAGATTGTTAAGCATATTTTATATACAGAATCTAGCTGTAGGCGTGACTTTAAAGACAGTAAATGTCTATGAAAGAAGTGTACATATTTATTCATGTCAGATAGGGTTTTGAAAATACACATAATTCAGCCACCAGGTATTTTAACAACTTTGACTTAGGTGAAAATAGCAGACAAAACACAGATAACCTAAAACCACAGAAGGGGTAGTAGGCTGCACCAATCCCCCTTTCAACAGTGGTGCTCAAAGACATCCAGACACTTGATTGAACATTTACAGCTGGTTAACAATGGCTACAAGAACAGCAACTCAGTCTCAAACACACTACTCTTTTCTGCTATCCAAAGATGCCTCAAATTAAAATTTTAAGTAACCTATTTCAAATAGCCTTCTCATCCCACATACGTTCTGAGAGATTTTCATCCTTCTTCTATGGTTAGATCTCAGTAGAATTCATGTTTTTGGTGCAAAAGGCAAACAAACCTAGACACAGGTGAGGAGCAGACTTGAATACATACCTGAGCCTGAGTATGTTCAACTGGAGGTGACGCAGGCAGCGGGGTCCTAAGCTCCTGCATGCACATGTCAAGAAAGGGAGCATCCACAATGCTTGGAAAGGACAGAGAATAACAACCTTCAGATGTTTATATGAGGGCTGGTGTTATGGCTCAAGTGGTAGAGCACCGCCTAGCAAGTGTGAGGTCCTGAGTTTAATCCCCAGTACCACCCAAAAAAAGATTGTTAGTAAACTTCTTATTAAAGATTAACAAACTAAGATTTGAAGTTTGAAGGAAAAAATGAATATACATCAAGAAAGGATTTTTATAAGTAAAGAAAATTTTCATAAAGATTTCCCAGAGTATTTCAGAAAACAAGAAAATGTCTTGTTAGATAAATGTAAAAAGCAAAGAACTCTGAAACTTACTTATTAAAAACAGGACAAAATATAACAAAGGTCATTCAGAAGGAAAGCAAACAAAAATAAAACTTTGGTGGTGACTCCCACTCAAAGCAGCAAAAACACAGGCTAGGAAATAGGTTCATCTTCAGAAAGTAAAAAATAAAATTACATAAATATGATAAGCCTTTGCCAGAAACAATCCTTCAACACCTCTGCAGCCTCATCTGAGCTTTAGCTGACTCCTAGAGCTGCCCTCTGGTCATCCCTCAGGCAGCATGTGCAGGAAGGAAAGGGGCCCGACCAGCAAGTTCTTTAGCAACCCATGTATACAACACAGCAGAAAAAATGACAAATAACCATTAAAAAGAGAGGAAACTTATAGTTCATTGCATATTATAAATATTAAGGGTAGTCACAGTTGAGTGAAGTGAAACAAAATTTCACAGCACTGTAAACCACTGACTAAATGAACTGTGACCTTAAATGGGCCTGAATTCAACATCTAGGCCTTTCCCACTGTACTTAAGAAAATAAGAAAAAAATTATATCAGAAGCTCATTAATATCAGATAAGTGAAAAATTCAAAGAATCAAGTTATTTCCCTAAATTTTATAGGAATACTTTACTGAAAAGTTTAGTTTCCCATAACAAAGTAACTCCAAATAAATGTAAAAAATGATTTTTTGACCTAGGGATATGACTGATATGGCCACTGAGGAGATGGATCTTGAACTCCTTCACATCTAATCAAGAATAACCAAGAGGTCATGCCACAATTGTTACTTGTGCGGGAGAACAAGCAAGGTTTAGAACCCCCTAAACCAAAAACTAAAACAAAACAAAAACCGCAACAATGGCCTCAATAGTTAGGATAAAAAGTCAATATAAGTGTATTAATTAGACCTAAAATAAAAACTGTCAAGACTATTGTGGTGATAGCAAAAACCTGGAGTTTAATGTTCAGTGAGTCCAAAAAGGAATGAGAATACACTCCCAGTACACAAGAGGACTTCCATCAATTCAAAACTACAGCTCACGTAAACTCATCTCTAGTACCACACCTCCCACTTACTTGCAGAGAAGCTCTATGAGACGGGCTTGTCGAAAGGCATTTGCAGTGTCTTTTGGAGCAATTACCAAGAGATTGTCCAAGAGGCCACAGACGGCTGAGAGAAGAGATGGAGTGACAAAAATACACGGTTTGGACAGAGGGGCAGACAGGGATGAGTCACAGGGAGGCCGTGATGCTGTAGTTTCGTGATGACCTGTCATTGAAAATAAGTACAAAAGTTATTATTTAATTTACTTGTGTCTAGACTCACAAGTTCAAATAACCAGAGAAAAGTTCTTTAGAAAGACAGAGAATGGTTTTGTGCCTCATTCATTCAAACACTGAGGAACAAATCAACAGTCTACAATCTTTTTCTCTGAAATTCCAGTTGCAGATATAATGCTCTCTTAATCCCGATTTTTCTAAAAACAAGAACACTGGCTTTTATTACCATAGCACTACTATTAAAACCAGGAAATTCATACTAATGGAATAGTATTATCTAACATATAGAAGTTTTCAAAATTTTGCCAGTCATACCACAAATGTTCTACGTAGAAAAACAATTTTTCTTGTTTGGACCCATCTGCATTTAGCTGTCATGTTTCTGTTTCTTAAACAGGAAGGGCTCCTTAATCTTGCTTTGTGTGATTTTTTTTTGTGGGGGGTGGAGAGTATTTGAATTTGAACTCAGGGCCTAGCACTTGCTAGGTAGGTGCTCTACCACTTCAGCCATGCCCCCAGCCCTTCTTTCCTTTTACTTATTCTTCAATAGAATCTTGCACTTTTGCTTGGGGGCTAGCCTCAGTTGTAATCCTCCTATCTATGCCTCCCTGGTAGCTGAGATTATAGACATCCAGCTTATTTGCCCGGTTTATGTGTTGAGATGGAGGGGGGGGGGTCCTCAGTAACTTTTTTTGCCTGGGCTGACCTTGAACCATGATCTTCCTGATCTTCACCTACTGAGTAGCTGGGATTACATGCCTGAGCTACTGTGCCTGGCTTGCTTTGTCATTTTTGGGGTTTTCTTTCATTTTTTTTTTCCCGGAGGTACTGGGGTTCCAACTCAGGGCCTCACATTTACTAGGCAGTGCTTTACCATTTGAACCACTCCACAAGCTTACTTTGCCTTTCTTGACCCCAACAACTGGTGAAGAACTCAAGCCAGTTTTTGTAGAATGCCTGAGGCTTCCTCATGGCTGGGCTTGCACTTCATCATGGCAGAAGGATCATGATTAACGTCTCCTCAATGCTGGAGGTATTAACTTTGACCATATGACTGACATGGTGTCTAGTAGGTTTCTCGACTATAAAATTACAGTGTTTGCTTTGTGCTGAAATCATTGCCAAATAGTGACTTTCTGATTCCATCATTTCTTTTACAGCTTTTGTTGACTGTGCTAGTGTATGGAGGATCACCCTCTTCCCCTCATTCATTCATGCTACTATAATATAAGGATTCTTATTCTCTGTAGTATGTTACTATTATTTATTATGGGAATTTGGGTTGTTTCCAATATTTCCTAATTATAAATAATACTGCATTAAATAATCATATATTTAATATATTATTTATATATATGTATGTATATGTATATATACATGTATATATGTATTTTCATACTGTTGGAAATGAGTCCAAGAAAAATTTCTACTATAGGTTTGTAGATATTACCAAATTATTTTCCAAGTGTTATACTAGTTGGATTCCTTCTAACAATATATTAAAGTGCTCATTTTACATAGCCTTGCCAACACTTGCCAAAAGTATTGCCAACGTGTTTGAATTGTTCTTAATTTAATAGATAAGAAAGAGTATCACATGAGGTTTACATGAAGTTTAGGGTCTTTTCTTCCTCAACTATTAAGAGCGCTTTACAAATTATATGTTTACTTGCTATGTGTTTATGAGCTGTGTTACAAACAGTTATGCTGATTTGTCAGTGTCTTTTGACTATGGTATCTTATGCCATGAAAAGATTATTTTTTATATAATTACACATGGTAAAATATGTCAATCATTTTTATTGAAACTGGATCTTGAGACATAATTTAAAAACCTTTTTCTATTCCTAGTTTATAAGGAATCCATCTATATTTTCCTCTAGTATTTTTATGATTTCAATTTTCACTTTTAGAATCCTAATAATTGCTGTGTATGAGTAAAATATAGATATAAAATATTTTACCATCTTTCAAATGGCTGGCCAGTTTCCAGCACCATTTATCAAAAGATCAATGCCTGCCCCTGTTATCTGAGATGGCGCTTTAGCCATTTAGAAAACATTTCCAATTCTGCTGGATGCTTCGTGTGCGACTAACAGAACACATTTATGCTTCTTAGTATGGTTTCATGTCCAACAGGACTAGTCTCTTTTTTGAGTATTTTCCTGGCTAAATTTTGTAGACTCCGTTTTCCATGTGAATAAGATCTTTTTCATCAAAATAAATATCCTGGTATTTGTATTGGAACTTTATTTAACTTGCAGATTAACTGAGCAAGTTTGATGTTGACTAACCCTGTCTATAAGTTGAGGATGTCTTTCCATTTGCTCACATCTATTTTTGTGTTTTTCAGGAATACTTTAAAGGTTTTCCCCTATAAGTTTTGTATAATTCTTAAGTTTATTACTAATATTATATCTTCTTTGCTTTCTCTAAAATTTAATTTACTAATTGCTTACATTCATATATAAACTATATTGATTCTCATATGTTAATTTTGTCATGCTACTTTACTCAGTTTTTACTGTTTAGTTTCATTAATTCTTTAAAGATTTCCAAGCATACTATATAGAGGATCAAATGATCCTCTCATATTGTTAACATGAGTTACTAAATACCAAAATGCAATATTGTTTAAGAAATTAGTGGAACAAATACTGTAAAAATTCAAAGTTGTAGCTAGCAAGTATTCGTAAAGCATTTTCTGTGCTTTAGGGTTTTAGAAAGGATATTCCTTTCAGGCCAGGAATTTAATGCCACTCACTAAAGCCTTCATACTGTCTAGAATTGAAGCTAAATTATAATCTTCAAAACAAATACAAGTTGAAGCAAAATAGAGCTGGGAAGAATTCCTAATATAAGGAGTAAAACTTAAACATTGTTATTAATAAAAATAAGTTCCAAGTTTCTCATTACACATTTCTAATGATACAAAGACCCAATAGATTTGTATCTTCCACATGGAAGTACAGCCTTACTTAGAGAATACTCAGGGCCAGAATCTCTTCAAGTGGACTACTGCAGTAAATTAAGTGTTTTCCCAAAAGAAGGATAAAAAATGGAATCACCTAATATCCATCAATTCCCTAACAGAAGTATCAAATACCTATGCATAGCTAATAAGAAGCCGTGTGACAATCAGACTTTTTGACAGCCATGTTCTCTCTGTTAGTTAAGAGCATGTGCTTTGTTAGGATACAATTTATTCTAAATTTTTTCTATCATATTCTTTCACTTATTTAATTAACACTTAGTTCTTCAGACATTTACTTTCAACATGTCTTTCAGGTCTGGCTTATCATTTTTCTTTCTGAAAGCAGAATGTCTGTCTACAGGAATACCTTGCACCACACAGTGGTCATGTGAAGGCTCCAGCAGAAGTGTTGCCGATGGCACAAGTGGTTGAAATTCAGCACTCCCCTCTGAGGCTGTCAACTGTGGGTCAGTAAAGAAAAATTACTTTCATTATTAGTGCTACAACATGGGAAATGAAACACAAGCAATACACACAAGGTAATACTTAAACAAGAAGTTTTAAAACAAAATTATACTCGTGAGCAAAACTAGAAAATATTCCGTATCTTACATTATAGCATGTTTCTGTTAATGGTATTTACTACTACATCTTACAGAAACTGCTGGCTTAATAAAGTCAGAAACTCAAAGGAGCAAGTTAGCTTTGAAATCCATTTCGGATTTTAGTTTCCTTTTATAAGGCCTCCTCCCTCATGACCCAACTACTGGGATGCGCAGAAACATAACATTACCTAAAATTCATTATGCTTTTGAGATATTTTGGCATTTCTTGATTTATAATAGAAGGATTTGTTTTTAATGTTTCAAATGACAAACATAAGTCAATGCCTATAAAAGTATTAAAAGATTTTTCTCTACCTTGTCTTATATTAAAAAGGATTTTAAAAAATTGGCAACATGCTGACATTGTACTTAGATACAGCACTTCAAAAAACAGAACAGAACACAATTCCACCCAGAGGGTTACATGAGCAGACTGTGTGGCCTCCTAAAATTGAAAGCACCCAGGCTGGTGTGTTTGGCACCTCCTCTGTGAAAAACACGTTATCTGGGGAGGTTAGATAAGGTGTTTTTTCTTGCCATCCATCTCTTTGCTGTGAAAAGGCGTAAAGCGCCCTCATCTGGGGAGCCTCCCTGTCAGCACACGGCACCGAGAGCTATCAACACAGCTCATGCCTCAGCAGCAGGCAGACCCAGCTATCACATGGTGCACAACATTTGCGCTGTCTATGCACACTTCATACGTTCCACCTCAGACTTAATGTCATAGAGCAAAAGCAACCAGTAAGTTGATTTTCATTTGCAATTTCTGGCAGCAAAAAGAATAAAAATTTAAAGAAATTGGTAGAAATGCAATTAACACAGTTTTTTAAATCTCCCTTTCAACTTAAGAGCTGAACTATCATCACATCAGGTTTTATGATGTCAACAGATAATTGAGAGAAAGCTGTCGCTGAAAATTCTAAGCTAAGTCATCTATAAAGCAAAGCTGAATAAAATTTTAGATTAAATGACTCATAAGCAAGCATTAGATCCCTTATTTTAGACAATACTGGATCCAAATAACAGGAAAAAATAACCTAAAACTTGTTTACTTTGAAAAATATATTTGGCCAGGTGGCAAAAAATGTTCCTGCCAACAAATCAAGAGAACATTTAGACTGTAGGAAGAAAATGATCAAACACCAAGACAAATACCACTAAGTATGCACAAGTTGAATAATACATCGGGCTCCTGCCACAAACTTCTCTGATTGGATAAGAAAAGTTAAGGTGACAATTATGTTGGAATCCTTTATCATTTCACTGGGCATTCTTTCAAGAGACAAAGACTCAAGAAGTCATTATTATTTGTAAAAATGGAAGTAGGGACCTGGTTTGTAATTTTAGCATTTGTTAGAATGGCTCATTAGAAGAAAATGTTGTGATGAGGATCAAAGGTCAGACATTAATAAAATTTGCAATTTTCCTCAATATATTCCAGGGAAAGGAAACACAGGTTTATAAAAGATGCTTTTAGGAAGTACTTAATACTCATATTATAACTTGTGTGGTTGAGAAAACATAAGTATCTCTTTATACAGTAAAATATTATGCTTCAAAACTTGATAATGTATATCATCTCACATGTTGAATATGAAAAAGATGAGGCTGTAAAGAGAAGAATGGCAGTGAGCAGAACTGGAGGTTGCAGGTGCAGGGAGTCTGGACGAGGAACAAGTTCAAGAGATCTATCGTACAGCATGATGACTACAGTTAATCACATCATGTGTGTTCTTGAAAAATGCAACGATAGCAGATGCTAAGTGTTCTCGGCACAAAAAAATGACACCTATATGCTTTTGTTAATTACGTAGAGGTAATAAATTTGTTGACTTACCCACTATGTATATAAACTTCAAAACATTATGCTATATACAGTGAATACATAAAATTTCATGTGAAAAACTGATTATGGGTGATTTATATTTCTATTAGCTCTTTACACATTTAAAATTTGGTATTAGTATATTACTATTTCAATAAATAAAAACAAAAAAGTACTTAACTGAATTGCCCCATTTCTATGCTCAAATTCTTGCTTGTTAGGAAGTAATTTTCAAGAGATATTTGATTTTATTTGATAATATATACTGATATGTAAATCTGTTATTTTCTACTTGAAATCCAAGTAATAACTAGAGTTATTACTGGAAGTTGCAGGTTCATCTAGAAAAGACCTAATCTGGTCCAGGTCCTAATTTAGAAGTAAGCACTACAAGTTAAGGATTGCCCAGTTGAGGCTGTAATGAAGAGTCTCAGTCCAGAATTCCATTCATGACAAAATGAATCCTCAGACACACCTCTAGAGAGAACTGGCTCACCTTGTTTGAGACACACTGCTTTTCCCCAGCTGTCCCAGCATCTCTGTGAAGGAACTTCAGCTTCTGGCCCCTCCCAGGTGGAGGAGGTAGAAATTGGTTTATTTTAAGAATAAGCTGAGCATACTCACTCATAGCAGATAATTCTCATTCTCATTGCTGTCTACCCCACTTCCAGTAGGTAGCCCCAAGACAGAGGCACAGGGTTGTCCCCTTCAACAGCAAATCTATCTAATTCTTGTATCTATCACTTCGTAGATTCAATAAAATGGCCTCAATCACAATCTTGACTTTTTATCTGCCACATGACATACCCTGAGATCTTTCTGTTTACATTCCCTTAATAAGCAAATAAAACTGAGTTTTCTTTAAAGTATATATAATGCCTTATCACCTTACTGATATTATAGAAGACAATAAAAGCTAGGAAGATAGATAGATACTACTTAAAGCTACCAGCAGCTGCCAGGGGCTGGGATGGGGAAAATGGGGAGATGTTAATCAAAAAGCACAAACATTCACATATAAGATAAGTAGATTCTGGGGATCTAATGTGCAAAAAGATGATAATACTGTACTGTATACTTAAAATTTGTCAGAAATATATCTTTGGTATTCTCATCACAGGGAAAAAAAGGTAACTGTGAGGAAATAAGAGCGCTAACTAAAGTGTCTGTGGTAAAAAGTTCACAATGTATGCATACATCAAGTCATCATTCTGTATACCTTAAATATATACGATTTCTCAATTATACCTGAATAAAGCTTGAGGAAATAAACAAAAATAAAAGATTTCAATTTTGTCTATAAAAACCTACAAAAAATCTTTTCTTCAATGTGTTTACATACAGAATTCATAACTAAAGGTTTATAAATTACACTTCAGTGTAAAATAAGCCACCATTATGAAAGTCTTTGAAAAAGCAGAAAATAGCGAAGTCATTTACTATATCAAAGTAAAATTTGAGTATAAACAGACAAAATGAATCAATGTTCAAAATTATTTTCTTTGTATTCTGCTTTATAGAAACAAAAGACTTCATGGATACCTTTAAGATTTTTGAAAAATAGAATTCTGAAATACATCTGTCAAAATGATTTTCTAATATTTTTAATGAAAAGCATGGTGCTTAAACCAGGCTATTTAATTTTTTTAAAAAGTACAAGGGAGCAAATGAGGATTTGTTATATTGAAAAAATTAGCATATAAATCTAGTAACCTTTTTAAAACATGGTAAAACATAAGACATAAAAAGTTTCTGCACGACTCTAGATCCATGTGCTCATTTTTATGATGTACAAAGATTTTTAGGCTGTTGTTATGGTTTGAAAACTATCCCCCAAAAGCTCCTGTGTTGAAGACTTGGTCCCCAGTGCAGCAGGGTTCAGATGTGGGGCCTTTGGGAGGTGATTGGTTTCTGAAGGCTCCATCCTTATGAGTGGATTAATCCACTCCTGCATTGCTAGCTTAATAGGGTACTGGGAAGTGGTGAAAATCTTAGGAGGAATAGCCAGTTGGAGAAAGTAAGATATTGGAGGTGTGCCCTTGAAGGGCATATTTTGTCTCCAGTTCTTTCCACTGTGTCTTTCACCTTTTGTTTTCTGGTTGCCAGGAGGTAAGCAGCTTTGTTCCACCATATGATGTTCTGCTCACCACCAACTCAGGAACAATGGAGCCAAGTGACCATGGTTTAAAATCTCTGAAACAGTGAGCCAATTAACCTTTCTTCCTGATTTAAGTTGATTTTGCAGGTACTGTGTCATAGCAACCAAAAAGCTGACTAACACAGCTATTTTATAGACCTTTTACAAACACCTTAACTTGTGCTGGGTGCTGCTCATGCCTATAATCCTAGCTACTTGGGAGACAGAGATCAGGAGGATCACAGTTTGAAGTCAGCCCAGGCAAATAGTTCACAAGACCCTATCTCAAAAATACCCAATTAAAAAAAAGCTGGGGGAGTGGCTCAAGTGGCAGAGCACTAGCAAGGCCAAGGCCAACTTGAAAGATTTGCTTTTAAGCATATATTGATGCTATCCTTCTGTGAGATAAATAACCAACAAATACAACTCATTTTGACATTTAATCATATTTAGCTTGCTGAAACAAAGATAAGTACTATTTCTAGCTTAGAAAGGAAAGCATGACATCTAGTGGAAATCGGGTAATTATCCTATCTTTCCACATAAGTCTAGTTTAGCACTAAACACAAACTCTTTTGACTCTTAAAAAAAAAAAAAAGACTTAAAATTGTAGTAAAAAGTACCAGTTTTTTTTCTGAGAAATTGTAGGAGGCAAATCTTATTAATGTCTATATAATTAGCTATTATTTTTATATCATTTTTACTTTTGAAAGCAGGAGTACCAAACCTTTGCCATCCCGTTGCCTTCCTAACAGATTCTACACAAAGTTATTTCTCAAAAACATTTAAAACTTAAACATGTTTTCCAATTTAGAAGAAAAATATTTATATGCTTGTATAAAACTAGAATCTAGTATCAACCAAAAGGAACAAAGATGCCTATGCATGAGTAAGAAGAGGAGGGAGGCATGTAGGTATATATTATTTTCAGGTTTGGGATAATCAAGACAAGGTCCTAGTCAATGCAAGCATCAATAACTGTGTTTAAAGTTGTCAGTGCCACACTGGAATCATTTGAATGGGTAAAATTTCTCATATTGCCTTGCCCTTTATACAAAAACTTCCAGGACAGTCAGTCACCTTGATCACATAGGATTTGTTCTCTTCTACTGCTAATGATAAACATTTGAGCCCTTCCTTGGTATTTCTGATTCTACCTCAAATGGCAGAAAAGAGGGACTGAAAATTCTCAACTGAATGAATGTTTCAGTGTAGTTATAATTGTAGCCAGGCAACCTCTCATTGAAATTCCAACTCTGCTACTTATAGCACTATTGATCAGAATTACTTATCTTCTGAATGGCCTGCTTGTATAGAAAAGAAAAAAAATATCTACCATGTATGGCTGATGAACAGGTTGAATACAATGATTCAAATATGCAGAGCAGAATTTTGCACATACAACACTTTAAAGTCATAGCTATTATAATCATAACCTTATGCTTATTTCTCCACTACATAAATTCAAACTTTTTCACAGATTTGAACTGAAGTACTCCTGGCATTCTTTGCAAGTACCATTGTTTCTGAGGTGGAGAGAGAACTTGGATCATGATCTTGACCGGACATCCTCGATGGAGCCCTCCAGAACTTGAATGAGTCATCTAAACCTGTGACAACAAGAAAGCTATTAATGTGGAGGGACACCCTCCTGGAAACAGCAGCAATCATCAGAAAGAATGCTCCTTATAAGAAACCAGTCGTGAGCTAAGAAAGGTTTTCAGTGTGTGCAAGAATCACTGAGAGCTTGTTAAGGCAATTTCCTGAGCCCTACTCCCAGAAATTCTAGCACCCTGAGTCATGATGTGCATTTCTAACAAACTCCCAGAAGAGAACAATGCAGTGGATTCAAGGTCCTGCTCTGAGTAACAGTGATCCAGAGAAATCTGAAAAATGGAGTAAGTCACTTTCCTTATAGGAACATTTATTGAGAATTTTCAAAAACTTCATTAAATGCCACTTTCTCCTGAGTTCTTTGGTGAAGTAAACAGAAAAGTGAATTATAAACTTAAGTAGTTGGTGGTAAAGAACTTCATGGTGTGGAAATGTATATATATACAAACACACACATACACTTATACATAGGAATTAAAAGATAAATTTTATTTATATTCACATACATACATACACACATGAAGTAGGGAGTAAGTACAGTAAGATGTTACTACTTGGGAATTTTTTGTACTATTCCTGAACCTTTCTGTAAGTGTAAAATTATGTTAAGATTTTAAATAATTATGTTTAAAATGAATTTTAAAATATAAACTTTTATTATTGCAACTTTATACTTTTAAAATCTACTACTCAGCAAATCTAAGAGAATCTATAAAGATAAGTAAAAATGCTTCAGTAAGACATTTTGTTAAATGAATTACAAACAAAAAATAAATAGATTTTTGATACATTAACAAAACGAATTAGAAAATTTAGCAAGAAAAGGCCTCATTCATAAGGACAACAAAAACTGTAGACTGTTGCAGAATGAATGTTCCAAAAATGTTTATGCTACTACTTGAGGAAAAAGCTATAAAACTTTACTGGAGGGCATAAAATACTTATGAAACATGAATAGTATGTCAAAAGTGGCTTCCATGAAGAATTTATAACACAGAATAATGCTTGGGCAATGTTTGGATGAAGGGAATACAAAAATGCACATGAGACATGAACACAAAACAAACAAAAGCTCTAGAGAAAGAAGACTGCAGAAAATGTATTGAAACATAACGAGGATATTCTCTGGGCAACGGATCTGGAAATAAGTGTTTTTCATATGTACTTTTCATTATTTTCCAAATGATTTTCACAAAGATGTTTTTAACATTTTTCTAAAGAATTACTTTGCAAAAGTAGAAATATATACTGTATTTACCATTTAAATCACTGCCTTCTGAAGTCCCACCAAAAGCAGAAAAAATCAAGTCAAAACCGTATCGTCCTTGGTAACAATGTCTCACCATCTGAATCAAATGCTCATAAAAATGGCAATGGTACAAAAGGGCCTGAAGGGCAGGTTTTCCTATGAGTGACAGGCCAGAGTCCTCATCATGAACACAAGGGCCCTGCAGGAAAAGAGAGAAGAGAAAGATACCAATGTACACAACCTCTTCAAAAAATCTGTTTCCTCTTGATGAAACAGATGGTCCCAGATCCTACCACGCTGCTCCCCAGTTACAGCTGCCTACTGTAGAGCAAAGTACTTCACAACACTCCAGGTCTTTGCTGCCTAAAGCCCCTCTGAAGGCAGAGCTGATTTGCTCTGTCTCTTGAACAATCTATAGAGGAAGTAAGATAAGTGAACAGAACACATATGATGGTTATTGTAGTTAATTCAATTTTAGAGTTCAGAAGAAGTAGGTAAAAGAGAGAATACAAGAATAGGGTCCCAAGGCTTCCATTTATTATCCAAGATCTATGTTACAGATAATGTGGTCTTGTGTGTGTTGCTGAAGTTCAGACCCAGGGCCTTCTGCATGCTAGGCCAGGGTTCTACCATGGAGCTACATCTCTAGCCTACTGTGATCCTTCAATGCATTGCCTTATTTAATTATCTTGAGTGAAGTATTTATCCAAAACCATAGACCCACTCAACATTCCTACTTTCAAAATGTTCTATCTTCTAAGGAAGTTATAACATTCTTAAATGTAGAAAACTTGTCAAACATCCAAGATACATGCTCCCTAACATCAAAAATTAAAGCCTTTATGATAAAAATTCAGAAAAAAATTAATAACCACGATGAAAGGCTGCAGGTATAATTCAGCATTAGAGCACTTGCCTGGTATGTAAAGGAGTTGACCCACGGCATAAAAAAAAAGGAAAAAAAGTTTATTAGCTTAACTTCAAGACCTAGCAAAAATGTAGTAAGTCAATAAAACAAAATCATTAATGTGGTACAAAAACTTTTCTAAATATATTTCATTAATATTGATTAAAATAATTTTCAACTTTTAATATATGTTACATAAAATTATTCAACTTTTTTTGTAAAACCATATTTCTACCAGTGCTTCCTCTATCAGTTATAGCCATAGTTCTAAATTCACAGTTTAATGAAAATGGGCAAAGGAATGTAAACTGTATAAATCTTGAAAACAGAAGAAAACTTGAATATAGCTCTTTAAGACCTCTCACATGTCTGGTGTCTTTATTCTCTTCAGGCAAACTGAGGCTGATGATTGATTGTACCACCTGCTAAAAAGACAGGGTTTGTCTTCTAAAATCCAACTTTCAGGCTAGTGGAGTGGCTAAGTAGTAGAGTGCCAGCTTACAAGTATGAGGCCCTGAATTCAAATCCCACTGCCACCAATAAAAATTAAGTCCAACTTCCTTTTGTTATAAGTATTTCCAAAGTAAGCGAGACATAAAAACACATATATTAGAATTCTTGTAATTATTCTCTGAAACGTAAAATTATTATAAAAAACCTAATTAACCTGATCATATTTTTTCAATGAATATATTTCAGAAAATCCTTTTTGTAATTTCTTCTTTTCTAAGAAAAAACAGATTTAGAAAACAAAGATAACAAGAGAAGTCATAGTAAGGGATATAAAATCTAATTTATGAGCAAAAGAATTTCCCAGAAAACAGTACAAAATGTCTGTGAGTTAGAAAATGAAGATAAGGAGACAAAGAAAATCAATTCAAGAGGTCTTTTATGGGATTCATGTGATTTCAGCAAAGGTAAAACATAATATTATGTTAGTTTTCCATCACTGTGACAAATTAATTACCTGACACAAATCAATTAAAAGGGGGAAAGATTTATTTTGGCTTATAATTTCAGTCCATGGTTGGTTGGCTCCATTGACTTTACATCTGAGGTAAACATAACAGCAGATGAAAGGTGCTCACTCATGACAATCCGGAAGCAGAGAGAGAGTGGCAGGGACATGGACAAAATAAAAATATACCCTCTCAAAAGCCTTCCCCTCCTAAAGTATGCCTGTAATCCAGACATGGGGAAGGAGGAGATCAGAAAGGCACATACTAGGCTCTACTCTTTAGATCCCTGTAACTGATGGGGCTGTCTTTGGCACACTGAGGAAATCGGCATGGTCTAATCACTCCATCTCAGGACTGTCTCCTACCAGTCTGGCCTCAGGTGAGTGCCCAAGCTGCCTGATAACCTCCTGTCAGGGAGAGCTGAGAAGGACAGTATTAGAGGAAAGAACGCTCTCTAGCTCACCAGGGGCCAATGACAAATACATGTGCAAAGAACTGCAAATCTCCAACTAGCTGAAAACATTGTTCTCAAGAATATAAACTAGAATACTGATTTTAAAGCACATATTTTACTCATAGGGTCACACTGTGCCAATAGATTCATTAGTTACAATTGAAAAAAACTAGAAGCAAAGGAAGCATTACATTTAAGAAAAATTAAATAAATAACAAATACATTAAAGATCCTTAACTATATGTAAATTATGATCATTAAAATGACTTTGCATCACCAGGAATTTCTGTTTTGCAAAATAGGATGTCTCACTAAAAGATAAAAAATGTATTAATCACATCAAATATAAAGATAACACATACTACAATAAGAGTCTACTATTTATCAAAACACATAAACAAACACATAGTTATTAGTTTTGTATACTGACAGGGCACAGAAGCAAGGACACCTCAAGAACAATGAGCACATCTAGATGTCAGATCCTGATTCCTAAGTATCACTCTTCTTGGACAGGAATCAGAGACCTTTGAGCAGGTATCTGATTCTAGACCTGAGAGGAGAGGTTCTAGAATACCTTGCTGTTCCAGAAAGTATGGAAACACTCAAAGATTGATAAAAACATGTGAAAAGGACATAATTATCATCATTAAGGGAATCTCTGCCAAAGCTAGAATATGATTATCTAAACAAATAATGAGGGAAATACTTACAACCCATGAAACCAATTAAGAATCCTAAAGTGCACCATGATGTAAATAAGTAAATGAATGAATAATGAATGGGGAAGAAAGGAAAATTCTTCCTTACTGTAGATGATAATCAATGTAGAAAGAAAGGAAACAATTAGAAAATCATTTGCAACAAATGTATAAATATCAGACAAGAATTATGAAAAGAAATTAAAACTAGTGCAAGAAAGCTTGATGAGAAACCTTATAAACATAGTCTCAAAATACCTCTTTGCAAAAAAGAAAAACAATGGAGAAAACAGGCTCCATCCTAACCAAGTAATCAATTTAACATCATCAATAATGCAAAAAACAAGTATGATGAACTGAAAAAATATATCACGTCTATGATTTTTCTGCTAAAAATTCAAAAGCTAAAACATTGATTTACCATATGATCCAGCAATACCACTCTTGGGGATATACCCAAAAGACTGTGACACAGGTTACTCCAGAGGCACCTGCACACCCATGTTTATTGCGGCACTATTCACAATAGCCAAGTTATGGACACAGCCAAGATGCCCCACCACTGACGAATGGATCAAGAAAATGTGGTATCTATACACAATGGAATTTTATGCAGCCATGAAGAAGAATGAAATGTTATCATTCACTGGTAAATGGATGGAATTGGAGAAGATCATATCATTCTGAGTGAGGTTAGCCTGGTCCAAAAGACCAAAAATCGTATGTTCTCCCTCATATGCAGACTTTAGATCAAGGGCAAACACAAGAAGGGGACTGGACTTTGAGCACATGATAAAAACGAGAGCACACCAGGGAGGTATGAGGATAGGTAAGACACCTAAAAAATTAGCTAGCATTTGTTGCCCTTAATGCAGAGAAACTAAAGCAAATACCTTAAAAGCAACTGAGGCCAATAGGAAAAGGGGACCAGGTACTAGAGAAAAGGTTAGATCAAGAAGAATTAACCTAGAAGGTAACACACATGCACAGGAAATCAATGTGAGTCAACTCCCTGTATAGCTACCTTATCTCAACCAGCAAAACCCCTTGTTCCTTCCTATTATTGCTTATACTCTCTCCACAACAAAATTAGAGATAAGGGCAAAATAGTTTCTGCCGGGTATCGAGGGGGTGGGGGGGAAAGGAGGGGGAGGAGTGGGTGGTAAGAGAGGGGGTGGGGGCAGGGGGGAGAAATGACCCAAGCATTGTATGCACATATGAATAATACAAAAAAATTAAAAAATAAAAATTCACAAGCTAAACTTAATCATTTAGTCATAAGGAAATAGACAGATCTAATTGAAAAACACTAAAAATGCTAACAGCACATACTCTTCAAAAAATACTAAGGCTGGGTTAGAGGAATGGCTGAAGTGGTAGAGTACTTGCCTAGCAAGGGAAGACCCTGAGTTCAAATCCCAATACCACAAAAAAATAAAAACAAAAACATCATATAATGAAACAAAAGCAATTTACAGTGGTTGAAATAAGTCAAAGAAATACTAGTAATTTCACACAAAAAACAAAAGCAACAAAAATGCTAAGGTTGTAAATGTTAAGGACTTAGTTGCTTTCAAGTAAAAGCAACTAAGCAGACATGACATCTATTTATGACGTGTATTTCTGAATTGGACCACCTGATTTGCTTTTTTTTTCTATAAAAGAAAGAGGTGGAACAATTGGAAAAACTTGAGTAATTTCTTAATTTTGGTAACTATTATTATGATTACATAAGAAATGTCCTTCTTGGTTTAAGAAATTACACTTCAGTAATTTCTAAAAAGAAAAGAAGCATTATGTCTATGATTCTCCAACAGATCAGAAAAAAAATATGTAACATTTGGGGACTCTGAGTAAAGGGTATAAGAAAATTGTACTGTTTCTGGAACTTTTCTATAAATCTTGATTTTCTTTTCAAAATAAAATGTATGTGACAATTCAGTCCTATTACAAATGTGGACAGAAAAGCAACAAGTATATTTATATCACAAATCAATAACCCATTATATTTATTGAAATGCGTGATGTTACCTTTACATTTAAATATGATATCATTTTTAAAAATCATTATTCTCTTCTCCCCCTGGAATGCAGGCTCCTTGGGGAACCAGAGCCTAGACAGAAATCGTATTTGTATTCTGTTGAGCCCTAACCTCAGCATGATAAATACCCAAATGAACAAGCAGTTCATGCACGTACTCATAACAGATACAGACCACGGAAAATAATGACAGGTCTGGAATGTACCATGAGACACTAGAAACACACTTCCTCAGATGATCTGACTGCCACAGTGGTTGGATTTGAAAGTGTGAAAAGACCCTACCCAACAACAAGGAAGAAGTCTTTCCTACTGTGTCTCAATGTCACCGCTGGGAAATGAGGCACGATGTTAGTATCTGTTTGTCTTTGATTTAAACTGAAATGGCCACCTTTAGGAAGGAACCACGGAAGGGGAGAGTGAAGGAGAGAAGGGAGGACCCTAGGCAGGGGAGGGTGCCTGTTTTGTCATCACCTCCTAGGATTGGTTCTGGTGCTAACCAAGTCTTACTGTCCTCAAATAACATTCTTTAATTGCTTTCTTCCACATGCAGAGCCCACTCATGAAAAGGCAGTAGTTATCCTATTCTTTCATCCCTGTCATGGACATCGATTCTGTTTCCCACCTTGAGAGAGAAATGCATCGCTGATGATGCTGAGTTTCACTAAATGAACTTCCCATTAACAACAGAATATAGAAGAGCTATAATACATGGAGAGCTCTGTTCTCATACCTAGTAGGAGCCTGGCTTCCCAGCCCCTGAGGGAAGATAAGCCCTTCTTTGAGACCACTCCATTTCTAGTATGTTTTTGTATCCATGAAAACACAATTGTGAAATTATGCTACCAAAACAAAGACTTCATGTTTACTTTATTTACTTAAGATCAAGAAGATAAGCTGAATCACTTTACTGAATCAGCAGACACCTATCTTCTCAATTGTGGGAATCAGGAAAAGTGTTTTTAATTTAAATTAATTACTTAATCTTTTCCTTGTTCCAGAAAAAAATTTAAGTCCTATTACAAGGAAAGGTAAATTTCAACATGATAGTAAAAGCATGGCAGGGATGAAAGAAAAATAAAAAGGCATAAAAAACCTGGAACCAGGAGTAAGGTTTTTTAAAGTACATTAGTTACTTTTTACCTTATATAAACAACTTCAAGGAGCAGTGATTTATTTTGGCTCCTGGTTTCAGTCCATCATGGGTAGGAGGACATGATGGAGCAGGGCAGCTCGTATCATAGTGGCCAGGAAGCAGAGGGACAGATGGCTTTTCACCTTTCATTCCATCTGGGCCCCCAGTCCATGGGGGCCCACATTCAGGGTAGGTCTTCCACCTCAGTTAATCCTCTCTGCAAATGCCTTGCAGACTCACTCAGAGGTGTGCTGTACTAATCTCATATGTGCATCTTAATCCAATCAAGTTGACAGCCAAGATTAACCATCACCAGTACATACAGAAGAGCTACATGTGATAACAGGGCTCTAAATTTTCTATTACTCAATGATAAGAAGGAAACGCAGGCAATTCACAGAGAATTCCTGTGTTTATATGTTTTTTCTTACTACTCAGAAGTACAATTCCAGACAGTGACATCAAATAGGAACTGTGTGTGTGGGAAACGGTAGTGATCATACAGAGAATGATGCAGAAAGTCCAATGGGAAAAGAGTACCAAAGGGCTTCAATTTGGACTGCAGGCGTCTAAACAAAGTGCACAGCAGTAAGAGTAATTCTCTCTTCAAAAAACATCAAGTATCTATTTAACAAAATAAAGGTTTAACATGGCTCCAAGATATGGTACTCCCTGCTATGTCTTCCAAAGTACTATGAAAGGCACACCAAGTAAATAAAACATTTTGCTGAATAAAATCATCATTCATAATTTGACTAGTGACTTTTAGTTTTAGAATATTGCAGTTGTTTGTTATCCCTTCTTTCTGACTATAATAAACTTGCAAAGGTCACAAATTCTCTGTGATTATACAATTCCATTATTTATACTTGAAGACTATCTTTCTCCCTTTTTATAGCAGCTATCTCTACTCTGATATTTTAAGTATCACTAAACTTTTTTGAAATCAAGAGACAAACATTAGGTTACCAACTACTTACACTGCTACATGAGAACATTTAGAAACAGTAATCAAAAACAGAGTGTAAAGGAGAAAAAAAGAAAATCTGACTTAATTTTTTAAAAAATTGTTATTTTTCTAATTTTGCACACAACTAGCAAAAATTCCATCATGTTCTGTTTGGAATTGCAGTGCCTCTCAAACTTTTTTGATAAGCCAATTTTCTAGTTAACAGTAGAAAATTATTTTTGTGTTGCAGATTAGAGAGTAACAAAGCCAACAAAGTGCAGTAACTGTGTCTCCAGTAATAAATAGCAACGATCATTTAATTTATAATAGAAAAATGTGAAATTATATTGTACATTATAATGTCCCAAGAGTTTTAACATAACTCAGTAATCTTATTATTCTTGTCTTTTTATTTTATTTTTTTTTGGTAGTATGGGGGTTTGAACTCAGGGCCTTGTTTGTGCTAACCAGGTGCTCTATCACTTAAGCCACATCACCAGCCCTACTCTTACTTTTATATTATTTTATATTTTATATTATTTCAATAATATAAATCCATTTGCAATACATCACCAAACTTCCTTGTATACAGTGTCACTAGTTTAATAGTAGAAATGATTTGGATCTGAGCAAAATATACTATATTTTTAATGTAGTCGTTGGATAATATACGCTCAAACTATCCTACTATTAACATAAATATATATTCAGTCTTGTCTCTTGTGGTTTTTATTGCAACATAAACTATGAATGAACAACAATTATCAGGAGACAATGTTAAAGAAATTATAAAGGAAACAGTGGAAAAGTGGCCTGGGATTTGCAGCAACAGGCAATTAACATGTTAAAGATGGGAGAAGTGCCCAAGGGCTGGTGGCCCAGGCCTCCTCACATTCTAGTTACTCAGGAGGCGGAGATCAGGAGGATTATGGTTCAAAGCTAGCTGCCGGCAACAGTTCACAGTTCACGAGATCCCATCTCAAAAGTACCAACACAAAACAGGACTGGTAGAGTGACTCAAGAGGTAGAGCAATTGTCTAGCAAGCATAAAGCCTTGAGTTCAAAACTCCAGAGCCATCAAAAAAAAAAGGGATGGGAGAAGTGAACATTCTAGAAGTTAAATATAATCTTAGCATTGACAGCCAACTAGATTATGCTTCGGGGATAGCCCAAAATCTTCCCTTGTGCAGCTCAGCTTGGTTCAGTAACTCCTATAAAGTATATGCTAATGAAAAGTTATACCTGAGGTTTGCACGAGATCCTGAGGAGCATTGTATAACATGAGAAAAACTACAAACTTATAAGATGAGGCTATGTGAACAGGTAAAAGGATAAATACTACATATTACCTCCATAATAAAAGCACTTTTGTATCCTCAAATTATCTACAAATCATAGGCTACAAAAATGTTAGGTAATTATTTACTGATTTGATATCAAGAACAAAACAAAAAAATTAACCTAGTAGAAACCAAAAAAAAAAAAAGAAGGGTAACGATCTCAAGTATTCACTAATTCAGAAAAACGAAAAGATGCTGACAAAAATGCACATTGAACTATAACAAATGTATTTATTATTAGTAAATTGGAGGGGTGACATAATGAAGTGGATAAGGAAGAGGCTGCCTTACACTCAAGCAAAGGTGTACCACTGACTGGCTATGTGATTTAGGGCAAGCTGCTTAAACCCTCTGTGCTAAGGTCTGTAAGCTATAAAATGGGGATAACAGTTCATGACTTCAACAATTACATAAGTTAGTACCTGTTAAATTTATAGAAGAGTGCCTAGTAGCTGCCATGGTAATCATTTTTTAAATTATTTTTAACATCATGGAGAAAAATGTAAATCTGATCAAGCATAAGAAAGTTTCTAGTTTCATCAGTAATGAAGTATATCCCTTCCCTGGAGTCTACAGGAGACTGGCTCTTGGACTCCATGGTACCAAGCTACAGAGGCTAATTCCCTTATATTAAGTACCACAGTATTTGCAGATACTATGCACATCCTATCAGATACTTTAATCTATAGATTACTTTTAATACCTAAATGTAAATGCTATATAAATACTGGTTATGCTATAAGGTTTAGGAAATAATGATAAGAACAATTCAGTTAAGTGCAATTATTTTTTCTTGAAGATTTTCAATCACTGGTGGAATACACAGATGCAGAACCCATGAACACAGAAAGATGACTAAATACTTATGCTGAAAATCTGTCACTAATTAATTTCAAATATCTACTAGGTTGATAATTATTTAAAATCACTCACCTGCCAAGTGTAGTCTTTTAAAATTTCTGAAGGCATTGGAATTACAAGGAGATTCTGCAGAATAAATGCAGCCTGAAAATTAAAATTTAAAGAGTCAATACTGCCATCTTGTTGTCATCTCTGAAATAACCAACATATTGTAATTTAATAATAGAAGATGTTTCTCTGGTGAATTGTATAAGCTGAGAGGTCTTTATGCGAACTGCTAAACTACATTTCTCATTAGATGATTATTTTCTTTGGTGATGACCAAACAGTATATTAAATTATTGCATTAGGGAGTATATTTTTCTTTATTTCATAATTTAGTTTTACATAAAACAAAAACTATTCAGGTAGCATCTAATAAATATGCATTCAGGTCTCCAATATCCCCTTATAGATCACATACACAAACACCCCTCGTTCAAATAAATTCTCTCAATAAAAACTTATTAAATAGAAATATAAATCACAAATGTTCAACTTAATCTGCTAGGACCTGAGATGAATCTTAGAATATTCATGCTAATATAAACACTGATTGCCTATTTAATGAAAGATAATGACATAATAATAGTGGGAGAAGAATAGGGAATTTTAAGATAGTAAAATTCTAACCATCCTTCATTCACTGGAGGTCAATAAAAAAAGCTTTAAGTTAATAAATCGAGAAAAAGCTACAAGCGTAAGTACTGCCATTTAAAAACACAAATGAAAACAAGTTCTTTTTCAGGCCAGGTATAGTGGTATATGCCTGTAATCCCAGCTATTAAGAAGGTAAAGATAGGAGGATTGCAAGTTCAAGGCCAGCCTGTGCAAATTTAACTCACCCCTATCTGAAAAACAAACTAAAAAAGTAAAAGGACTAGTGGTATGAATCAAGTCGTACAGTGCTTGCTTACCAAGTTCCAGGGTCTGAATTCACTCCCCACTACAAAAAAAAAAAAAAAAAAAGAAGAAGAAAGGGGAGAAAGAGAAGGAGGGGAAGAAGTAAGGGAGGGAGGAAGGAGAGACAAAGAGAAAACTGGCCTTTGAGTCTGGAATTGCAGACTGGCTTACGATGGGCCTAAGGAACCTCTGTTTTTCATAAGCCTCTAAGAATTGACTACTGTTTTTTAAAACTATTTGCATGAATCATCACTTGGGCAGAAGCAACAATAAAAAGAAAACTAAATTAGGGTTTAATTTTCTTCTCATGTTACATGATATATACTACCAAAAGGTATTGTTTTAAAACCACGATGTCTTCATTAAAATTTTATAAACATTAGCAATCCATGCATGCTAAGGTAAAAGCAATTGTTCTCTATGAACTAGTTTTCAGTGTGTAATAAAACAGAAGAATTCATATTAAAATACAAAGTATTCTGCTTTGATCTTATCAGAATGAAGGACTCCAATTTTTACTGTAAATTAATACCCTTTTCTATTCTCTGCTATTTTATTTGGGTTTTTCACAGTCAGAACAGATAGTGGTCTGTGGTCAGTGCACCCTGTTGAGCAGTGGGTCACATATGGTCAGACAATGCTGTAATGAATTTCTAGGAGGCAGGGTGATGAAAAAACAGACATACCTCCCGGCGCACTGCACTACATTCCAGGTGGTCCAAAAGGATGCTCACCACGGTTCCCCAGAGTCCACCAGAAATGTTCTGACAACTGTTTGCCAGGGCTACACAGCCAGGCTCAAGAGTGGTCAGTGCTGATCCTAATCCCAGTGAAGTGAATCTTACCTATTAAGTTAAAGAGAATGGTGTCAAATCTAAGAATACTATTTCTGATAGATAAAATATCCTAATTCATAAATATGGCAATGGCTTTACAAACCAAATAATGTAGGACACTTACAGAAGACAGTATCAAGTTTATGAATGAATACGACTAAAAGAAGGCAGTAATACAGAAAATAAAGTTGAATATAAGCAAATGTGACATGAAGTTAAACCAGGTAGGTTTAAATAAGAAGCATGAAAATGAATTTACAGTCCTTTTTTACAGGGAGAGCATAGAGAACTGACATACATCTTATGAATACAATTCCTATTTTATTCCTCATTCTTAAAAAAGGTACTTGCTATTTTGTTCTACCTTTCGTAATTTTTTTAGGTTTTTTTCCCCCAAATAAATGGTTTTAACTTTCTTGAAACCTTTTTTCAAAACAAAGAAGCAGAAGTAGGCATTTTCAAGGCATTCAGTATTTTCTCCAAAATTAGTTTAAGAGAAAAAAATTTCAAATAAGATCAATGCAGTGCAATATGCTTGTACCACTACTATTCGACTGAAGTATTTTTCAAGTGACATATTTTGGTGAATTTCTGAATTCTAACCAAAAAATAAACTTTTGAACATAGCTATAGTGTAAAAATGACAGTCAGAACACAGTAAAGGAATAAAGCTGGTTGCAAAGTGCCTAAAACAATGCAACCTCTACTAAGTTCAGATCAAGTATTTCTACATATCAAGATTTCTTATTGTAATAGGATTTAAACATTTCTTGTTCAAAATAGAGAACAAATAGCTAAAACTATTTAAGGTCATTTAATGATGTAAATTTTTATATTACAATATAAAGTTACTTATAATAAAATTTTTATTTATAATTTATAATTAAAACTTTTATTACAATGGCACTATTCCAGTAAAGAGCACTTAAATGTCACTAGGCTTTATAACACAATTTCCAACTATCCTTCTAGACTATTTGAAAATGGCTGAGATTTTCCAATAATTTTCCACTATTCCACTGCAAGACAATAATGAATTCTATGATGTTTTTTCTCTCCTATTTTCAATTGGTACACTAATGAATTTGATTTAAAAGTGTACCTTATGCACTGACCTGGGATTCCCCCAAAACTCCTATGCTAAAGCTCTACTGCCCCATGTGACTATGTTTGGAGATAGAGATGGAGCTTTGCGATTTTCACAGGTGGGCACCACCTCACTGGGACAGATGGACCTAGAAATCTTTGTCCGTGAGCTTGCATCATAGAGCCATGGGAGAAGGCAGCCATCTGCATCCCAGGAAGCTGCCCTCATTAGAAACCAACCATGCTCCCACCTTGCCATTGGGCTTCAGAGACCAAAATATGGGAAGAAAATGTTCTGCTGTTTCAGCTACCTGGTCTCTTGTAACCTGAGCACATTAACACAGATTTTGCACCAGTTAAGTGAGACTACTGCTGAAACAAGCATCTAAACATATGGAAAAGATTTTTGAACTGGGTAATAGGTTAGAAGCTGCAGAGTTTTGAGGTACATGTCAAAAATATGAATGTGAAGGTTAATTCTGGGTATGATGTCAGAAAGAAATAAGCATACTATTGTAAATACATTATTAGAGGAGAGATCCTTATAAAGTGGCATTGTGTTATGGATAAGTGACCCCCTTAAAGCTCAATTATGCCTTGTTAAAGGCTTGGTCCCCAATTATGGAACTATTTGGAGATGGTAGAACCTTTAAAGGCAGGGCATAGATGGAACTTTTCTGTTCATATGGTAGCATGCCCTTGAAGAGGATACTGAGACTCCTTCCTCCCTGCCTTCCTCCCTCCCTCTCTGATTAGGGGTGTTTAGTTCCACCAAGATATTTCATTGAAATGCTTCTTCTGGTACAGCAGTTATAAGTCAAAATCTTCACAAAAAAGAGTAGGAAGAACACATGCACTAGTATGGTAACTGGCAAGAGCAGACCGTATGAGCAAAAGGTGGCTGTGCTGGTGTACCCTGCAGAAGTTATCTCTATAGAGGCAGGGGTTAGTGAAGTAGGAACAGTCAAGTTTAGCAGAGACAGAAATATTCTTCTCCCACATCTACTAGCCACCACAGTATTTTTAAAGGAGCATGTATTAAAAGCATTTAGTTGTGTTTTTTAAGTTATCATCTACTGCTGCTCCATTTCTTCTTGCTTCTTATTCTGATGTGATGTCCTAGCAGCCTTTGGTATCATATTAGGAATCCTATTAATAATTAGATAGTTATTTCCAACTCTTGATTAATCCATTCATTTGTTGATGCTTCATATCTGAATAGCTTTGTGGAAAGTAGGCCAACCAGGAACTACAGAAGCAGCCAGTTGAAGGTGCAGGACAGCTCTACCACCTTCTCAGTCTAGCTGTTATCAGTCAGGAACTACAAAGTAGCAGGCACCTATAGGAGACCAGATGGTGGGCATGTGTCTCCCACAGTGCTCATCAAGCAAGCCTACAGATGCTCTGCTCAGCATGGTCTGAGTCCTTGACCAGCGCTGGCCATGTTCTGCTCTCCTCACACTCCTCTATTCACATCTCTTCTTTCTTTTTGCAGGTTTGCTTTACCATGAGCTCCCACCATGCTGTACTGCCTCACCAAAGGGCTGAAACCTTTAAAATGGTAAGCCCTGAAGTACAGCCACCAACAGAGCTGTGGGGAAGGGGGGCTGAGGCTGTCCTTCCATGGGCCTATAAACCACAATAATCAAGCCATCTTGAACCTTAGGATCTAATGGAATTTGCCTTGAGAGGCTGTGGACTTGCTTAGAGCCATCATTTTTTCCTTCATGCCCATCTCCTCCTTTTGGACTGGGAATGTTTGTCTCAGGACTGTCTTACCATCATATTTGGAAATATACAACTTGTCTCACAAATTCATATCTGGAGAGGAATTTTTTCCTCAGGATGAACTGTACCTAAAATCTCATCTATACTCAATTTAGGTAATATTTAGGTAAGACTTTGGATTTCAAATTTTAGAGTTGATGCTACGATGAGTTAGGATGTTTGGATCTATTGATATGGAATGAATGCACTTTGTAGGAGAGAACATGAATTTTGGAGTATGAAAGGAAGAAAACCACAATGAACTGGATCCCTCCAAAAATCTTATGTTAAAGCCTTAAGCCCCAATGTGACAAGAATGGGAGGTAGGGCTTCCACGAGTAGTTAAGATTAAATGAGGTAAAAAGGGTGAGATCTTAATCCAATAGGATTAAATCCCTCCACACACACATCCATACACATACAAAGGAAAGGTCAACACACTATAAGAAGGTGGGTGTCTATAAGCCAAAGAGAGCTCTTGGCAGAAACTCACTATGCACTTGCATCTTGAACTTCCAGCCAGTAGAACTATAAGAAAATAAATTTCTCTTATTTAAGTCACCGATTCTATAGTATTTTATTATGGCATCCTGAACTATGACAAGGGTTAAATAAAACATAGCTATAATAACTACAATAATTCCATAAGGTAAATATGCACAAGTGTACATTTGTTTCATGGTTTTCAATCTAAACACAATGGACTTGGTTTTCCTTTACACTGACCTCTGGGTCCCGATCAACCCATAGTGGAATTAACCAGGCCAATCCTTGTTGAGTAGGAGCATGTTCTTCACTGTGACTACCCAAAGGCAAGAACCAAAGTGGCATCCATTCCTAGAATGAAAAAACGGAGAACAGAAACACTTTAGGTGATTTTAGGGAGTATGAAAAATAATTTCAAATTATTAAAGATCAAAACAAAGAAAAATGAATTTAAGACTTGGCTTCAATCCATTACTTGACCAAAACAATGCAAACAAAAATCTCAGCTTCTCCTAAAAGATTTAGCCTAACAATTTTTCTACAGAAGCTATTTTTGTCATTATTTGGCCAAAATGTAGTTTTCTGAAAAACAGATTTTGACCAAAATAAATTTCAAAAGAAACATTTCCATGTATCAGGCTTATAGGCTTAAAATGTGTTAGACACAGCACATTCCTTTTTCAGTAACTGTTCAGAAGACAGGCAGCTTTTAATGTTCTCACCGAGCTCGGAGCCTGGGCTATCATCTCATGAGATAAGTGAAGCAAGCAAAGAATTGTGCTCTTTGTAACACCTTTTCCCATGAAGGACATAGCATTTCCTCCACGTTCCACATAAAAAGAAGTAATTACCTAGAAAACAAACGTGAACAATTTCATGGTGTTTTATTTTTAATTGTATATAAAAATAAATATATAACTTTTTACTGATTTATTAAGTCTTAACCACATAAAGTTATAATAATCTTAGTTTACACACTTAAAAGTAGCTACAATAATAAACGTATGTTATGTGTATTTTACCATAGTTGAAAACACTCTTAGTCAAACATTTGTTCACATTGGAATCTGTACTATCCTACTAGGACATTTTTAAGATTTAGAATATGTTTATAACATTTTTTAAATTGTGTAACATTAAGTCAAAAAGTTTATAAGTATCTTGTTGAAAAGTATATATAGAAACTCCTAATGCTATAAGATTCATTAACTACCAGGGTTATGCTAAATTTCTTGAATTATGGTTTAAACACAAGTACACACTTCCCTCACTTCTGTGGGGGAGGGTGATACTGAGGTTTGGACTCAGGCTTTTGCACTTACTAGACAGATGCTCTACCACTTAAGCCACATCTTCAGCAATTTTTGCTCTGGTTATTTCAGAGATGAGATATCCCTTTTTGTCCAGGCAGGCCTGAGCCACAATTCTCCTATTTTATGCTTCCCCCTGTAGCTGGGATGACAGGCATACCACCATGCCCTTAAGTTTTTTCCCCTGAATTGGGGTTTGTGAACATTTTTGGCTCAGGCAGGCCCTATCTCAGCCTCCCGTATGGCTTGGGTCACAGGTGTGTGCCATGGCACCCATTTATTGGTTGACATGGAGTCTTGCAAACTTTTTGTCCAGGCTGGACTTGAACTTTGACCCTATTGATCTCATCATCTCCAAGTAGCAGGGATTACAGGCACCTCACTTCTGAGTAATCTTAGATTTCTACTGCATACTTCTGTATACACTTATTATTTAAATTGCTGGTCCTCAATTTTTTTCTCTTCCACATGTCCGAGAAAACTGACACGCTTTCATCAAGAACAACAAATGAAGTGCTCTTCACATGAAGGGACAGTTACCTAGCTGAGAAGCTGAATCACAAAAGTCCTTCTATGGGATTTAGAAAATCCTTTCAACTATGTGGCAGACTCTTGGACCATATCTAAATAAATCATATATTTCCCCAAACAGTTGCTCAGTGGCTCTTTGTGACCTGATTATATAAGAAGACTCTTCATAGTTTGTCATCTCTTAAATTAAAAAATCCAGTGAGACAAAGAATCATCTGCAATTCATAAATTTTAGTCTATCATTTGGTTTCTTTTTGTTTTGTCTTTTCAACTCATACAGCAAAGCATACATACACACAACACATTCATTAAAGTGATAATTAATGTAAGTAGATAATTTAGAGGCTTTGATCTAAATTACAGTTTCCACAAATCAAATCATTTAAAATTGAATCTCAAAAGTAAAGCAAGATTGACCATGGGTTAAGAACTATAGGTAATAGCTACATGGGCTCTACTACTCTTTCAACATATGTATTTACTTGGCATTTCCATAATTAAAAATTTAAATTTTTGTCTGAAGCATTAGCTCATACCTGTAATCCCAGATACTTGGGAGGCAGAGATTGAGAGGATCACATTTCTATGTCATCTCAGGCAAAAAGTTAGAAAAACCCCAGTTCAATCAGTAAGTCCAGTGTAATGGTGCGTGCCTGTGATCCCAGCTAGGGAAGAGGCGTAAGAAGGACAATCATTTTGCTTGAAGCCCACCCAGGCAAAAATGGAAGACCCTATCCATTAAAACATCTAAAGTAAAAAAGGTCTGGGAGACACGGCTCAAGCTTCAAGTGGTAGGAGCACCTGCTTTGCAAGCCTGAAGCCCTGAGTTCAAACCCAGTTCAGTGGAGATAGCTAAGTCATCAATGGATATATCTAACATCTGTATAGTGATTTTATTCCTAACTTATGAATGATAAACCAAGAATTTTGGTACTACTGCCTTTCAACTTAACCTTTTGTCAGATCTCTGGAATTATACATTATATATCTGATTTTAAGGATTAAATTACCATAGCTCACTTATTTATCAAAATTAATCATGAATAGTTTAAAAAAAGTCTTCACCACTACTGTAAGCAAATACTTGTACTAAAGCTTCACTACATAGAAACAAAATAATCAGATATTAGAAATATGGCTTCCTTACAAAAAAGAATCAGCTTTAATTACTGAGAAATTATGAAGGAAATGAGCAGGACAACAATGGCTCTGTTTTCATGTCCACTCACATAAGCTTTACTTTATTCTTAAAAATTTGAAGTTAGTCAATAGTACAATAAAGAGACCTGCTTACCTAGTAGATTAAGCAGAAAATCAAGATTAAATGTGACTCTGCTACAATTTCTAACAAAACAACTGATTTCTTCATATTATTTTCCTGTCACTTGATATAAAGGTTTTCTAGATGTTTTGAGGCATGAAATAAATTCCTCTGCTTATACCAAATCAAGATTTGTTAAGGTTTTCATAAATATATTAATATTATAAACCAGGACTATAGTTTTTTTTTTTTTTTTTTTTGGGTTTTTTTTGTGGTACTGGGGTTTGAACTCAGAGCCTCACACTTGCTAGGTAGATATTCTACCATTTGAGCCATACCTCTAGCCCAAGGGACTACACTCTTAATCTATTCCTTGGCTAATGAACTGCTGATTTTTATTACCTCAAAGAAAACTGAACTTAGAATGCCTGGATTTCTTGCCTTTTGTTTTTCAGTACCATAAGCAGCTCGTTTTAATTTCGAGTATTTGAAACATAGTTGTTGAACTCTCCCTTCTTACACAATTTTAAAAAAAGCACTTTTTGATAGCTTTCAAATACAAACAATACAATATTTAGTCTTCCTTCCTTCCCTCCCTCCTTCCTTCTTTCTTTTGTGGTACTGAGGCTTGAACCCAGGGCCTACACCGTGAGCCACTCCAAGGGTCTCATGAACTATTTGCCCGGGCTGCTCTGAACTGAGATCCTCCTGATCTCTGCCTCTGAGTACCCAGGATTACAGGTGTGAGCCACTGGTGTCTGGTTTAGCTTCTATTTCAATTACTACTATAACAGTAAGTATCTTTGACCTGAAGACAGAGAAAACTCATTCTGTAGAGGAGCTGTGTTCCATAAAATGTTTAAAAATCATCACAACTAATACCATAAATAAGGTACTTGTTTGTTGAATTATATTTTAACTGCATTAGAGAAACTGACTTAAAAAATACAGCTAATTTTTTAACTAATATATGTTTAAAAATTCATGGGCACTTTGTAGCATGGAAAATTAATCAGTATACTGACAGTATGTCCTTTTACAATGCCTATAATTATTTAAGAAAATATAAAATTTGGATATATTAAAATTCATGTTAAATTTTATAGTACTGCCAACAGTATTGACAATTTTTCAGTCTTTTAAAAAAACTGAATGTGCTTTTGGAAAAATAAATCTAGATTAAAATCTGAAGCATGATTTATTATTGACTATACAAATATCACCTAAAGCATTATTTAATAATAAAAGTACAAAAATGAAACATCATTTAAATTCATTTAAGTCCCATGTTATGCAAATTGTAACCTAATTTTTATATTGCATGTAAAATATATACTAATTAAATGACTTACTATTTATTCACAATGTAAAAATTATTGTGTTTAAGCCAATGGGGTAGCCTTGCCATGGGATTGTGGAAATGGCTGAAAGACATAAACTTCCATAGGTATATGATCGAAAATAGAGACCAAACAATACTTATTGCCTGTCTAACTATGGAAGCAAGCTTACTGAAGGGAAGTGAATAAATGAGCTAGATCTCAAACTTTATGTAGAGATCCACATCCTCCAGAAAGGAAACTATGAAAGAAATGCTCTTTTTTTTTTTTTTAAAGCTTCCTCATTTGAGAATAGCTAAACACAGCAGAAAATTCAGAGTTGTAGAAAAAAATAAATGCAAGATTATCAAGTCTTATGTACATGGAAAATAAAGGTTATATGCTTTTAGAAAGATAATCTGGTGGTGGATAGAGATAATATGATGGCAAACAGGAACCTGCAGCAGCAAAAGGAACAGGAAGTTAGAGATGCAAATTGTTCAAAAAATTCCAGGTCTACAATGCCCATCCCTGTCGATTAACTGATTCATCTTTTATAATCTAACTTCAATATGCCTCCTCAAGAGTTTTTCCTGAAGTCCTAATACAGTTTATGATTCCAACCTATGGCTATCATGATACTTTCAGGGCAAAATAAGGTTAACAGATTTGAGGATTAAGGAAACAATGAGCCATTATTAGATTCAGACACTATTATGTAAATGGCAAAAGCAAGAATAATCAAAGGTGCTGCTCGAGTGCCCCTGACACAAGATGACACTGGCACAAAGGAGCCAGGTAACTGCAATGCAAGTGGCAGGGCACTCTGTTGTTGTGAAGGGTTTGACAACCTACAGGTGTACAACCTATAGGTGTCTCTCTCCAAAGGGAGAGAAACAGAAAACCCAGAGTTCATCAGACGTAGGAGGCAACAGAAAGAGGCTCCTAACAGACTTCTAACACATGGTAAGGCAGTCAGAATCAATCTCCCAGTAGTTCCTCACTAGCCTCCCATTCTGGATTCCAGAAGAATCTCCAGAAATTCTGACAAGACTTAGATTAGCTCTGGTTAAGCCTTGTCTATGTGACTCAAGTGCTTACATACAAGACTGCCAGTACACTGTGACAAATCTTCACTTACAGAACTAAGCATACCACATCATTGTTACATTTCCTATATCATACTGAAAATATTTTGAACCAAACGATGAGAGCATGGCATATCAAAATGTGTGGAATACAATTAAAACCCCTTAGAAGGTCATTGGAGCTGAAAAATGTGTACTTGAGAAAAGGCAAATAAATAAATAAATAAATAAACAAATAAATAGAAATCAATAGGGAAAAAGCTAAAAAGCTTTTAAGAGAAAGACTGATACAGACTAAGGTTCATCCTTTGATAACAAAAATACAATATATCACCATTAGTGAGATGATTCGAGAAAACACAGAAGGGAATAATTAATATTTGGAATGACAGGAACTACAGATTCAGTAGACATTTAAATGATGAAAAATTTTAAAATGAATTAGAAATTTTAGATAAAATGTTTTAAATTCTACAAAAACTAAAAGTGACATAAACATTATTAATTCTAAATCTATTAAAAAATTTACTATGTTATTTACAATCCTCCCCAAAAGAAAGCTCCAAGACTGGATTGCTTCATCATCAAATTTTACTAAAAATTAAAAATTAAAGGGCATTGCTCTGAAAGTGGAAACAAGGGTAGCTAGGCATCAATTAATTCTCACCAAAAGACAAGAGTGTTCACAGCAGTGTTACCTAAAATTGCCCTAAACTGGAAGAAAATGAAAAACCAAATTTCAACACTGTCATATATAGAATGCCATATGAAGTGAAACTAAATTTTACCTACAGGAAGCCAAATGAACAAATCTCATAAGCAAACTATTGAAAGAAACCCAACTTGAGCATGACTCCATTTATACAAGATCTTTAAAAATCAGAATTTTATATTTTTTTTAAATTAGAAATTATTTCATATACAAACACAGGACACTTAAGTGGTAAAAGATCAAGAAATGCAAAAAGTGTAGAATACCAAAAAAATCAAAGTGCCTTTCAGAAAAGGAGTGGAGAACAAGGGCAGTGTGATGACTGCTCCTAGGGTACCGTCTACATTCTGTTTTTGGATCTGGGAGTAATTACATGGTGCTCACTGTGCTATAAATGTATATTTTGTTTATTTTCTGCATGTGTTGAATTTCAGTTAAAAGGTTAAAGTGAATGAATTACCTTAATAAAGAGACTTAAATATAAGCTTTGTTTTTTCTGAAAATGAGAATATGCATAAGAATGATCTTACATACACATTTGTTAATAAAATTATTAAAATACTTAACCACTATGATGAGTTATCTAAATACTATATAATAATCTACCTTAAATACAGTAATCCATAATGCACTTGTGCTTGGTATGCAGTAAAAGTAATCAATGCATAGCTCCTATTTGACAGTTGTTATTTTAACTTACTTCCAGGAGACCTGACAAGTACTTCACACAAATATCAAATGGTTTGGTGAGAGGAGAATGTGAGCTCCATCCCGGATGTGCAGTGAGGTGAGCCATCCCTCGTAAGGTCCGCTCCAGGGAGGGCAAGCCATAGAAATGTGGTGCATCTGTGACTCTCAGACACTGGAGCAGCTTCAGAGATAGCTGTGTTTGGAAAACGTAAAGAAGCTCCAAGCATTTCCTATAAATGTAAAAGAGGCAAAAATCAAGCACAGAGCAAGTGTAATGGGCTTAACAGACTATCTTATTATCAACAGGGGGTCACTTAGACACATCCCGCCTCTTCCATCTTTCTCCCTATGCATCTTTTCATGTGTATCCTTGTCATAGCTTTCATAGTAAATAAGCAAACCTAAGTAGGTGTATTCTGAGTTCTGTGGACCACTCACACAAATTAATCAAACCAAGAAAGGGGTTTGGGGAACCCTAACTGTAATGGGTTGGCCACAAGCACAGGGAAAACAACCAAAGCTGGCCACTGGCATCTAAAGTTGGTGGTACATTCTTGAGCCCTCAACAACCTGTGGGATCTGATGCTATCTCCATATAGGAAGTGTCAGAATTAAAGTAAATTCAACAATACACAACTGGTAGTCAGTGCTGCAAGACTGTTGGCTTGCTAATAGGTAGAAATCTACACATCTGGTATCAAAAGTCTTCTGTGATGATTGTGATATAAGAGAAAAGGAAAAACAGACATTTTACATGTTTTCCAATACAGTGAGAGAGAGAGAGAGAGAGAGAGAGAGTGTGTGTGTATTGAAGGAGGCTGAGAGTTATAACCCGGCTTCAGAGCTTGATGTTAACTGATTAGTACTGAAATACTTCCATCTTTTATTTTAATTTTAAAGAATAAGAAGTAAAACTCTAGAAATCAAAGGAAAACTAGGTTTCATGCAAATGTACCCAAACCTTCAATGATACAAATGGTACCTGTCAGTAACTGTTGTGACATTAAGCAGCAAGGTATTAAAAAGAGCAATCAGTTCTTTCTGAAGTTGCTGCCTGACAGCAGTCCGGATGTCATCTGTTTCTTCCCGAGCCTGTGACTCTGTCAGAACCAGCAGGTCTAACAGCGGGTTTGGACTCTTAAAAAATGAAATTTATAAAAACACATTTACTCTCTACATATTTTTGCTGTTATCTATGTTCTGGATTAACTAAGAGTTACATTATATAACTAGTAACATAGGTAGGTCTAGTTCTTAAGTGCATTAATAAAGACTTTCTAAACACAAAAGGGATGTAACACATTACCTCAACAAGAAGGTGTATCTATTATAGAAAACTGAGAAAACAGAGCAGAGTGCAAGAAAAACAAAATCAAGCATAATCACTCCTCACAGAAACTCCAATTATTGCTGAGTAAAAATATAAAGAGAGTTATATATTTTAAACAAAATTGCTATTAAGTGGAAAAAATCCACTATTGAAACCATTTTTTCTAATTAATGTTATTATTGGCATTTCCTCAAAAACTTTAATGTGTGATTGTTTGTCAAACATATGATTTGTAAAATTTGTCCCATTTTTCTAACTAAAAAACTTGCTGCTTAGGGCTATATAAAACAATTATTTCTAATAATACTGAGAGTAGAAAATGTTATATTAACCAGTAGGATTAATAGATAGATGGGATATTGTCACATTGTGCTAAAAAGAGAAAGAAAATAAGGTTTCCTTTAATTTTTGTATTAAACTGGAAGATTTGCACTTTTCTTTCCATCTTACAGAGTAAGGTTCTGGAGAGTATGCTTCAATAAAATACACATGACTATAAATAATATAACCAAGAACTTTTGGAAAGAATTAGAGAGAAATGCTTTGCTTTAACTTATGTCTTAAAAATAATTTTATGTCTTAAAAATAATTTTTTATGTCATAAAAATAATTTTTATGTCTTAAAATTATTTTTTCTCAGTTTTTCCTTTTATCTTAAGCAACCGTTGCATCAATTAACACTACATACAACTGCAAAATCCATGTTTCACAATGAATAAGAGAAACAAGATACATACTTATTATATCATAAAAATAAACATATCTTCTATAGTATTCTTAGCCCTAAATACCAAAGGCTGACTTATAATCACATACATAAGAAAGTCAAAAATTTTTTCTTGCTGAGGTATTTAAAATGGAGCTGCTACTCTCTGTGGCCTCTAATTTGGAATCTGCCAGGTATAGGATGGGTAGTCTCAGTTGCTGTCAGGTCTGTTCCTTCTCAAATAAGCCAAACTATATACAGCAGAATGCAAGCAGAGCCCCAACCTGCCTCTCCTCACCTGCCAGCTGAGGGCTGAGACCACACTGTTCACAGAAGGGCTACATTCACTCCAGAAGCATCTGTATGTACATCCTAGGACATGGACACAACAGGATCTGCTCACAAGCTTCTCTCAGAGTGGAGTCTATGTACTGATTGGGTGGGTTCCAGCTCCTGAGACCTTTGGTCAGTGTACCCATGGATATGACAAATGTCCAAGCCATGGATGGAGTATAGCATGGAAAAAGCATCTGACCAATGCCATCTGAGCTGGTGGAGGCAGCAGCAGAAACTCAGTGATTTATCTGCCTTGGTCCCCATGCTCTCAGTCACAGGGAGCACCAAGCTCTCATGCAAATCCACCCACACTTGGTCTTGCTCGTCCACACAAAGGTCTACCAATATTAAGTGGAAACACCTTCTGCTTCCCTCAATATCACAGACAACGCTTCCCACCACACAAGAGTTCTCAGCAAATTTGTAGTTACTTCCCCGGACCTGAACTATTTCCGGGGTGGCCAGGTGCTATGCCAGAGAAGAGAAGAAGCCACTGGGTTTTGGAGCTTTAAAAATGCAGGGACTTCTGATTCCCCAAGCAGTAGGCTCAGATCATAGGACTCTTCTTAAGATGGATGGCTCCCAGTTACAGTACTATATAGAATATGTTGGGATGTGCAAAGAAGACTCTTCTCCAGTGCCATCCCTCTGGCAAATCCCTCATCTCCTGTCTACTGAGACTGTAAAGTTTGCAAGTTGACAAACTCTGTGCTTGTGGAAGGCACTGGGTCATTCCCTTTTTTACCTATTGACCCTACCAAGTGCTCAGTGCTAGGGCTCTGTTTTTCTTACTATTCTAATATCCAATATCTATAGGTTCACGTGGTCACTGACTCTCTAATGTTGCCTTCCAGTGCTTTCCTATGACACCTCCTCTTCACCATGCAGCTACCCAGCTGTTGTTTGGGCTCAGCCTTGTGCAGGAGGCAGGTGCTAGGTGTCTATAACCCACTGTATTCCCTTCTCCATTGCTCAATGATTTTCCTATTGCTATATACTATATGCAAAGTTTCACATTCAAACTAAATTAATTCAATTACTGCACAGATTTTTAAGAAAGATTCTAAAACTAAAACCTACTGTATTTGCTATTTTCATAACCCAAAGCAATCATAATTTCCAGAATACAAGAACTCTAACACCAAAAGATATGCACCAAAAGATTATTTTACAGCTTAGTTTTAAAAATAAAATACAAATGGGTAAAAAGATTATGAAGTCATAAAAAAATTGACCAAACCTCAATTTGAGTTATTGAGAAATCCAGAGGGGTTGGGGACATAGTTCAATACTAAAGCACTTCCCTAGCATGCACAGGCCCTGAGTTCAACTCCTAACAATACCAAAATATACAAAATAAGAAATTGAAGGTTTCATAGAGATCCCTTTAACATTATTTTAATACTCAATATCAAATATATTGAAGCACGCTTAAATTCTCTAAAAAGAACTATAATGACATTAGGTTTTACTATTTTGCTTTATTATACAATGTTCATTCAGAAAATAATTATCTACAAATGCCTCTGTAAGTTTTTTTAATAATTAGGAGATTTGGTAAAATCAAAGTAAATATATAGTACTTGACACAACTATTGAGAAAGTAACAGAAAAGCAAACTTTATTAAACAAGAGTCTAGGTAATCTGAAAGTTCAATCACCTTAAATTAAGGATCAATAAATGAATTTTAAAGAAATTAGCTTTTTGTTTCCTGTTTGTTCTATAAATATTCTTCATGTGCAACATGTCTTTTCAACTTTGCTTAGAGCCTTTTTTTATAAACAAAAGCCAATAAAATGCAAAAATAAATGCCCTCTCATTGGACAGCCAACCTATAATTCATTTTACAAAATGAAAATAAGATATATCTATCTAAGGAGGTAAAAACAGTCAAAGAAAAATATAGAAAATAAATTTATCAAGGAGACATTTGGTAAGCCACTTTAGAAGTATTTTCTTCAGAAAACACATAATACAAAGTCCAATCAAAGATTTATGTATGTGTAAGATATTTGCTTACATAATATTTTAAAGGTGAAAATCCAAATCAGGGTGAAAAACCTGATATAGGGAAACTGCCAACTGTTGAAAAAAGTCTTTATATCAAAAGAAATTCAGACAAATAAAGATGTAAACAAAAATAAAACCCTGAAAGTTATAAAACATAGGAGTGTTTACTAAAACTTGGACTACAGAAAATCTTTCCAAAAAGATGCCTAACTTAGAACTTACAAAGAACTGATAAACATGACTACATAAAAATAATAGGGCAGTGAATAAAACAACCTGCCCTTATAGAGTCTACACTCTAGTGGGGGAGGGCAGGTAAAAATGAACACATATAAGTGGGAGTGACAGGTGCAATGGAGAAAAATAAAATAGAGGAGTCAGAGACAGAAGCATAGATGGGTGCTATATTAGATATGAATGTCAGAGAAGGCTTCTCTGATTAACATCTGAACAGAACACTAACTTGACTGTGAACATTAGCCACATGGATACCTAGGAAAAAGAACATTGCAGCCCAAGAGAAAAGGACATGCAAGAGTACTTGGGTACTTGTGAGTAGCACGCATGAAAAATAAGCAGGAGGCCAATGTGTGGACTAGAATGGAGTACAGTGATAGGAGACAAGGTCAGAAAGTTATTCGGAATCAAGCTCAAATTGTGCCTTAAAGGTTACAGTAAAGTACTATGGAGCTTTATCTGAATGGAAGAGGAAACTTATGGAGGATTTTAGCAGATGTGGCAGGATGTGACTTAAGTCCACTCTAGCAGTTCTCTTGAAAACCAAGACATGGTGGCACTGGGTAGAGGCTTGAAGGCCTATAATAACTCAAGGTGGGAGCAGGGGGGTGGCAGATGGCTCCATCTAAAGTAGTAGTTGACGTGATGAGAAGTGGTCAGTTTGACACACATACCTACAGAGTTATCACTAAACATGGAAATTATGGTCATGGGTCACAATGTGAGCATTATAAAATATGAAAAGTAGAAGGAATATACTGCAGCTAGGAGATGAATGCATCAGATAACACAGAAGTAAGATAATTATGTCTAAATTCCATAAGCATGGTCAGAAGATAATGACAAACAAGAAAAAGCATCTGCAATTCATAACAACCCAATTATGGGACAGAACCAGTCAGGACATTAAGGGACAGGCCATAGGAAAGGAAACAAAATAATCCCCAAATATGAAAAAATTCTCTGCCCCACTCAAAATCACACACTGAGAAAAAACTACACATACACACACACAAACATGCACACACACCCCTCTGTAATGTAACACAGTAACTGCAATTCTAGGAATTTAGTCTATAAATATAATGTACATGTATAACTTTAAGCAGACTTCACAGTGTTCAACAAATTCTGAAATTAAGGATATGTGTGTATCTTACAATAAACTGCACATCTTCCTTAATGTCATAGTTTATTACTGAGTTCATACATACATACATAGGAATGATCGCTATGTGTAAGGTACTAGATGCTGATATTCAGTTATGAACAAAACAGTCTCTAATTTCATCAGTCTACAATAGGGAAAAAATAATAAACATCTAACCAAGCAGCACATACATACAAACATTCATATGAACTAGAATTTCTAGTTTTCAATATGTAGTACTTTCTATTTTTATAGAGAGTTAATCATCTCTAAGCTTTGCAAATGTTTTAACATTTAGTGGAACAAATTTGTCTTACAAGGTCTAGTAATGTTTTTATTATTTTTGGTAGTACCAGGGTTTGCTAGGCAGATGCTCAGCAATTTTCTGCTTTTCAGTTTTTCTCAGGTAGAGTCTCACATTTTTACCCAGGGCCGGCCTGACCTCAACCTCCCACATAGCTGGGACCACAGGTGCTTGCTTATTTGGTTGAGATGGGCTCTTACTAACTTTTTTGCCTGGGCTGGACTTGTACTATGATCCTCCTGATCTCTATTTCTTAAGATGCTGGGATGACAAGCATCAGCTACCAAGCCCAGCACAGTCTAATGTTTTCTATATCAGTGTAGGCCTTATTTCCTAATTATTTTGTTTTTTGCTTATTTGTCAAGGAAACTGATATAGCATTTGCAAATAAGCACACAGACAGGCAAATAAACAGACCAACAACAGATAGTGAACTAGCTTCCTGGGTTCTCAGCAAATTGCATAGAGCACAGTCAGCTAAAATCTGAGAACAGTCAGGGCTGGAGGGGTAAGACTCTAGCAACATTATGTTAAAACCTGAGCACTGTTTTACCCATTCTTTCCAACTTCACCATTGCTATATTCCTCCTGCTTCCTTCAGGCTTTGCTACCTACCTCTCCACAGTCCTAGCTCAGTCCCACTCCTATCCCAACTGAGTTCCCCACTTAAAAATTACAGTAGTAGCAGAAAGCTCACATATATAACAGGTTTTATTAAACACAGGTTTTGTACTCTATAGAGTTTCAATTTAATAAATATAGTCACAATTATATAAGGAAAGCCATGTTGCTATGAACCATTGCATTGGCTCATTACAAAATAAGAAGTACTTTACTAAGAACTAACAAATACCCTTTTTCCTTAATATAAATAATGCCTACAAATAAATTGCTTCTCAAATCAAAAATCAGAAACTCCGTAACAATACTTACATGTCTAAGAAGTAATTCTAGAATCCAATTTAGAAGTTCAACTGATGGATTTTTTCTTTGTCTCTTCATTAACTTATTTAAAAAATTTATGATATCTATTAATAATTTCTCATCTTCAGTGCAAGCAGGAAGTACTTGTAAAAATCTATAAAAAAAGAAGATAGTAAGTATGGCTTCCAGCTCCTTAAAATCCACATTATTTAATCCTAGGTACTGAGAATCACAGTTGGAAGCCAATCTAATCAAATAGTTCTAGAGACCCTATCTGAAAAATATCCAACACAAAAAAGGGCTGGAGGAGTGACTCAAGTGATAGAACACCTAACTAGCAAGTGTAAGGCACTTAGTTCAAATCCTAACACTGTAAAAAAAAAAATATGTATATATATATACACATATATTTTACTTTTCATTATGGATATATGCACTTAACACATCTCTTGAGCACTCTATTTCACAAGAAAATATTCTAGATGCTATGAAAATGCATAGACGAAAGAAACACGGCTTCAATCACCTAAGCTTGCAGTGGAGAGAACACATGACCAAGTAACTAAAAAAAAAGAAAATGAAAGTGGGGCTGGAGGAGTGATTCAGGTGGTAGAACACATGCCTAGTAAAGCATGAGGCCCTGAGTTCAAACCCCAGTATCACAAAAAAAAAAAAAAAAAAAAAAAAAAAAACTGGAAGTAACAACATAAAAGAGATCAAATTCAGAAAAAGTGTCAAAGGAATGCCAAGAAGAAAAACAGCACCTTTAGCAGTCCAGGTAAAGCTGATTTTCATGCTGAAAGGATATTTTATTGATAAGAATTAGGGTTTCAAACCCAATTCTAACCAATTTGGAAGAACAGAGTAATAAAGGAAAAATCTTGCAAAGATGCTATCAGTGCTTATAACAAGAACACTGAAGGTAGACTTAAGAGGGAATATCTTTGTATGTTCAGAGTAAAAAGATACAAACTAGATTTCTGAATTTCTTAAAAGAAAAACTGGTGTAAGAGAGCTAGAGGATTAATAAACATGAAAACTTTTATGAAAAATGAAGCAGTTTGGAAAATTACTTTTTAAAAAAGCAATCAGAAGGGAGGTATATAGAGATTCAATTTTATCTGCAATGTTTTTTATTTTTTAAAAATCCAAAGTAACTATGTCAAAATGCTAATGAGCTAGCAATAACACTGATAATATCAGCAGTTACTGATCACTGACTTTGTGCCAAACTCTGCTCTAAAACCTTAAAAGTATTTTTTTAATCTTCTCAAAGACTGAAAATGGCTCCATTTTAAAAATGAGAAAATTCAGGCAAAGATATGGTATGTAGATTTTTTTCAGGGTTATATGGCTACTAAGTGTTAGAATGTAAATGCTAATCTAAGCAGTCTAACACCAGGGCTGTATTATATTTGTTGGTAATATGATATTTGCTACATTCTTTATTTAAAATCCCCACCTCCCTAAAATGACATTTAGCTGAGAAGACAGCAAGCGTCAGATTATAATTGAAATTAGAAAAATATTTCAAGGGGATGGAATGAAAGAACAATTCTAACAAGATGATTTAACAATAATAAAATTTTAAGAAGTCTTCCATGATATCCAGTGCAATCCTAAAATATCACCTATGAAGCCTCCTTTTATAACAGCTACCATATCCTTTAATTCTGATGTCATTATCTTTTGGTTCCTAACTAGAGGGCTTATCCCTTTGCCTGGCATCTTTTCTGTTTCCATCCTATTTACATTTTTTTATGCTTTGACTTAAACTTCATCCTCTACACTACCTTCCCCCTCCCCCACAACTACCACCACTACTGAGGTAAGATTAGGGAACCCTCTAGAACAGTTTTATAAGTCTTCTTGGAAGCATTTGTACTTTTGATTACACTATTAGCTGCCTTCACTACAAGTTCCCTAACAGCAGGGACCCCATCAATTTTGTTCACCATTAAATTTTCTACAAAGGCCTGACATCGAGTAAGTGATGAAGAAATTGTATGCTGAATGACAGAAAAGCACTGAGGAAAACGGAGCAATGGCCCCTTTTCTTCCCACCCACTCTATCCCACACCACTGTTCCCCACACAAGATATCATATGTGGATCACAGAGGAAGTTCTAAAATAGTATGAATAAGTTAGAAGAACCAAAAGCACTTACATCCTGAGGGGAGAAAAGGTACAGAAGAAATTAGTTATGTTTAAATAATTAAAGAGATATTACATGCAAGTATGGTTAGGATTTATTCCACATGAGTTTAAATGGCAGAATAATAGGTAGAAATTACAAGATAGCAGTTCAAAGAAAGTAAGAACTTACATATAATCACAGTTCAAAAACAGAATGATATTCTTCAAAGGAGGTACTCATGCTGAAGTTGCATCGCAACTTAACGGGATATACAAAAGTGAACTTATCAAGTACATGCCTGGACAAAGTGAGTTCTACAATCTCTCAAACTCACTAATTTATGTTTATTGTAAGCCATTTGTATATACTGTGCCTTATGCCATATTCAGTGAGACTAAGAAGTAATATAATACACGGTCACACAGGAAAAGAAGACAGGTATTGAAATAATTATAGAGGTTATACAGGATAGCTATGTGACAATTACTATGGTAATTACAATTCCACTTGGAGTACAGAGGAAAGAGACCTTGACCTAAAGCTCAAAGAAGAAAAGACATTCACAAAACAGAAAGGGAGTTAAAGCACAGTTAAAAAACAAAGTACAGCCCCTAGAACATCATGTAGTTTTGTAAAACTACAATACATGTTACTTTATAAATCACAGTGTATGTTAGAGCAGGAAAATGCAGCTGAAAAAGTAGGCAAATGCCAGATCAAAAAGGACCTTCTACATCATGCTAGGGGTTTGAACTCTACCTAGCAAACAACAGAGGAGACTCCACAGGTCACATGAACTTATTCAGGAAGCAATATAATGAGTAGCATAAGGTAGAATCAGGAAAAAACAATTAATCATTTCTTCTATAATTCAGATGAAACATGATAAAAGCTTCAGTTAAGACAGCAGCAACAAGACTTAATAGGAAAGGGGTAGAGAGATACCAAATATATAAAATCATATGGTTAAAGGAAGACTCTAAATACCTCTAACAGGTTGTAATTTTACTAAATCATAATAATCATCAGCTATTTTCCTTAAATATGATTTCAAAAATGTAAGTCTTCTTTACATCTGTAAAGACAATTTCAAAAATATCTGGGCAAAGTAAGAATTACTCTAATATACAAATTTTCTCTTACAAGGACTCCTTTTGGGGGACATTCATTTGGATATGTCATACATTTTTCAAGTTTGCCTCAAAGTATATTTGATATGGGAAGAATCTAAAACATGCTACTCTAAATATATAATAAAAATCATGTAAGTATGATCATGCTTCTCTGTATTGTTTTGTCTAGTATTATAAGGTCTGAAATACTTGCATGTAATATAAAAAATTTTAAACTAAACTACAAAAAATGATTGCAGGAATTTTCTCTCCAAACGCTTTTTCTCCTGTAGAGTGTTGATTCATCTTAGATAACTGGCCAAAGTTCATTCAATTGAGTAAAAGCAAAACTAAACATTAGTTTACCAAAGTCCCATCTACACATGCATTTCTGGAAGTAGAAATTTTTTTTAATTTTTCATGGAAAAAGTGGATTCTTTGATATATTTTACATATTCCTTAGTAAAACATACTGCAGCAGAAATAAATGAGTTTGTTTTATAAATTAGGCATTGGTTCCTGTGCTGAAGTGATTAAACTTGAGTCCATAGCCAAATAAAAAAGACAATCAGCTATCTCTCAGTACCCATGGACATGTGTTCCAAAATGCCTCACAGACAGCAAAAGCTTTCTGTTTAACCTTTCTTTTGGTTCCAGTCCTTCTTCTTTCTATTGGTATTTGCATATAACCTATACAATTCCTTCTACATGCTCCTGTATATATTAAATTATCTCTACGTTTCTTACCTAATACCTAATTACCTCTACATATATGATACTAATCCGCTCAAATACTAAGTATACAGTTGTTACACTGTATCGTTCAGAGAATAATAACAAGAAAAAAGTGGGTGCCTGTTCAGTGGAGAGGCTCTTTCCTTAGTATTTTCAATTCACAGTCGGTTGAATCTGTGCAGAGATGCACAGTAGCACAGAGATATGTAATATTTCCATAAACAATATTGCAGAACACAGATAATCATAAAATGTTGTGAACCAACTAGAAAGTGATTACTATTTTCATATTTCTTACCTTTATTTTTCATAAAATTTAATTGTACATTTATAAAATTTTTTAAATAAATGTGTTTACTTTGTCTTCCTTATTAGGTTTGTCTCTTTTCTTCAACAAAACCAGTGATAAAGGCAGAATACGACCTGCCTCGAACTGAGGGGAGAAAGGTGAGAGAGGGTGGAGGAAGGGAGCAGGCGGGGAGAAATGACCCAAATAATGTATGCACATGTGAATATAAAAATAAATAAATAAATAAATAAATAAATGTGTTTAAGGTTAATTTTCAAAAATCTTGAAAACTTAGCCATCAGTCCTCTCAAAAGGCAGTACAAGCTGGCTCCAGCACAACATTGGAAAGACCTAATTACATATCCCAACTTGGAAACTCATGTAACCTAGCACTTTGAAAACTGCATAGTCTATGTTTGATAAGAAAGTTTTATGTTTTACACTAGTCACATGCAGACTGAAATGAAAAACTGCTTTTAGTGGTTGCTTATCAGTCTTGTTTCAAATGCAGCCATCTGCTACCAGTTTAACATGCTAAATTTACGAGCTAGTCTTTCCAATAACTATTAAAGGACCTCCATGTAGCAATCAACTTCATAAAATTCAGTCCAAAAAGAAAAATGAGATAATTTACTTGAGAACAAAGCAAAGCAAAACAAAATAGCCTGGGGCAGGTATACCAAACCTATTTATCAATCCACTGATGTCTCAACTCATTTATAATATGGACAGGAATAAACATTCAGTATGCTTCAGCCATGTCCTAACCTAATCATTTATTTTTTGGGAGATAAAATTTTCTAAGGTAGGATAATAAAATTGTTACAAGCTTATAATAGTAATTCCTTCAAAAATGCAGTAACCAAATTAAAATTTTTCTCTTTTGCTATTATTACTTACTACAGATAATAAATAAAAAATCCTGGAGTTCTTCTAGCTATAAAAAGTATTTCTTTCATGATAGCAACCTTAAGAGAAAACACACTTTTATCTTCAAAAGACTGGCAATGAACCTAAATCCAATTCAATCCAGGTCTTTGAAACTGGCAGCTTTAAGCTTACACTGACCTGTTTAGTGCAGGGTGCCAAGCCAAGGACTTCAAGGTAACCCCACATGGGCCAGTACCACTCTTTAAAGACAGTTTGTCATTCAGAAGATAAAAACTCATCCTGGTGACAGCAGCCCTTACATTTCTGTGGGCTGCAGCCTGAACAATGGAGTGAAGACAGTCCTGCAGCCCACTGGCCGTGTGTGTGATCTTCAGAATGAGGATGTCCTCTGTGGACAGCTTCAGTGCATCTAAAAATCTAGACAAAAGGAAAAAGAAAGAGCATTTCAAGCTATTTAAAGTAAAAGCTCACATGTATTTCTACTATAAACTCTCCCAAAAAATCTGTTTAATGTTTATTTTATTTTAATTAGAGGTTGAATTAGGATAAAAAGAAAAACCTGGTAGATGATGAGAGAGAAAGAGGCAGAGAGAGCGCTCCATGCATCTGTGTCAAAATTATACTTTAACATTAGCATTCCAGGTGTTTATACTGACTTTTCCCCCTTACAGAAATATAAACTAATTTTATTCATATAAGAATGACTGACAGGTTAGAATATGAAGAATACTCAAAAATGAAAACATTCACATATACACTTATTGAGGTTTATTGTATTCGAAAGCACTTTTCAAAATAATTTATATCACCTAAACCAACTTTATGTAATCTCTAAAACAGCTTAGCATACAATCCTTTTTTAATTTAAGTGTCCTTGCATGTGGTATTTTAATAAACACATGTAATCTTCAAAACAAAGTAAGAATTATAATCTCCAGTTAAAATTGATATGACAGTATCAAATGCCAAAGCTACTGGACCTAAAGAAAAAGCAAAATCTAACTCATTAATCACAGTTAATTGTCAATGCATTTTTCTAAATATAACAGCTTACTCTTGGATTTTAGTTTCCGAGTTCATTTGTTTCAACAGGTTATCACTCCCATGGTACCATGACAGGTTCCAAGCTATTCTCAGCATATCTGACACAGGTTTCAATGCCAAACAATCAGCAGATAATGGCAAAACTATTGAGTAAGGACTCACAGCATGATGGCCGATTACAGATACTGGTAGATGATACCTGAAGAAAATGTATATAAATTATTATAAATTCTTAAGTACTACTCAAAAAGATGAATTACCAATGAGAGCTTGTTCTATGCCTCCCATTCCAAAATAATGCAAAGTTCTCTCTCATTGCTGTTTTAAAGTTACCACAATGTATACAATATTTCAATTATTCTTCCACCCTCCTCTAAACTCCTCAGAACACTCATTAAACTCTTTCCTGGGGCTTACCATAGTCTATGCTGCATTAGAGTCATTGCAGAGATAACTAGTGCTCCTTGAAATCAGGTCCCATGATTATAGTGAATTAAACATGAAAGGTGTTCAGCTAAACCATGATTGTTTACTTTCTGTCAAATGCTGTTTGAATTATCATTCATTCAGTTACACGGCATTCACTATGACACCGTTTTATAGATGAACATAAGGAGGCTTAAAGGAATTGCCCAAGATCAAGAGGTCATTAAGAGAATGAATCCTAACTTATTATTTCCACTTGAGAACATAGCCACATTATCAACAAACTCAACAAGAAAACCCAGAAGTATTTTTAGATTTAAGAACAAATTCAATAGCAATCTCTCAAAGCAAAGATAATTTAACAGTGTTTATATGACAGCAAGGTCTAGCATATGCAAATGTTAACGAATAATTTTACTAATAAAACATATCCCAAATTTCTAGTTCACATATTTATTTTTAGATGAACATTTGGGTAATATATAGATATATTTAGATGACAATTGAGCAAAATTTCTGAGATCCTTAAATCTGTTTTCTTACTTTGTGTACCCCAATAAAAGAAGCTAAGGCATGATTCCAAGTGTAAATAGGCTCCACAATTTAATAAGTAAAGATATTATTAATCGGAATTTTTCACTGAATGCAACCAGGGTTCTTTGGAAAAACAGCTGATGCTGGTCTGGAACAAGGAAATCAAAGGTGTCCTTGGGTATCTCTTGGTGCCGAAAAAGCAAGGAAGTACTGAAAGATTCATAGGGCCATGTCAAAAAGACACAGGGGCCTACTGAAAAGGACTTGCACAACACACACAAGAAATAATTTGAGCACTAAAACAAGAATTAAGATGATGGATCTTTCTGTAAAAATTGAAAAGTCCAAAGCTGGACACGGTGGAACACGCCTGCAGTCCCAGCTCCTTGGAGACTAAGGCAAGAGGATGGTAGGTTTGAGGAAACCTGAACTACACAGCTTAGAAAGAAAAATTAATGGCCTATAGTGATATTCTAAAAAGGGACTGGAAAGGGAGACGAATGCAATTTAATGCATAAGAAAACAGGTTATCTCTCTTACACTGTTGGTGGGAATGTAGACTAGTACAACCACTCTGGAAAAAAATCTGGAGGCTACTTAAAAAGGCTGGACATCGATCTACCATTTGATCCAGCAATACCACTCTTGGGGATATACCCAAAAGACTGTTACTCCAGAGGCACCTGCACATCCATGTTTATTGCGGCACTATTCACAATAGCCAAGTTATGGAAACAGCCAAGATGTCCCACCACTGACGAATGGATTAAGAAAATGTGGTATCTATACACAATGGAATTTTATGCAGCCATGAAGAAGAACGAAATGTTATCATTCGCTGGTAAATGGATGGAATTGGAGAACATCATTCTGAGTGAGGTTAGCCTGGCTCAAAAAAACCAAACATCGTATGTTCTCCCTCATATGTGGACATTAGATCAAGGGCAAACACAACAAGGGGATTGGACTATGAGCACATGATAAAAGCGAGAGCACACAAGGGAGGGGTGAGGATAGGTAAGACACCTAAAAAACTAGCTAGCATTTGTTGCCCTTAATGCAGAGAAACTAAAGCAGATACCTTAAAGCAACTGAGGCCAATAGGAAAAGGGGAACAGGTACTAGAGAAAAGGTTAGATCAAAAAGAATTAACCTAGAAGGTAACACCCACGCACAGGAAATCAATGTGAGTCAATGCCCTGTATAGCTATCCTCATCTCAACCAGCAAAAACCCTTGTTCCTTCCTATTATTGCTTATACTCTCTCTACAACAAAATTAGAAATAAGGGCAAAATAGTTTCTGCTGGGTATTGGGGGGGGGGAGAGGAAGGGGGTGGAGTGGGTGGTAAGGGAGGGGGTGGGGGCAGTGGGGAGAAATGAACCAATCCTTGTATGCACATATGAATAATAAAAGAAAAATGAAAAAAAAAAAAAAGAAAACAGGCCATCTTCTACAACCCGCTAAAGAAATAATTGATGAAGTAAGGATTATCAATAGGTTCAAAACTGATGGTGAAACAATAGACGAGAAGGTAGTCACAGGTCTGATGGCACTGTTTTTGTAGAAAACAATACACCTTTACACTGAGAACTGGCATCAACACCTGATGTAAGTGATCAACCTTAGCACTATAATAATAAGGAACTAGTCATCCAAGTTTACTTGTGGAATAATCGGTATAAAATAAAGCTGTCCTACACACTTCAAAAGAGTCTACCTAATTTAAAAAAAAAAAGTCAACAGGGAGGAGGCATGGACTCTTCCAGAAAAAGTCAGTCAAGAAACTTCCACTTCTAGCCATGAATGTAAAACCTGTATCAAACAGAGTAACTTCTCATGAGAACAGTCAGAAAAGCCAAGCCCCACATTCTCCAAAGCTTTCTCCCATACAGTATTTTAAGATTCCAAAGAAAGTTAAGGCTAAAGTTAGGACAAGCAGCAGCAATCCAGAACTTCTAGTAGCCCAATGGGCTAGAGGTACAAAATGAATGTTCAGGACTGTCCAAAAGTGGGGGCTGGTAAACATCCCAGTTTACAAATTTAAATTTTGGAAGGATTATGCTCTAGAGGAAAGAGCAAACCACAAACAGACCAGATTTTACGACTGAAATCCTACCCTGAATCAGTTCCCTTCAATCCCTAATTAAATTAAATTAAGTTCATGTGCCCATAATCTAACTGCTGCCAGGAGAAAATTAAATCATCTACAAAGGGAGAGTATACCATCCACAGTCTTACAATTTTTCATTTCCTGTGTGCAGTACTTATCAGAAATTACTAGGCTTGGCAGGCATGGTGGCTCAAACCTGTAATTCTGGCTTCTTGGAAAGCAGAGACCAGGTGGCTCACAGTTCAAAGTCAGCCCAAGAAGAAAGTCCACAAAACTCCATGTCAACCAATGACTGGGCATGGTGGTGCATGCCCGTCATCCCAGCTGCACGGGAAAGCACAAACAGGGGCACAGTGGTCCACACTGCCTGAACATAAAATAACCAGCACAAAAATGTCTATGGGTGTGGCTCAAGTAGTACAGTGCCTGCCTAGCCCTGGGTTCAACCACAAGTACTGCCAAAGCAACAACAACAAAAAAATTACTAGGCTTGCCAGGGACAGAACAAAATGTGCAACAGTTTGAATGCTGAATGTGTGCAAAGGTTCATATGTTAAAAACTTGGTCCCCGGGGTGGTGCTACTGGAAGGAGGTAGAACTTTTAGGAAATAGGGCCTAGTGGAACCTAGCTCGTTAGGTCACTGAGGGTGTTCTCTTGGAGGTTGTGGGATCCCAGTCTCTTCCACTTCCTCATTGTTCTTTGACTCATGATAAAAGGTTTTTACTCTGCCACAGACCCCTTCTGTGACATGATACCCTCACCAAAGGCTCAAAGTAAATGGGGCCCATCAATCTTGTGATGGAATCCCCAAAACCATGAATTAAAATAAACCATTCTCTCTAGTGAGGTAATTATCCCAGGTATTTCATTATGGTAATACAAAGCTGACTAATACACAAGGACTTAAAAAAAAGTAACTGGAAACAAATCAGCAGACCAGAGATGACCCAGACTATAAGGGTGATCAGACAAAAACTTTAAAAGTGATTATGATTAATGTACTCAATCATGGCATGATGGGGAATTTCACCAAAGAACAGAATCCATAAAAAATAATCTAATGGAAATTCTAGAAATTCAATATATAACTGAAATTAAAAATTCAATAGATGAACTTAGTGTTATATTGGTCATAGCAGAAAAGTAGTGGGAGGCAGGTAATCAGAAACTAATCACACTGGAGCAAAGGGAGGCTAAAAAAAGAAAATACAGAAAAGGTCTCACATATGGGACACAGTTGCTAAAAAGTTTTTCACTGGAGGTCACTAGGATATGTACCTACATAAGCAAACCAAAGCTAAGCATAAACGATGGAAACAGAGACTTTACCATCAGAAACTGTCTGCTAACCTTTTGCTAAGGACTTTCCATGTTAACCAATCAAATGTGTTTTCTTTGTCCTAATTCTGTGCTGGATGATAAAGCTCACCACCCATACTTATTTGGTTCAAAGAAGAGACTTATAACTCATAGTCTATATAGTATACATAATAATAATCATCTATATAAAAGAATATATAAAACATATATTAAAGAATAATGCATAACTGTAAGCTAACAGCTAAAAAAAATGAAACAACTTAAAATTAATCCAAAAAAGCAAGAAGAAAAAGAAAACACAGGAACAGAAAATAACAAAATGATTTCTATCCAAAATTATTAATAATTACAGTAAATGTAAAATGCATTAAAATACTCCATGTAAATTCATGTATGTTGTCAGGCTGAAGCAAAAATGCAACTATATATGTCTTTTTAATAAACAACTTAAGGACACAGATCATCTAAAACTACAAGGATGGAAAAGTATGTCACACAAGTCACTTCCTAAATAAAGGTGGAAGCTACACTTCACCTGGAAGCATAACAGGTATTTCTAACCTAGAAATAATAGGTCTGTTATCTTATCTAGAAGTAAGTTCCCTGGGTGTGTTTATTTGGGAAAAATATATGGACTGTATCTTTATGCTTTGTGTACTTCATATATATTGTGCATAAAGAAAAATAATTTACTTTTTCTAAAAGTCTAAATAGACATGAAACCAAATGCAATATATGATCTTTATTGGACCCTGCATTTTTAAAAAGTAAAATTATGTGTGAAACTTATCTTCAAATGGTTGAGGAAGGAGATGAAATATAAATAAAAAATATATTGGTAGAGAAAACAATTTGATTACATGTTAAGAATTGATGACCTGAGGCTATTTGCTAGTATGCACTCTACAGTTTTTTCAATTTTTCTACAAATTTGAACAATTTCAAAATCAAATCAGTGGTGGGAAATTAAACCTACAGGTATCTCCAAAGTACCACTGTAAAGCAAACACAAGTTACATAATTTAAATGCTAAATGAAAACCATGACAAATTACAAACTGCAAGTTCCCTTTATGCAACAATATTTTACCCTTTAAGAAAATCAGAGAAATAAGTCCTTTACCTTCTACAAACTGAAACAGGCAAACTGAAGACTGATGGCAATGAAGGTTTATTGGAAGGATTAATGGACCTATTTCATAAGAGAAAAACAAGAAGAAACAACTGAGTTAAATCAAAGTTTTGTCTAAAACAACCTGTTCCATTACTTTGAAAATAAATTCAAGACTACAATTGAGTCTACCACTTAGTACAGTTACATGTTATTGCATGTAGTAAGTGATTCACATGATAAGAGTGCTTATACCAGCAGGTTAACTGTGTGTCCTCTCCCACCAATGTTTCTCAAGATCAGTGTTAATCAGGTATTACCATCCTAAACATCTCATTGTTTTACACAATGAATTGCTAAAGAAAAAGCACATGAAGTTGAAGGTATATACTAAAAATATATTAAAGACAAAAATCATTATATTAATTTTTAAGCTTTATGCTTAATAATGCTCAAAAATAAAATTTCAGGGTAACTTTATTAAATTAATGAGCTTTTTAATATTGCTTACTTAAACCAAAATCATGGTGTTCATGCTTAACATGGAAAGCTTTACATATCTCCCATGCACTACTCTAAGACTGCATCAGAAATCTTAAATATTTAAGCATAAAAAGCTTATAAATTCTTGTATCTCACCACATATCCATTCTTGACACTTCATCAAATAATAGAAGACAAAACAATGCTCCAACTTCAGTCACTATAGTACAATCTTCATGAAATATTAAGGAAACTGAAGAATAACAACACAATTTTGTGAAATAGTTTTACTTGTGGAAACAACGAACTTCAAATTTAACATAACTTAACTTAAAAGAAAGAGAAATAGTTAACCCAGAAAAACTGCATCACTACAATATTGTCTTGCAAACTCTGGAGAGCTTATAAACAGCTTTTCATTCAGAAGGTACAGGGTAGAGCCTGCAAACATGCATTTCTAGTAAGTTCCCAGAGAACTCAGGCCCTAGTGCAAGAGCCACCGCTGCAGACCCACTCGTTAAGCACTGTATGAAGCAAGAACATACAGCTTCCAGGAAGGATTTGGCAAGTCACTCAGTTCTAGCTAGTTTCCTCACTAAAAGGTCCGTCATTTTACAACCTTTTGTCCTTTACTCCAAACGTGTGATCCTAGAACATGGATTTGACTTTAACTCATTGTATTTACGTTGTTTTGTTGTTTAGATTTTCATTTCCTGTTTATTATGACAAGATAATGAAAAGAACATCCTCTGAACTAATAAGCATAATACTGGCTTCTCACTTACTATTCAGTTAAATGGCCTGGCCAAACCCAGTTTCTACTTTTGTAGTACTCCCAAGCCCAATGCTACAATTTCTCAGTGCCTGTTTATTTGGTATTTTTGGTGGTGTTGTGTGTGTGTGTTGTTACTGAGAGAGGGTCTAGCTCACTTTGTCAGAGCTAACCTCATACTCAAGTTCCTCCTGTCTCTGCCACCCAAGTACTTAGAACGCATACACTTCTAAACCAACAAGAACAGTGCTTGTACCAGTCACGCAGAAATACTAACTTTATTCAGAGTTTGCAAATTTAGGAAAGCCCAAATAAGAAATCAGTTTTTTAAAAAGATATTTTTCCTAACTGCAAGAAAAGAAAAACATGTAATTGTCATGATCGAAAATAGCATTAACCTAAAACTTAAACAGAATCACGCTAAGAATTCAATTTACAATGCATTAAATTAGATATTTCATATCAGTAAGACAGAATGGTTCATAATTTCAAACAACATAAGAAATTGCTGGAATACAAGTGCCTATGGTGTGACCAAAAAGCACATTTAGATCACTACATTATACTATATACCAAGAACAATTCTACATCTACATAAAAACCTACTTCTTAAAAATATAAACACATAGGAAAACTATAGGAAAATGTTTCAAATCAGAATTAGAGAAGGCCCTATTTTTAGAGCATGGTAAAAAAAAAAATTCCAGCTGCCATAACAGAAAAATTGCATTTATCTTCATAAAACATTAAAGCTTATTTCAGATAAAAAATAGAATACTATGAAAGATTAGAAGAAAATATCAAAAAAAAAGCATAAGAATTATATCTATGTTACAAAAACGAGCTCCACAGGTCACTGAAGAAACTAAATACAACAGAAAAATAGACAATGCACAGAATAAGAAATTTGAGCATATAGCAAACCTATGACAAGATAACGGCCTACTCTAAAAAGAAAACAGAAAAACAGAGCAAAAGTGAGATTATGTTCTACAAGGAAATTTTAAAATGAAACATACTCAATGGTGGCCAAGTTGTGAGGAGGTAAGCCTTCTCTATCATTGGTCATAAGCGTCTGTCGACCTGGACTTGCTCACTCTGAGATGGAGTGATAAATGATAAACTACAGTACAGAACTCTGTCATGGCACAAAGTTTATCATTCAGAGCACTGTGTCTGAGAAGTTACTCAATTATTAAAACCCTTCAGTCCACTCTCCACGTGCTGGACACCCTACTTCCCTCCAATGGCTCCTCATTGCTCTTTAATAAAATGTACCAAGCCCTGAATGAAATACTCTCCTGTGTTATGCCACTATTTCCCCTTCAACCCACCCCACCCTCCCCCAAATCCAGCCATCCCTGATCAGCACCATGTCAAGCACACCATTCTCACACAACCATGGCTCCCTGCATTAGGAAGTCGACCCTCTGAGTCGATGTGAACTGTGGCTTAGATGCCACAGGTCCCAGAAGCATTACCGAATGCTTTACCACCCCTAACCTACTTAGCATGTCCTCTGAAGCCACGAATTCCTGACAGAGCAGCTGGCTAAAAACTAAATACATGAAGTGCATTAGAATTCAGGCTCATTGGAGCAACTTTTGCAGACAGCAATGAGATAAAAAATAGTTAAACACCAAAAAGATAGAGATTTTATTACCATAGAAAGTGCTTTTGACCAAAAATCGTATGTTCTCCCTCACATGCGGACATTAGATCAAGGGCAAACATAACAAGGGGATTGGACTTTGATCACAAGATAAAAGCGAGAGCACAGAAGGGAGATATGAGGATAGGTAAGACACCTAAAAAACTAGATAGCATTTGTTGCCCTCAACGCAGAGAAACTAAAGCAGATACTTTAAAGCAACTGAGGCCAATAGGAGAAGGGGATGAGGAACTAAAGAAAAGGTTAGATCAAAAAGAATTAACCTAGAAGGTAACACACACGCACAGGAAATTAATGTGAGTCAACTCCCTGTATAGCTATCCTTATCTCAACCAGCAAAAACCCTTGTTCCTTCCTATTATTGCGTATACTCTCCCTTCAACAAAATTAGAGCTAAGGGCAAAATAGTTTCTGCCAGGTATCAAGGGGGTGGGAGGGAGAGGGAGGGGTTGGGGGGGTAAGAGGGGGGTAAGGGAGGGGGTGGTGGGGTAAGGGGGGGTAAGGGAGGGGGTGGGGGGAGAAATGATCCAAACATTATATGCACATATGAATAAAAAAATTTTTAAAATTTAAAAAAAGAAAGTGCTTTTGGATCCTGTAAGTGCTTATAAGTTTAATACTTAAATAAATTAAATGAAAATTATGAATAAAAAGGTAAACTAGGGACTAAATTCCATTAGAGGTTAATATGAAAATAATTATTAAAATAATTAAAGAAAACTAGAAATCTATAAATTGTTGCTCTGATTATCAGTCTATTAGAACTTACAAAAATTTTATACTCCACCTAAATTTTTATGATCCTAAACCCAATGAGTCTGTTTACCAATGTTACTGAAAAAGACTTTTACCAATGCTACTTAAACTGGGTCCTATTCACTTGGTAAGGAGAAATCATCAGGAAAAAAAAATGCTACAACAAATGAATATATTCTGAATGTAAATCTTATTTATCTCCCATATGCCTGACAAGAGATAAGATTAAACATACAAAAGTACTTGATCAAGATGCCTCCTACAGTACTAAGGCAGTGACCTACACCACTAGGAACAAAACAATACAGAACATTGTCACAGTCTCTATTGAGAACAGTCAGAAGAGCAAACAAAGAAAAAACTACATGAGATTTTTCTATCCAAAAACATTACCATGTTAGAATCAAACTAAAATGAATTTTTATTTAACAAACACACTTTTAAAAATTAATTTAGAGTCACTCAGGATGGTCTAGTTTCCATCTCTCACACATTGCCAGTCCAATGACATGGTAAGATACCACAGAAAAGGTCCAAGGATCTGATAGCACAAACAAAACAAGAAAAAGAAGACAGAGGCCTGAAGCTGCTGCAAAGTCCAGGGGCTCCCAAACATGGCTAGTCCTAGAAACATCTGAGGAAATTCTGTTTTAAAAAAAACTGAGATAAAAATTCATCTACTGTAAAAGTCACCATTTTAAAATGCAATAGACACCTTGCAGGCAAGGCCACTGAGAAGAGGCAAAACTTTGACCACTCCACATCTCCAGCCTGCACATAGCATCCCCACTTCACGTTAAACGGAGAAACCAGGAGGGTCCCTGGGCTGCAAGTTGCCCACGCCCAGATGGCTTGGGAAGATGCGGACAAGGTGAGCTAAGTGGTACACAATACTTCCACAGACAACTCTGGGCCAGATCAGCATAGACCCCTGGACAGACTGACCCCCACCCGGGAAAAAAAGAGAAACTGAGTAATAAGCAATAAGAACAATAAAGACACACAGGAAAGAGGGTGGGGCGACCTGAGCTCTGAAGAGGGAGGGAGGGGAATCCTTCCCAGAAATGTAAATAAATAAGCCGGGCCTGGCTGGAGAAGGCAGGAACAGGGGTGCACTCAGCAACCAGGAGTGGAAAAGCTTGTGACAGTGGCGAAGGTAGGAAAACTCCACAGGAGGGGGGGAAGACCCACCTCCCACGTGAGCTATAAACAAACATGCTGGCCATCAGGAGCAGCAGCACACGCCCAGAAATCAGGAGCAGGAAGACTTGTTAAAGTGGTGGTGGGAAGAAAACTCCACAGGAGATGGGGGAAGACCCACCTCCCACGTGAACTGTAAACACAGGCCTGAGAAAGCGGTGGAGAGTCATCCCTGCGCCCGCCCCCCCCCACCCCAAGTGCTTGGAAAGGGGAGGAAAGCTTGTAGCAGAGGCTCGCACACAGGATAACTCTGAGTAAACAAAGCCTAGGGGCCAGGTGAGTGCTAAGCTCACCCTTGAGATCTGCATAAATAACACCTCCAAAAACAGCAGGCTGACAGCAGCCGGCAGGCAAGCCACAGCCCTGGACAGCCATTCATAGACCTGTCTCCAGACTCTTGTTTTTTTTCTCTCCCTACCTTTGATGAGAAAACAACCAAACTACACCTGAATGCTGAAAAACTTACTGAAACTGTATTGCAATTGAACTTGGGACACTTTGTGGGTTTTTTTTTTTTCTTATATTACCCCTTTGATGAGACAACTACAGAACAATATCTGAGGCACCATCTCCAGGACTGGAGGCTGAGGGACGAACCCAAATTTATTAAGACTGAAACTTCATTACATTTGAACTTGGAGGCTTTTTTTTTCAATTTTACTTATTTTTTATTTTTTTGCTTTTTATGTTATATTTTATTTTACTTATATATACATATACATTTTTTTCTTTCATTTACTTATTTTTTATTTTTACTCTTATCTTTATTCTTTTTATTTTTTATTATTTTCAATCCTCTGTCTCTCTAATGGCTTTTCAGCTTAATGTTAATTAGTACACTGTCTCTCCCTGT